AGTCACGTTCTGTACTCAATACAAAAGATCACATGGTACGGAGTTAAACAAATATCCAATCACCTACTCTGAAACTTAGCTCACAACACTTCGCTCCTCCAACTGGGGCAAAATGTAGGTGGCAATGCATCGGAAACACCTGACTCTCACGCTAAGCCTGAATGAGTTGTACATAGAGGTTGTGCAATGTAATTGTTAGTGTTGACACATGCAGTCATTATACCCAACCCAACCCATAGAGACTTGGAAGCACCTTGAGGGTTGTGAAATTGACAACCTGGGCATGTGCGGAAATTAACACTTCATATAATACTTCTATAGCCTTCTGTAGTTGGTGCTTTGTAGTGAAGCGGTATGAGCGTGAGCTGAGGCTATGCAGCCTTTTTTGGCTGTGGGTGTTCGATTCCCACTCAGTGAACCTTTTTTTATGGTCTCAGGAATAATTGTAACAACCTCCCATTTACACTAAGGAGTAAAGAAGGAGAAAAAAAAGTGGGAATCGAACACCTGCAGCCAAAAAAGGCTGCATAGCCTTGGCTCACGCTCATACCGCTTCACAAAGCACCAACTACAGAATGCTATAGAAGTATTATATGAAGTGTTAATTTCCGCACATGCCCAGGTTGTCGATTTCACAACCCTCAAGGTGCTTCCAAGTCTCTATGGGTTGGGTTGGGTATAATGACTGCATGTGTCAACACTAACAATTACATTGCACAACCTCTATGTACAACTCATTCAGGCTTAGCATGAGAGTCAGGTGTTTCCGATGCATCGCCACCTACAGTTTGCCCCAGTTGGAGGAGCGAAGTGTCGCAGGCTAAGTTTTGGAGTAGGTGATCGGATATTTGTTTAACTCCATACCATGTGATCTTTTGTATTGAGTACAGAACGTGACTAGCATCGGAAGCAGTCGAGTACCAGTGTGAGAACATTTATTTACATTGCGTAAAAAAGCTATTATTTTACTAAACCTAAATGCCCCACCCAGCACGTTCCACAACGCTCACATGCATGTGAAAGGAAAATGTAAAATACAATTCCAAAAGCAACCAGAGTATTTAAATTGTAAATATGTGAGATGTAAGTCTAAGCAATGCATCAAGTTGACTATCGTACTTCGTAACCACAACCCAACCCTCTCAACCACCCCCTGACCCAATGCCCAACCAATTCAAAAGTGTATAGACACATAAACACACATCTGCCCAACCCAACCCTTCCCAACCCACCCAACACCCAACCGATTCAAAATTGAATAGACGCAAACACACAACCACCCAACCCAAATACTCTGGATGCCAAAGAAAAAAAAACAACAAAAAAAAAGAAACAACAACTCTGAATCAAACAGGAATCCCTAAAGCAAGATGGACCAACCAAGGCTTGGTCTTAACCATTAGGGTAAAGAACCACCAATGTCAGTGTCAGAGACCAGACTCGAGACGAAGGAATGTCTCCGTAACGGAGGGCTTTGGCCTCAGCGACTTCTGCCAAGAGCGCTGTGCCTAGTGACATGTCCGTGCCCTAACTTACTGACTGGCAATTAGAACCTAGGGGGTAACTCTAGTTGATTTTACTACTGGGGCATAACCTATGTACAAGTGGGATATATATATGGTTACAGCGGAGACGGTTCCGCAATTGGTGGAGCCGAACGGAGCGGAGCTAACGGGGTTGAACATTAGCCGACTGAATATTACCGACGAGTCGGTTCGCAGGGTTAACGGAAAGGAGGGATAGGCCCGAAGGTGGGCTCTGCAGGGCAGGCGAGTGTATTGCCCAGCGGAGGCGGGGGTGCGCTAGCGGACGTCGGAGCTGTCTGGAAGTCTTCGGGGCTCCGTACTTAGGGAGGCGTAGGTAATAAATTGAAATGAGGGGGTGGTGACCATTGAGGGGTACCAAGAGGTTTGCGGAATACGGGGGCTCCGAGGTTGGTGAGAGAGGAGCGGAGTTAGAACGGAGGGAACGGAGGGACCGGAAGTCGATGGCCGGGGATGGATATGACAGTCAGCTGCCGTTGAAATTATAAATATGTATTATTACACACAATACAAATTGTGAGAAACCGGAATCAGTTACATACAGAAAATAAACAATTTCTTCTCCGAAAAAAAAGAAGCACGTGGCCATTCACATGCTCTTTGCAGAACGCACTGGGTGGGGCATTTAGGTTAGCTTATTATTTTGCATGTCCACAGAGCTCCTCCAACTGGGTACGAGTCTGACACTGGAGACGATTGAGAGGGAAAGGGCTTATGATTCGGCCACAGGAGCAGCCATCTACTGCCTCACCCGCTTTTGCCATCAGCAATTAGTTCCCCTAGCAGCACTGGGGTATATGCCCCGCTTCGATTTTGGCACCAGTTCATGAACCAGTCATGTCTGCACAAGTGGACACGTGATTGCATGAGGTTGACACGAAATTGGGTTAATGGTGCTGGAGCAGGGGATTTGGGAGGAAAATCAGCTGGGATGGGCTGGGAGCATGTCAGAATGGTGCTGGAAGGCCTCATCTCAAACAGATATGAGGCGACAGCCTTCTTGATGTGTTTGAAATGTGAATAGAACTTAGCTAGTCGCTCAATCACAAAACCCCAAGCCAGATGAAAGAGACTCAGCTGAGAACACCCCAATGCCAACCAACAATCGTCACGTGGGTCCACCTCAAAATCGTCCAAGCAGCCAGTTTCACCACATTTGGTCACTCCAACTCCCCTTCCAGCCCCTCAGCACCCTCCAGTGCCGCTGCAATCGCCAATTTCGATGCAAACGCCAATTTCAACATGCTTGCCACTTCCCCCTCCATGTGTCAGGGCCCGGCCTCGGACTCGGAGGCTCCCTGACCTCAACCCCCATCTGGCCTGTCCTCACACTATGCGGGGCATGAGATGTATAGTAAAAGGAAAGATAATATATACACTTGCCTTGTTACGGATACGGAGTCTCCAATGACCATATCCGTCGCATGGTCAAAGACTTCCCCTCTCTATCGCTCCTCCCCTCTTTCTCCCTTCCGTCCTCTATCCTGATACCCTATCCTCCTTACCCGTTCTACCCCTTTCCCCCCCTCGTGCAAAGCTTTCCCCATTGGGGTTTTGGTGCTGGCCAAGGTTGTTTGTGTTTCGCAGGATTTCCCACGACCTTACCATTTGTAGATAGTCACGCGTCTTGTATGGAAACCGCTGAAGGCGGTTCCCGCTAACTAACAACTGCTCTACAACTGTCTCGTGTACCGTCCTCTGTAACAACCCTCCCTGTGACTCAACTGAACCCGTGTGACTGTACAACTCTCAATATGTCTTATAAGTCTGGTTATATCGAGTCCTCTAACGGCCCTCGCCGCGAGAACTCAAGGTCAAGAGTCGAAGACTCTCGACAGGTGTATCGTCCTATTGAATCTGTACCCTATGGGTCTTCATCACTCCGCTCTCCCCCCAGTACTCAACCTACGATGTCACCTCATGATCATGGAGATCGTGAATACTTTGAGGCCCGCCTTCCCGTGATGCCGGCACGTTCGCTACGCGAACGCCAAGTCGCCGCCCATCCACCGTCTGTTCCTTCCTTCGCCAGTCATCATGTTTCCCTGCCAACGGTACGTTCCCTTTGGGAACGCCAAGTCACCGAAGGCCCTACTAGTCAATCCTCATTGCACGCTTATGACATCAACCTGCTACCGGTACGTTCGCACTGCGAACGCCAAGTACCCGATGGCAACTATATGAAGTTCTCACCCATCTCACAAGTCGCGACCTCGCACACGGTACGCTCCATTGAGGAGCGCCAAGTACCCGTGGCTGACCCGTCCGCCCTGGCATCTCCGACTACCTACCATCAATCCCTTAATAGCTCACTACATCACCAATCACGATCGATGGGAATTTGATCGTCCACCCCCAGGCAAGACTGGGATCACTCATCAATTACATATCCTGTTATGGTACAGACCAGATATGACCTCACTCATCCCACTATAAGAACGGATCGAGGAATGGGGAATTTCCCCCATCCCCGTAACATGCCTATGCCATCTCCCTGCATGGTTGCTATATAAAGGAATGGGTCACATGCCCACAACTATACAGCTCCTAGAGTTGTGTAGTGTGACCTGGAGGGAACATCCAGGTGGCAGTGCCCAGTAAGCATGGGAATGTTCTGGGTGAGTTGCTCACCCAGAACTGTGGCTGTGACCCGTGGGAACATTCTGGGCGAGCTGCTCGCTCAGAAAGTTCCCACGCTATCCCGTGCGCGCGCGTGTACACAACACACAAAGGCAACAACAAGGCAACAGTCAAAGAATAAAAGGGGGTAAAGTAGGTGGGGAGTCCGGGGCACCCTAAGGCAGGGTGCTGAACCCTGACACCATGTCCGGATGTCCCACCACCCATTCCCTGGCACACCCGGCCGATTTCCATGCACCCCTCACACACTCTTGGTCCCCCAATCACAGAACGCTAAGTGCCAACAGTGGTCAATGGTAGGCTGTGAGTAGGAGAAGCAATAGTGCTGGGTTGACATCAGATGTCAATATTGTACACTCTCTTGTTCCTTGCATGGGCGATTGGACCCCGGCACTAAGTCGCTTATCCATATAAGGGAATCCTATTTCGTTGAACCTGATCCTTCCAACTTTTTTAGGAAAATGAATGACCAGGGTCACATACCCGATAAATTCAAGACGGCAGATTTTTCTGCAAACAGCTGTAAGCCGAGACTTTAAGGACAAGAGCCGAGTGGGAGCGGAAATGGTGGAAGGAGAGTAAAGGACAGGCAAGATGACGTAAAAGAAAGCATGTAAAGAAAAGCAAACAACCCAAAAGGGAAGATGATGACAAATTTTCAGCGTCGCCAATTGCGTAATATCGGGAGTGGTTAGTGACTCTGTGTGCAAAGTAACAATGCTTGAATATGACCAAAAACTACGAAACAAAACCAATACCCGACAAAAATCATATGGGATCTGTATTCCTGGGACATGAAGGCCATGTACAAGCCAATCAATCACTTTCCAACTGCTTTGACCATTCCGCGAATTCTCGGAGGCCATCAAAAAACGGTTTCAGGTTCTCAAAGGCTTCCAAACTTTTGCCCTTTGTCGCCCGAGGAAAGTCCTCAACAATAGTGGGAACCGCGAGAGTAGACTGGTAATGTGGCTCAATAGCTGGTGAAACCGCTGCGAAAGTCTTCGAAGTGCAGCCATAAGCGACAATTTCATAGTGGTGGTCTTCTGGGTGCACTTTGTTTTTAGAGCCGCGAGTCTCGCGATGTGTCTCGTGAGTAATGGTCACAAGCCCCTCCCCTCCCATCTCCCTGTCTCCGAGCTCGAAAATGATTGATATTACTGGCATCGTGTTATCCGGAACGGTGATTCCGCGAGAAACGCGACAATATTCAGCCTCTTCGCGGTTCTTAAATTGCAAGTTGATGACTGACGTCGATTTCAGTGAGATGGGCTCGGCTGCGTGACGCATATGAACAGGAATAACAGCATCAATCGACTTCTGATTATCTTTGGCTTGGAGGGCCATGCCACGCAGCAGAGCTACTGCCAGGTTTGGAGCAGACAGCATTTCAGAGTTTTTGGCCAGGGCGAAATGGGAAAAAAAGACATAAGCATTTGCAAATGCTGTTTGCAAATCAGGGATGTCCGCCTTGGCCGTCACCGACTTGGCTTCCAACACCATAGCATCGAATGGCTTCGCAAATAGAGCCTTAAGAAAGTCAACGACAGGGACAGGTCGATGGAAATATGGGTCAGGTGAAGGTTTCTTTGGCACAGAGTGGCTTTGTTTGAGGGCGATATCGTGAGCAATGGTCACAAGAAGTCGACCGCAGAGTTCCCCGCGCTCTCCCTTCGCAAGAAGTCCCTTCTCACAAGCCTGAGCTAGGATTTCTGGACCTTGCAATTCTATTCCACGGCCATCCAAAGGGTCGTTCAGACACCTTGCTGCTGCCTCAGCTAGTATAGGTTCAGAGGGCGATCCGGTGTGCATGAACTCGCGATGCTCAGGGATAGCATAAACAACACGCATGTGAGACTCAACAAGTTCTGATTCCGTAATCCTCGAGGCTTGGGTTGTATTGTCGAAAGTTATCCCGATGCGAACCCCCAGAGCAGCAACGCGAGAATGGAATACTTTCACTTCGTCCCCTTGCGCCATCAGTTTGTCTCTGGCGAACGGTATAACAGATAATCCTCCCCGCTCCAACCAGTTTTTGTGGTGGACATACCATCTATTGCGAATTTAGTATTCTGCCGCAAATGTAGCAGTCACTTACAGGCTACGTCCGAACCCTACCATTACATCCGTTTGGCCCACGTTTTCGAGGCTGCATTTTTTGTTCTTGCCCTTCAAAGATTGAAATACTTTTTTGGCAAATATGTCGAACGGCAGCTCAGTGAAAGGAGGGAAAAGGCGGAAGCCCTGAGAAATGCGAACTGATGGATGGCTAGCGGGCGAGGGTGCGGATTTCTGGAGATGAGAACTCGTAGATAAAAAAATGAAAAAAACAGGGAATTCTGTCAGCTCAGACAGCACTGTGCCAAGATTATGATAGGGCGAGTAACTCCGGGCCGTGTTCTTTTCCCGTGGGACGAGTTCGGTAAGCTGGTGAGCTTCATCAAAGTAAATGATGCATTTGACTTCTGCTCCCCCATCATTACTCGCCATGGCCTTAACAAACGTGTCACACGACTTCCGCATTCTGGTGTTGAGCACCTCCAGTTTCGTTTGGGTTTCTCTTTCATCTGGTTGTAGCTCCATCAATTTGAGCTTCCCAAGGAAATTCAGCATGAGGCAGCAACTATTAATACCTCTAGACATCACCTTACGTGCCTCATCCACCACAGAATCCAGGAACACCTTCCTATTCACACCAACTTCGGTATCGGTCCGTCCTTCGTCGAGATATTCAGCCCATTCATATGCTAGCTCTGCTCCTGTTTTATATTTGAACCTGAGTGTCTCGAGAAGTGCGGCGGCCTTTGTGAATAGCACGCTCAATATAATTGCATACTCTGCCTGCAGCCGAAGATCGCTTTTTGCATGATGTCCTTGAAAATAACGGCGAAACTCTGTGTCTGGAGGAGGATAGGCTAGCGGTAAAATTAACATCGATGATCGCAAATATGGGATTCGCGATGATATATTGCGCACTTTTGAGACCATGGCCAAGTTCCTCACGAATATTGATTGGAATCGTAAATATGGAGAGCGAGGCTTCAGCGACCATTCTGGATTTCCCCATACCCGAAGACTGGATTACTGATAGCGACAAATTATATGGTCTTGCCATCCCGGCACTTGACTGCCAATAATCGTTCAATGTCTCGATAAGCAGCTTGTGCGTTGCTCCTTGGTAGGGCTCTTCAAATGCGTCTTGAAGACCTGATGCAACCCGTCAGGCGGATGAGGGGCTCATGATAAACAGGTGCTTACCGCGAATACTACGACTGGCTGGAAGCCCGCCACCCACCTGACTAGTAGTGCCCGTTAAGGGCCGCACATCGACTAGTAATGGCATCATATACACTATAATACTGCCACAGAGCGAACATAATTTACCATCATTCAACAACTCAAAGAAAGACTTGTTGCGGTATGCTTTAGAAAGCTTGGACAGTAAATTTGGGGCAAAGATGATATGTTCATCACATGTCTCCTCGTCAGGAACGGTACCAGTGGGTGAATGGGTTGAGAGCAATATATGTAGCAATTTTGGTGCTGCGCGAGTACCGAGTTTTTCTCCGAAAACTTCAGGATTTGTAGAGCGATAGTTATCGATCGCCAGGATAACACGACTATCGAACATTTTCCGATCATCCCTGGCAGCCCCATCTTCCGGGTCGACATCCATTGGAGTAGTTGTGACAAGAGTAGCGGGCCCTTGGCGCGACAGGCGGCGTCCACCAAGTTATAATTTATATGCTCGGGTCACGCCTTTAGCCGTGTTGCAGCGGAGTTGACCGAATTCACTGTCGCGGCAGTTAGTCATCTTGCACTGCATCCCATCAAGAGAAACAGTGGGACTGGGCAACTCAGGTTGTGTCCGTGTACCGCTTATGTAATCAGATTTGGGCAAAACATGGCCTCGCAAATGTTCCATCGATAACTCGTGAAACTGTATTCCAAGTCCCAACAAAAACCTAGAGAGTGTGAATATACAATGTAAAGTATGTACTGAGCGCTCAATCAGAAAAATCCACGCATTATAAAATGAGCATGTAAACAGACCAGTTATGGTACCTCAGATAGCAGATCCTGGCGACTCTACAGATCGTGCATTATAGCGTTTTACAATATCTTGGAGTAGTGCCTTCCGGGGCCCAACTCGTACCTTATTGACTGCTGTTCAATTAGGAATAAAGGTGTCCTTAGGGGCCAGCCAACGAGCTTGTTGATCTGTTCAATTAGCTTTTCCCCCGTCATTGCAGCAATCACTGTAGCACCCAACTGGAGTATAGTACACTCTAGTTTCTCCTCCTCCACTCTCTTCTTCTCATCTCGTGCCTTCTGGGCTTCATGGCTGGCAGCGGCTTTTGCTGCCTCAACTTTGTCCATAGTTTCCTCTCAAGATTCTGTGTGTTCTCGATGCCGAGCTTCCTTCCTGAGGAATGGATGATGGGCTTCACTGAAATTTGCCCTTATGAAGCCCTCAGTGTTGTTACAGCTATACATCGCCAATGAATTAAATGGGCAGTTGATTTTGATTGTTTTGTATGCAACGAATTTTCCGTAATACTAATACCAATCGCTGAAAATGTAAAAGGGTATAAGGAGCATGGTAGGAAGTTGTTCTAAAGTCAGAAGAGCATCAATTGAGCTGAGTGTGCCCCAGGCATCTCCAGAATGCGCTATTGAGTGAGACGACGTACACACGAATAAACAAATGATCACCCAACAATTTCAGGCTCGTCACACAGCAGCTAAGCATGTAGAAATTCTCCTGGATGTGTAGAGGGTCTTTTTCTATAATTCGGACTGTTGGATTTTTATAAAACGCGCTGGTTGTCGAGAACGGTTGTAGAGCCATGAGAACTCATTTTTTTTTACAATTCCTCAGTCCAATTATCAGCTTTTACAATTCCAAGTAACTTTTGATTCAACTTTTTGTTGCATGAGACATTTGTGATGAGTTATAAAACTATACTTCCACAGGCTGCTCTGCGGCCAGTCTAGCTTACATAAGCAGTCTCGTCCCCAGAAACAGCCGAGCGGGTTAGTGTCACGTGGGATTCCGAAACAAAGTCTCACAATCGGAGATACTTGAGTACTTCTAACATCGGGATCATCACCAGTGTCACCCCTCCATCACTCCTCACGCAAGAGAAATATGCAGATTTTGAACATACACACCCCCCACTCTTCCTTTTCTATACTGCATTCTTGTGCGATGTTTAGCTCCTTGGCATCTCGGTACGCTACTCACCACTCCCTAACACAGTGCAGCAGGACAACGTACAGATGCTATTTGAAAAACTGAGCCGTAAATCAATTGGCGCTGCGAGGGGGAAACACGTTGGTCCTGGCTGGGTCAAATACCAACATGGCGGCTCCTACTGGAACTTAGACGATGGTAGGTAGCCAGTCAATAGTCGGCGCCGAGCCCTCGTTCGGCTTCCGCTAAAACTACCTCTTGTGTACTTAAGAGTCCGACTACTCTATTTTCGCATGGAGACACAAGTCAGACGCTCTGGGCAGTGAACCCGAAGTTACAATACACATGCATGACCCAGACACACCCCTTCCTGTGCCTCCGGAGTTCCAGAATCCTCACTTTTACACCTTCCTCCCTACCGAGCCTCCCGCCCCCCGCCCGTATGCCAAGTCTCTCCGCAGTGTTCGCTCTCGTCGGAGTACCAGGTCCTTACCTGATGCTCCGTATAACGAACCAACCGGTGTGGCGAAATTTAAGGCAGACTTTCATCGGTTCCATAGCGAGAACGGCGTCCGCACAGTCAGAGGGAGCATCGGTCCAGTTAGTAATGGTGTGCAACTTTCCCTCGGTTATCATCGCTGACCAATCTTTGGCTGACGTGATGTATGCTTAGTCCGAATGCTCTTGAAGAGCGGATATCGCCATGTGTATATTTCTCGTAATTTTGCCAAGCGTCATGGTTTTATTCCCGAAAATGCCACCCCAGGAATGTACGGATACACTGGTCTGATTTCGATCGGTGAGAGTTGATCGTGGTGGTCATGGTTGAACTGAACCCTTGATGTCGATCCAATATTCAGGCGAATGGCCAATTACTCTTGGTTCAACCACCACACGACATCAGGTTTATCTGTCCGAGGAAACTCATTTCGATGTCGTCCTCGGCCGATCCTTCATGGAAAAGCGCAGCGTCAAGGTCGACTTGTTGGATTTCACACTCGTCCACTGCATGGACACAGGTGAAAAGATTGACTGCGAAGTTGTCATCATTCGCGATGGCAAGGGAGAATATGTCACCGTTACATAAAGACTGCTTTCAGGATCTCAGGATACTATTAATGCTTGTTACTCTGTACGCTGTTGACTAATGATACACCAATGTATGATTTGGAACGAGCATCACATTCTCTCCGCTTTAAATCGCGAAATCCGTTCCCCAGTTTTCCTTGGTCCCGCTCGAGCGTCCTGCCTATTATGACTACTTACGGACTCCACTACGGCAGCTGACATGGTGCTTATTCTCCGGCCTGGAAATGACGCAGCGCTGGTATTAGTTGGATTCTCGGGCGGAGGCATGGCAGAACCAGGCAGAGCCGCTTGCTCCGGTGTGAGGATGACAGACGTGAAGCCACCTGCAGGATCATAGAAAGCGGCCGGTACATTGGTTGGCCCCGAACTCAGACGTCCCAAGGATGGTGTGGTGACTCGAGTGGATTTGGATACAGGTGATGGAACAGCAAGAGACCTCTTGTCTGTGGCGTTGCCGATAGCAGGCTTAGCAGTCCGTGATGCTGTCGAAGCCGACGGTTTTGACGTCTTTAATCGGGAGCCAGAAATCGATGCGGAGGGGCTTGGGGCCAGCCGATCCACGACTTCGGAAGTAGAACTCTCCGTAATGGAGGCGACTGTGCTTTCACTGGGCCGAGTGACAGTAATAGGGACGGCAGGAAGGCCAGTTTTGCTCTCGACAACATTGGCTTGCTGCGATTCTCCAGCCGGCGACCCTGAATTGAGCTCTGCAGAACCAGAACCACCATCATCCTCATATAACGTAGGGTCACCCTTCAGTATCCTCTCAATAATCCCACCGCTTCGTTTGTCCAACGCATCAAGATCGTCTTCATCCCCGCTGACTTCATCATCCCGGGTAACAAGTTGACCCTTTTCAAACTTTCCAAACCTGATCGCTGAGGCAAGACGCGGGTCGCTGGGTGTAGGATCCCCGGCCGTTCGCTCAGCCTTGAAGCGAGACATGGACGATGGACGCGCTTTCGTCGATGCGCGATTGGCTTCCAGTGGGACGTACTACCGTCTTCGATGAGCACACAGCGCACCCTTGAGAATAAAAGCAGTGGCAACTAACCGGTTGATCCCAATCACCCAACTTTTGGGTTGGCCGAGGATCGGGTGGGGGTATGGTCTGCGAAAGCCCCTTCAACATCCCCTGTTGGCGGAAGTACTCCATCGAAATGTCTGCTTGCATTCTCAATTCGTTGAAATCATCGCCATCTTCATCGTCGGGGTCTTCTTCCTCACTTCCCGAGCTGTCATTCGATGCCGAAGAATCGAGAAGATGATCTTCGTCATCATCATCATCGTCAGAATCCGCAGTAGGCGTTTGGATGATGCGAGCGATCCGACGTGTACTACCGGGCTGCGGAGGGATCACAGACTTGGATGTCCTCTCAACGACGTTCATTTGCATAGGCTGCACTGCCGTAGGCTTGACATCTTTTAGTCGGGCTGGAACGACGTCACCCCATGATTCAGTTCCATTGTTAGGAGAGGGACGTTCGTCAGCCTGCTCAGGTTCGGCAAAACTAACTGATTTCTTGCCGGGTCGTGTAGTCAGGGGTTGGGACGGAGAAGCGGAGGAAGGGGAAGGATGTGTTCGGCTAGATTCTGGTTGTTGCAGTTGAGAGGCAGGTGGCGTCGGTTGCTTTTTCGGCTTCTCTGTAACGGGTTCGCCAGATTTGGGGCTAGCTTTCACAGGGATCTTCGCGTCCTTCGCCCGTTGGACATTCCCTTCCCCTGACCGTCTACGTTCTTCTTCTTCCTCTTCGTTTGCTTCAAGCATGTCAAGCCAAGCCTCACGTTCTCTCTTGCGTCGTTGACATTCTTCGGCGCTCCGCGCCTCCAAAGGTTGCGGTCTTGGCGGCGCCTCGGCAGTTGAAGATTGTGAATTCGAAGCGACTGGCTCTGTTATCTCGACAATGGGATCTCCGTCTTCGTTAAGAACCTAATAAAGATAAAGCCAACACGCACTGAGTGAGATCAAAACAAGCAGATAAGGAGGCTAAAGGCAATACATGTCCATCCTGCGTCGTGATTCCTGCACTCTCATCGGGATCGATGAGCATATCGCTAAGCTGATTTGCCAAAGCCTGGAGCTTTTCAGGCGAAAGGTTATTTTCTCCTCCATTGCGTTCAGCGTTCTTGGCCGTAATGGAAGTTAACAAGGCAGTGATAGCTAGGATTTGACATCATCGACGGGTAAGTGGTTAAATGACACAATACTATTGAACAAAGAGCCTTGTACCCTGTTGTCGTTTGAATTCGATACTCGTAGCGGACGAAGCCATCGAGGGATCAAAATCAAATTTTCAGTTCTCACGCTTCGGGTCGTACTGCCAATCCGAGGAGAATCATAGCATCCATCTGCATATAGGGTGTGGGTTACTGCGATTCATGCACATCCTCACAGGGAGGGAATTAATAAAGTTACATATGGCGTGGATTGAACCACAAATGTAAAGTATGATGTAACATTAAATAATGTCAGCGGAAACGCAATGAGCGCCATTGCAGCCGTTCAACCATAGAAAGGATTGCATCCTCCACAAATGATACTCTGAACCCCGAAACTCATGAAGCTCCCCAAGAACAGCCCTCCAATCAGACAAAACTGTGCAACGGTAGCGGCGGCGTCCACTTCCAGCGTTCCATTCCCAGCACCGCCCTTCATCAGCTTGGCTTCCTCGACGAGGACACGTAATCGTCGATTATGCTCCACTGAAGTCGCGCTCATCATCACGATATTAACGAGATAACCACTCGATATCGAGAATAGCAATAGAACGATGAAGTACGCGATATCCGAGTTGATGAAGGGTATAGATGGGTGCGGTGAAGACGCCTTGCCGTTGACATTGCACATTAGGAAGAGAGGAACGAAGATTAGACGTCCGATAGAGGCTAAAAGTAATTTGGGGTCGTTGAGGCATTCATTCCACCATGACAAGTGAGTCGGGGAGGCGATGTCTCTGCCGATGTAATCACCGATATTGAAGATAACGAAGTGAAGGGATACGAATAAAGGAGGTGAAAGGAAGAAGTGACTCTGTGAATGATTCACTGAGAGGATAGTTGACGTTATAGGTGGGAAAATAGCCTGGGAAAGTTCACCGGTAAAACAAGTCTTCAAGGTGATGTAAAGCCAACTTACCAAAGTCACAACATAGATTAAACAAACAGAAATATTATAAAGTGTGTTCATCTTCGCTACCTTCCAGGTAATATTTGAGGTGTCATAAAGTAGCTGGCTCGAGCTCATTTGTCTGTGGAGTTCAACGCTTCTTGACAGGAAAGCTTGGTCGTCCTCTGTATCGACATCACTCCCATAATCCGAAATTTCGTCTGGAGTAGGAGCTTCGACCTCTAGGATGGTTTCGGCATCGTCCTTTTGATCCCTGAAGAGTACCACGGAGCGGTACAGTGGCGATCGGACCAGCGCGGAGTGCGCGATGAGCGAGACGATCATATACACCGTCGCTAACCCAAAGAAAATGAAAGCGAACAATGTAAGGCCTCCTCCATCACTTTCTCTGAACGGTTGCAAACCGATCAGCGGTTTGCCCGCTCGCACCTCACCCTCTTCTTCACTTCGGAGCGAAATGGCAGCGGTTACATACTGCACTACCGACACGACTATCCCAACCGCGCTTTGCCCTGTAAAGTATACTTGCATAGCTTGTGGCCCAAATAACGCAGCAACTCCTACCACAGCCGATTGCAGATACCCACTCGAACTTGCCTGAATGGCCGAATTAATGATCACGAATACGAAGAAAGGTGCCCCATCTTTAATGGGTAACAGAGGGGATATCGCGAAGAGCAAGAGCATGGAAATCGTTAGGATGATTGCATGTTGAATTCGAGAGGCCGATGAGGAAGGATTGGAAGTGACGGTTGCCTTCGCAAGACAGAGGAAGAGGAGGGACGTGAAGGAAACGCTGAGATAAGATGGGAATGTCTTCTCGAAAGCTGAGTCTCGCAGTCGGGTCAGGAAATAAGGGGTTGCTGTAATCAAAACTAGAAAGTACAAGATAAGAACCCACTAGAATTGCACAAGGGAAACGGGAAAAGCGTACCATTCCACGATAGGAGTACAGCGGCACCCATAGTAAAGAAGATGGTTCGCACGCGTTTAGGGAGACGACTAGGAGGATGGCCATGTCTCTCAGGAGAGTGTTGGAGAGAGCCACGACGATAGGAGCGAGACGGCGAATGTGAGAGAGGAGTTTGTTCAGACAAGTGGGAGCTATTAAGCTTGGAACTCATGTTATCCGTATGGGGGCTATCGAGAACGTCTAGCAGGTCTCAGACACTTGTGTTAGCTTAGAGGGAATGGCAGTGATAACAGGTAGATGGAAGCTTTCGGCCTCTAAAGTTGGACTCGGCAACGTTTATCCGTGATGTCAATAAAACTGGGTATGATCTCCAGAAGACTAGCTGAGAAACGGAAGGGTTTTGCAGAAGTGCACTAGTCTAAAACCGTGCAAGCCACAAATAGATCTTCAAGAGAAGACATGTTAGGGGCTTGGACGTCATGCATAACTAGCTTCATCATTGTGGCGTTACCGGTGATTGCCGATTCCCAAATCAGTCACAGTTAGCTAGTTAGTCTGGCATCCATTTCTTGCATACGCTATATACACCGGAGGGAACACATCACCACACACAATTACGACAAGAGATCGAAAGCGGAGAGATTAAAAAAGAAAAAAAAAAACTACATCAAGACAGAAAGACTGGATATGCACAATAAAGAATGCCGAAGACGAAAGGGCTGAGCATTATTGATCGAGCAAAGGTGGGGTATGCGATGTTGGGTGGAAAATTAAATGATGAAGAGGTATGAATCCACAGTCAAGATGAGTTTTTAGGAGGCATCAAGAGATTAGGGGTGTGTGCGTGTGTGTGTAGGCGATCTGTTCGAATCACAATGGAGTGGGGAGGAGTGGTTCTGGGTATGTGTAGGAAAGTAGTAGGGATACAAGATGAAGATCGAATATGGTACCAAGAAACAGGTCTGTAATAGGATTAGAAGCAGCTTACGAGTTGAGCAAGAAATTATACAAAAGCATTGGGGCGATAGGAGGGAATAAAACATCAGACAATGTGGAGGAGCATCAAACCTCCGCAGCCTCTGGACAATAGGGCGGCAACCAGCCAACTTCTTCGTCCTCCTCCTTGCGCTCCCCATTTTCATAGAATAATTGAGAGTACGCAGGGAGGTTTGGACGACATGTGCATGCAGCAGTGGGGTGCAAGTTGATCGAATTGGACGGGAGAGAGAATAGCATGTCGACGGGGGACCAGCTAGGCGGCGTGTTAGCATTGGCCGTGGTGACCAGACTCGAACTTGAAGATGAAGAGCTGGAGGAGTAGAAACGGGGATTGGCTGGACTTGAGGCAGAGCAAGCAGCACATGGAACCGACGTTGATCCATCCTTATTAGACATAGCGAATGATTCGGGAACAGCGGTGAAGTGTAGCGGCAGGACGCATCTGACCTCTTCGTACCTTCTTCCCGGTGTGAGAGATCGGTCCAGGTGCTCGTCCTCCAAAGGATCCCAAGATATCTTGACGCATACAGAGATCTCGTGGGAGATACGAGAGTAAACAGAGTGGGAATCTGGAAGCACTAGCCCACGGCGCTGACGACGCTCGAGCCGCTGGGCATCACTCACTTCCTTCTCATCTTCCTGTTCTTCGGAACCATCCGCAGAACGGTACGATGAAGAACGGAGCACAGGGACTCTGACGTCCATCCTTGCCCAACGACGATCCAGATCTATACCTCCAACGGAAGGGCGGTAATAAATCCGTCCGTCAGGAACCAGCGGCCGACGTCGAGTCGCCTTCGTTGCCTCAATTCCTGTCCAGAGGAGGCCACACGCATCAAGACACTCCATATGGCTTGCGTTCAGAAGCGGAAGATGAGGAGGTTGTTCAAGCGTCGTCGGTAGAGGGAATGACTGAAGGAATTGCGAATCCTCTGTTGAGCGAGACTTCTCCATTTGGTCGACCTCAACCTCAAACTCATGAATGCGTATGTGCTGACCGCCAGCATAATCGGGGGCCATTCGAAGTTTGAGGCCGAGAGGGATGAAACCTTCGTCGATTCCGACATGCTCAGGAAGGGATATAGCCAAATCCATCGAACGAAGCAACGTGATTGGAATCCCACCAACGGATTCTGTAGGATTGAGAGATGAGGCGCCGACGGTTGGCGTCGCCAGATCGAGAGAGGCAGGGAACAGAGAAGGTGTGTCATGCAAGAGCTCCCATGCTCCGTCGGGAAGTGACCGTGGAGGAGAACGAACTCGAACGACAGTGATGGGAACGAGTTCGGCCTCAACAGTCTTTGGTTTGGGAGCCAGTTTGAACGGGGAGCAGAGGAAGGAAGGAAAACTCCACGCAGAAGTCCTTTTCGTTGTGCTGCAGGCCAGGGCACCTGAAGAGTTTGCAGCACCGTTCGATTTCGAAGCAAAAAGAGATGAAGGACTGGGGGTTTCCAGAACCGCGGTAGCATGAAGACTATAACCTGTCTCGGTGAACTCTGAGATGTCCACGGATGCAGGTAACCAGCCAGGAATAGCGAGGTCGAAAAGGATGATCCATTGCCAGGGTTGTTCGAGGGCATTTCCACTGACGCAGTTCAGCGTTATAGGTTCCCTGCCACCTTCCCCTATGAGGTTCTTGGAGACACGACAAAGCCGGGTACCGGCATAGCCAAGCTGAGGGGAGACCGACTCGCATTTCCCCTCGAACGTGATGTTCAGAGATGTCAAGCGCAAGGATGGCGGGCGTGCAGGATCAGCATTAATGGGGGTGGATGCGAACGGTGGTATGGATAGTAATAAATGACCAGAGAGCGAGTAAGAGGATCTAGGAAATCGATCCGTTGCGTTAGTAATCGGGTGCATGCGCTGAGTGGGTAAGGAAATAATGCTCACGATGTTTGGACGCTACCATGCATCTCTAGTCGACTGGAAAGAGGGACGATTTCTAATTTGATTGACATGATTCTTCAGCGAGCGTGTTTGGGGTTGGCAGCTAACGAGGGTGAGAGTGTAGTTGATGAGGAAGGGAAGAAAGAAGGACGAAACACGATGCTTTGAGGTAAGCTTCCTGTTGAACAAAAAGGTGCGAAGAACAACAACAACAACAACTGCACTTAGTAGTGGTGGTTGCGGGGATTATGCTGGTTGGAATATCATCTCGTTGTTCTTGTATGCGCGGAAACACGAACAATGAGCGACCAGTTCAAAGAACAACGACCCTGATGCAGGAAAATAAAGGCATCGTGGGAAAGTGGCTTTTTGGTATCACTTGCTTCCGGTGGGCCGCCTTTTTTCCCATTCCGTCAAAAAAGGCGGTAGAGATGTCTTCTATGTATAGCAAAGGGCCAGTAGGAAAGAGGCAATTGACGCGAATAACAAGAGGCTAACAAGGATCACCAATATGTTTGGGGATTGTACTATTATACAACAATTTGGTTTAAGCTGAGATTCCGGAAACAGCCATGATCATGCTCCCTCGTTGGGAGGTGAGGCGAGATCATCATTGGCATCATGCATGACCCAGCTCTCAGCAATCGAACCCGTCTGGCTCACATTCTCCCGAGTTTCTCCGCTACTCACACTCCCCGTATCAGTTTCGGACGCCGCCTTCGTGGGAACATACTCATCCATAATCTCTTCACGCGCTACCTCGACCGTCTTCTCGGCCACGGCAGCGGTCGCTTGCGGTGGAAGTTTGGTTATATCAGGTTCAAGAGGAGGTACCGATTCCAGCTGTCGTGCTTCCTGTAGTGAAAGTCGCAATTCCTCGAGCCGATATGGAAGTGTGAGCATAAAATCAAGGATGAAACCAGGAAGAAGAGACGCCATGGTATACGTAAGCGCTAAAAGTGGAGCAAAATCAACAGACTCAATCAAACCGGTGATTATAAATCACTTACCCCCAGCGCCGACCCGCCTCCTGTTCCCAAGCCACAGGCCGCGAATCCACTCCAATGACCACCCAGATCGCTTCTCGTTCACAATCCCCAATAAAGTGTCCGACATAATGCCCACATCAGTTGGCCTTCGCTTTACGCCAATCACAGACGTAGCATCACCAATCTCCCCAACATCAACAGTAATGAATCTCAACTTCCTTACATCGTTCAGAGTGGGATCAACGGCTGCTTCTCTTCGTAGGACTTCAAACCCTCGCACTGCGGCTTCGCTAGCCATGGCTAGCCCTGAAGAGCCAAGCACGCCAACACGCGCAATGGCAGGGACACACATGATGATACTTGCACCCTTTGAGATGCTCTGCGGAGAGGATGGGCTGCCCAGCGCTTTGCGGTGCTTAAAGTGAGGAAATGTGGCTTGAATTATGGAAAGTGGTGTCATGGCTCGCAGTGTGATTTGATGGTTTAGGGTTTCATGAAGGAGAATCGGTGATGCGAAATCGCTAAAGGGAAGATGATCTGATGGAGCTTGAGGGAGGCATCAGTTTCAGTGCCTAGACGCGAGAGTGCATTGCAGCTGGCTTACCCAAAGATAGGAGGGAAATTAAAGAGACAACTTGAGGAAGGTTTCCACCAGACGTAGTTGATGCATATGGGTCGCCATGTGCGGTAGTGGGGAAGCGGAGGGATAATGTTGAGCTCAGGGACCTCAAGAAATGAGGAATTGAGCCAGGCTGAGGCACGGTCATCAAAGAACGACTTGAGATAATCGGAGCGACACAAACCTCTTCAGCATCTAGCACTAGAGCGCGCGCATATCCTTTCCCAATCTTTTCAATTTCATCTGCTGCCTCTGTGGACAATGTAGAACCAATCACGATAAACCCATTATCCACAAAATATTTAACGATGGTCATTCCGTAATCAACCGCGTCAACGCCGAGTATAACTGCGAAATCACACACAAGTGAGACCCACGCTGTGGATAAGGGTCGCGACACTCACTAACTACATCACGCTGTGGCTCCGATGCTTTCTTGGATGAAGCCGGATTCCTCAAGTTGCGCCTTCGCTCTGCAAGTCTGTTCCTGTTATTGTGGAGATTATATGCACAGTATCCAGCCCCTCCCGCGGCTAATAATGATGCGAGAATCAAGATCCATTTATTCTCTGTCACCCAGTTACCAAATTTCTCCACCGTGGTCTGCATGAATCGATGTCAAACACGTATTGGACTCAGGAGAAGCGAAGTAACTGTACCTTTGGTGGAGGCGGTGATGGAGGAGCAGGAACTTGCACAATCCTTTCAAAGGCTGGCATTTGAGGAAACTCGGGAGGCCCGAACCGCATTAGATCTCTGTAGATCTGTTGGACGACTTGGGCGACATCGGATGGGTATGGAACATATCGCTCCAATTGAATGAGGAAATCTTCAACTTCTTCGAAAGTTGGGAAAGGTGGAAGCTGTGGCAGCATTTGCGCACCGCCCTCCTATATCGCAGGTATCTCCTCTTCTCAGGCCCAGTAGTTGCACGGGTTGGGCGTTGATATTGACGCGATTTCCCGAGTTGCACGAGAATGGTTGAGATAAGGGGTGGCTATGCGGGGCTTGGCATCCCCGTTCCGGCACTGCCCACTTGCCCCAATCATTTCGTTCGTTGGACCTCCTTTTTCATTTCACCTAATAACCACGATCTGTTCGTTCGTGGTACTGAACGGAGTTCTTTGCACTCGTTTGGACCTTTCTTCATGAACGCACTTTAGAGAGGATAATCTAGACTATGGATGACGATTTAACTAATAACCCCATTAGACCGGCAAATCGGCCACGGAACTTCTCCTCCTCTCTCGCTGAGGGGTCGGGAATCGTTGGGCGACCCTATCCATTGTCCATCCCCAGCAGCTCTTCTTTACTACATGCCCTTGACCTTCGCTTCCCATCCGAGGTCCACATGCCTTCTGCCTTGACAGCTTTGAGAATTCATGTGTTACAATATCTCTCTGACCTCGAGGCAAGGCTTGCGTTATTGGATTTCAAATCTACCAGCCCCCCTATGGCTGCAACCCTTTCTCCGGCCACCGGTGACGGAGACGCTCCATCAGATGGTGACGGTGTTGATGTGGAGGTGGATCTTGATTTGTCCGTGCAAGACGTTACGGATTTTGTCAAGAAAGGATTTGCGCTGCTTCGGGATATTAGGAGTGACGTGTGTTCGTACTTGCCCGACGATCTTGGCTTTGCCTCAGTCCCAAGCGGTCGTTCATTGCGTGAGCGCCTCCCTCTTCCGGAACTACATGTTCGTCACAAGTTATCTAAACTCGGCGACTTCGAAATGCCGGCCATGCCAGCACTCGTTCCTTCAATGGAGGAGATCAAGTCTCGGTTGAAGGATATGTCTCCTACTGGGATTGACCCGTTGTCCTATGTCCCAAGGCTTAAGGCTCACCTTCAGCGATTGCATATTCATTTCCAAGAATTTCCTCTTACTGGTCCATCGGCATATACTGTTCCCCTACCGGGTTTATCTCCACCTAAGGTTCTGTCTGACCTTCTGGCGGAACTTGTAGGAGATACGGAGGAAGCGATCCAGGAGGATATAAAGGTCGCACAGCGGGCGGAGGTGACTATGCATGAGCAAGTCAGGACGGCTCTCGAGAAGTCTGTGGATGGGTGCTGCCTCATACAATACAAAGATCTGCCGGACAAATGGAGGAATAATGAATACGTGGTTTCGGGTTACAGGTAGGTCTTGATGCTTTCGGCAATGTCCTGGGGCCAACAATACACGTTTGGCAGGTTCATACCTTCAAGCAAATGGCTAAGCCTTCTATTTTCCATCTTCCAATTTCATAACGAGACATGCAAGTCAACGCAACTTTTTACACCGGGTGAATGCTGACATCTTCTCCTCGACACAGTGAACATTCACTCTCATCTCCTGCCCTTGTTGACTTTATCTTCCTTGGCTGTACCCTACATTATACCAGCCCCATTTAGAGCTTTAGTGCCGAGTTGGGGTTCTTCGAACTTTCACTCTTTGTTCCCTACTCTTCTCCGTTCGGATCCAACTTTAGACTTTGCACCTGCTACTTTTTTCACGCTTTCTGCGGCTCTTTGTCTTATGTCCTCCGTAGTATGGCACCTGTGCGCTGGCTGTTCCGATGCTGCGGTCATGGAGAGTGCAGCTCGATTAGACTACATCGGGATAGGATGGTACGTTCACCTCGCCCGAACCCCGAGCCCTGATGACTGATTAGACATTGCTTTGCTAGGCTAATATCTGCCAGTGTACAGTCCGGAATACATTATGGATTTCATTGCAAGCCGAAACTGCTGAGATTCTACACTATATTGTGCTTCGTCACTGGTATCGCTGGGACTTTTGTACCACTTCAACAATGGTTCAATGAACGTCGATATAAGGTATGATCTTGCTGCTGCCGTTGGTGACGGAAAAGCCCAGTTTCCAACTATCACTTGCTGCAGATATACCGCGTTCTGTTTTACTTGGGTTTGTCCTTTGCGTCGCTGTTGCCGCTGACGCACTTGGCTCTCTCAAAGGGTCTAATCGCAACAATCCACGAAGTCTGTACGTATTGATCATTTTCCCTTCTTGAACGTTTCCATAATCGTGCTTTCGTCAACGTTAGTGCCATTGACACCCTCATGGGGTTCCTACTTTGTCGGGCTGTTTTTCTATGTCACGCACTTTCCGGAGCGTGCCTTTCCAGGATGGTTTGATTGGGGAAATTCGCATACGATATGGCATATGTTTATTGTGTTGGCGATTAGGCTTCATTATCTGGGATTGGGGCAATTGAGGGCTGGAGTAACCGCCTCTGGAGTGTCGTGTGTTGTAAAGTTATAATTCGAATGTAATGACTCATGCGAGACCGAGGAGGACTGATCACAAGACCGGAAGCAAATTGCCAGCTGGCCTGGAAACCCAGGGTCCTCCAACTTACATAACTCTCCGCAAAAAAAGTTTCAAAAACACGAAACGGGGCAGAGACAACCGAACACTTCTGGGCCATGTCTGCTGAAGACACTCAACCCTCTCTGGCACCTGTAGAGCAGGAACAGTGGCCTGCTACAGAGACTACACCAGAACTCACAGCGAAGAGCAGTGCAGGGGGACCTAAAAGTGACACAATGGAAGTCGAACGCGTAGGTGGCGCTCAAGGACAACCTGAGTCTGCTGGGGCCGTTGGATCGAACCCTTCGCCGGCGGTCCCTGGCGCAAAACATGGTACTATCTATCGTGAAAAGCAAATCAAGGTGCTTGTCTAGTTCTCTCTCTACTCCCGTGTCTCTCCCTTTCCATCAGTCATTGGGCACTAAAAAAAAAAGGCATCACGGGCATCTGTGACCATTGTTTTCATAACATCGAACACATGCACATGGCTCCTGGCTGACTGTGCTCGAGCTCGAGCTTATTGACATCTGTCTTTGTGCACTTGTTGACTCCTGATCAATGTGTCTCCTCACTCGCGTTTTCGTCCTGGCTGGCGTTTGATGTGGCTTCTTGTCTTACCGTCGTTTTGCATCTTTCTTTGCCTATGCTGCCCATGGCCGTGGCTCGCTATCTGTTAGGCAAACAAAGTTTATATCGGAGGGCTTCCTGAGACGACTCGTCAGGAAGATCTGCAAGCCTGCTTCGGCAAAATTGGACGTATCGTTAACATTGAACTCAAGTAGGTCCCTTGTAGCTCACGAGAATGGATGCCTCATTCACTTGCTCTACGTATCTGCTTCTGGTAGGACTGGTTATGGCTTTGTGGTATGTCTTGCAAGCTGTACGGGTCTGTCGATGACCTGACGGTCTTGTTTGCAGGAGTTTGATAACCGGCAAGCTGCTGTCGAAAGTGTCTCTGAGTATCATGAAGGGTATTTCATGGGGAACAAAATTCGCGTAGAGCTCTCCCATGGCGGTAGTCGAACCGCCAAGTTTTCTGGTGAACCTGGTGCCTGCTTCAAATGTGGCCAACATGGACATTGGGCTCGGTCAGTCCAGTGCTCTTTCTCTCATCTGATGTTCTTACTCATTCCACATCGCAGAGAGTGCCCCAATCATGTTTTGCCTTTGCGTCATAATAATGATTCATCAAAAGTTTCGGAGGATGCGGTCATGTCTGATAGGGTATCCCACTCTGGACCGAGAGGACCACCACGACACGAGATGCGTGAGCACGCGCATCGTGATGATCGCAATCGTTATGATTATCCTGCCCGTGATGTCCCCAGGGATCGTTATAGGGACCCTCGTCCACCTTCACCTCCTGGCTACCGAGATTATCCACCACCTCCTAGCCGTGGACCCCCTCGCGACTTCTATGACGACAGGAGGGATTATCGTGGACCCCCTCCCCCTCCTCGCTATGAGGGTCGACCTCCTTATCCCGAGTACGACTATCCGCCACCTCGCGATGCGTATGGACCCCGCCCTGGATACGCCCCTCCTCCGAGAGATATGTACGACCGGCGTGCGTCTGACCGTTTCCCGTATCCTCCCCCTCCCGGTGATCGTCCTAGGTCGCCCGGCCCTCCAAGGGGACGTGATGAGTTCCGGTGCGTGTTGGTGAAGTTTTGTTCCTAAAGCCCGTAATCATTTTGCACTAGCGATTACCCTCCTTACCCGCCCCGTGCTGGATACCGTGTTCGCAGTCCCAGGCCAACTGATTACCCTCCTCAAGGATATCGGTAAGTTTTTTCCACTAAAGTTTTTAACAAAGCTCATTCTTCGATATGAAGACGCCGCTCCGTTTCTCCTCGAGGTGCGTTTGAAGACAACGGCCATGACAGTTATGGCCTTGTAAGTGCCATTGCTGATCCCTTATCGAATGGCACGCCTCGTGGTGTGTCATATGTAGGCTATGCTGGACCCCCTGGCTACCCTCCCAATGGTGCCGGTGGTGGAAGATATCCAAGCCCTCCACCGCCTGGTGGTGCGCCTCCGCGTGGTTCAATTGGTGGTCCTGGCAGCCGTCCTGGAAGCATGCCTGGACGTGGGCGGGACGATCGTGACTACAACAGTCGTCGGGAAGCGGACGGTGCCTTGAACGGTGCGGGCTATAGGAGGCCCTGAGAAAGGAGGGGGCGGTGCAGGGTGTCATGTTCTTGGTTTGCACACAGTGAAAGCTTGCTTCGATGTCCATTCTCCAGGACTTACTCCTGAGTCTGTCGGAAAGTCTGTCATTTGTCACGTTTTCGTTTACGTTTTGCAGGGTAGTAAATCTCTCACCATTTTATCATTTCTGTTCGTATCCTTTCCTATCTCGTCCTATCTCGTCCCCCTTAACTATCTAACGCTATGTCGCGTGGTGTTGGCGTGCTTTGTTGTTTTTTCCTCCCCCGTGTATGCAGTTGCTTTTTCCCACGCACAACGCTCATTTCATTTCGTTTTCTATTTTCCATTTCCTTGAGAAAGAAAAGTTTCCTCCGTCCTTGTCGTCGACTGCTATAGTTTATCTACAACTTTCACCGCGATGTGGTTTACAGGACGGCTGATGTAAATTTGTGTATCTTTGCGGATAACTGAGGAGCTCGTGGACTTAGCAACCAACTCTTAGACAAATCACGTAAAAACACCCAAATTGAATTACATACCGCATTCAGCTTCCGTACAGCAGCTGCCCTTCACCTTGCACCTGGGTGCGCAGCTCGTTCCACCAGCGCCTGCCGTCCCTCCCTTCACCGTAATGTCTCGTCCGCCTCCGAGAGTGCCAGAGGCCGCGTACGGCAGTCAGCCTGTCGTCAACGACTCATACTCTCCTCAACCATCCCAACAACCTTATTATGACGACGAGACATTGGAGTACCGTAGGCAGCACCAACACTACGCCGACTCTGAGGCCCGCGGCCAGTACCCACACCCCGAGGGGCAATACGACCCATACGGTACGGTTTTTTTTCCCTCTGCGCTGTTCAAAGCGTGCCTTTCTTCGTCAACGTCACTAACGTAAATGAACGTACATCTTTTTATTAGTCGTCCGCTCACGGGAATACACTGACACCGAGTCGGAGAATGATTATTTACCTCCTAGAGGGACCTATACGCCCTCTGCGGAGTCTCTTCCTTCGCCACGATTCGGTCAGTCCGAAGCTTCGACGCCGACGTTCCTCGATCCACAGATAGTGGTTGTGGGCGAACCGTACCCCGCTTGGACTGCTGAGCGTCAAATCCCCATCTCCAAAGAAGAGGTAAGTTCGGTGATGAGTCTTATTCCATACACGTTGTGGCTCCGCGGCTCAACCTGTTGTTGCGGTCATGACTCGGTTGCTTTAGATTGGTGAGCTTCTTGCCGTTCCCTATTGTGTGCAGCGGTAACTCAGACCTCGTTTGCAATGCTATAGAGGACATTATTCTCGATTTGACGTTGAAATTTGGGTTTCAACGCGAGTCCATGCGCAATGTTGTAAGTGATATGGGCACTTCATTTAGGTTGACAATGCACTTACTGTCTTCACTGTTCGATCCCTCGCTTTGTCATCACAATAGTTCGATTTTTTGATGCAACTTTTGGACAGTCGGGCCTCACGCATGACGCCTACCCAGGCGCTCTTGACCTTACATGCTGATTACATTGGCGGGCCCCATGCAAACTACAGGAAATGGTATTTTGCGGCCCAACTTGATCTCGATGACGCTGTTGGTCAGTCCCAAAATCCTGGGTTGCAACGGCTCAGGTCTGTGAGAGGGGGTGGCGGTCAGCGGCCTAGAACTGGAGGCAGTCGAAGCCTCGAAAACGCGCTAAACAATTGGCGCCAGGTAATGCTCAACATGAGTGCCTATGACCGCGTTCGGCAGATCGCCCTCTGGCTGTTATGTTGGGGCGAAGCTGCAAATATCCGGTTCATGCCAGAGTGTTTGTGTTTCATTTTCAAGTGCGCGGACGATTATTACCGCTCGCCGGAGTGTCAAAATCGTATCGAACCCATGCCAGAGGGTCTCTATCTGAGGACGGTCATCAAACCATTGTATCAGTACCTGCGTGATCAGGGTTATGAAGTCCTGGAAGGAAAGTTCGTTCGACGAGAACGAGACCATGATCGCGTTGTGGGTTACGACGACGTCAATCAGCTTTTTTGGTATCCAGAAGGCATTTCTCGTATCACTCTAGTTGACAAAGTAAGCCCGGCATCCCACTGTTATTGGTGAAATCTGCCTAACCTCATCTCCATCTCAGACTCGCCTTATCGACGTAGCTCCTGCGCACCGTTTCATGAAGTTTGAGAAAATAAATTGGAACAACGTCTTCTTCAAAACGTACTACGAGCGTCGGTCCACCATACAACTTCTCGTCCACTTTAACCGCATCTGGGTGATCCACATCGCACTGTTCTGGTTCTATACGGCCTATAATTCGCCGAAAGTTTACCAACGAGGTGATGGTAGTGCACCTACGCCTGCCATTCGCTGGTCTGTCACTGCACTTGGCGGAGCCGTAGCCACCTTGATTATGATTTTCGTTACGATCGCCGAATTCTTCATCGTTCCCACTACCTGGAACAACAGTTCCCATCTTACTCGTCGCCTCCTTTTCCTTCTCATCACGCTCGGACTAACTGCAGGTCCATCGATATACATTCTTTTCTACAACAATGGAGTGAATGGTGGGTTACCATTGATTCTTGCCGTGGTGCAACTCGGGTTGGCTATCGTGGCTGCGTTACTTTTCGCTATTATCCCTTCTGGGCGAATGTTTGGGGACAGAGTAGCGAGCAAGTCTCGAAAGTATCTCGCCAGTCAGACGTTCACTGCCAGTTATCCCACCCTCGGTCGAAATGCTCGTTTGACGTCTGTTGCGCTCTGGGTCCTCATCTTTGGATGCAAGTTTGTGGAGTCATACTTCTTCCTTACCGGATCGTTCAAGTATCCGATTCAGGTTATGGTTGGAATGAGGGTTCAGGGGTGCACGACCAAGTATCTCGGTTCGGGACTTTGCAAGAATCAGGTCGCGTTCACACTCGCGATCATGTACGTGATGGACCTCATACTCTTTTTCCTGGATACTTTCTTGTGGTATGTCATTTGGAGTACGGTTTTCAGCATTGCGCGGTCATTCTCTCTGGGGTTGTCGATTTGGACGCCTTGGAATAAGATATACTCAAGGTTGCCAAAAAGAATCTACTCAAAGCTCTTGGCTACTGGTGATATGGAGGTCAAGTACAAGCCTAAGGTTAGATTGTCCGTCTTCATGCGCTGGACTCTAAATGCTCATTGAGCCTTCTCCCAGGTTCTTGTTTCTCAAGTTTGGAATGCCGTCATCATCTCTATGTACCGAGAGCATCTGCTGTCCATCGACCATGTGCAGAAGTTGCTCTATCATCAAGTACAGTCTGATGCCAGTGATCGCAGGGCACTACGCGCTCCGCCATTTTTCCTGGCTCAGGGTGATTCAAAGATGGCTGGCGAATTTTTCCCACCTGGACGAAGCGAGGCTGAACGACGAATATCCTTCTTTGCCCAATCGCTCACTACCGTTATGCCCCAACCTCTTCCTGTTGATGCCATGCCGACTTTCACCGTCCTGACCCCTCATTACGGCGAGAAGGTTATTTTGTCACTCCGTGAGATTATTCGCGAGCAAGACCAGAACACGCGGGTGACACTTCTGGAGTACTTGAAGCAACTACATCCCATCGAGTGGGATAATTTCGTTAAGGACACAAAGATCCTTTCGGAGGAAGCGGCGATGTATAACGGCAATGGCAACGGTGCTAATGGGAATCCTTTCAACCCTGATGAGAAGGCGAGCAAGGTGGACGATATTCCTTTCTACACTATTGGTTTCAAAAGTGCGGCACCCGAGTACACCCTTCGTACCCGAATTTGGGCTTCCCTCCGTGCTCAGACTCTTTATCGCACAGTGTCTGGCATGATGAATTACTCCAAGGCAATCAAGCTTCTTTACCGTGTCGAGAATCCGGAAGTCGTCCAGCTGTTTGGCGGAAATGCCGAAAAACTCGAACGCGAGTTGGAACGGATGGCCCGTAGGAAATTCAAGTTTGTCGTCTCCATGCAGCGCTATTCCAAGTTCAATCAGGAAGAACATGAGAACGCCGAGTTCCTTCTTCGTGCTTATCCCGACCTTCAGATTGCCTACCTGGATGAGGAGCCTTCAAAAGAGGGTGGCGAGCCCCGTCTTTTCTCAGCTTTGATTGACGGGCACTCTGAATTCATTCCCGAGACGGGTCGAAGGAAGCCGAAGTTCCGGATCGAGCTCCCTGGCAACCCAATTTTAGGAGACGGGAAGTCTGACAACCAGAATCAAGCGGTCATCTTCTACAGAGGCGAATATCTTCAGCTCATTGATGCCAATCAGGATAATTATCTCGAGGAATGCATCAAGATTCGAAACGTTCTCGGAGAATTCGAGGAGTTTGGTTCGTCGACGAAGAACCCATATTTGCAATGGACGGACAAGGAGATGACTCGTTCCCCTGTCGCTATTGTTGGTGCACGGGAGTACGTCTTCTCGGAGAACATCGGTATTCTTGGTGATTTGGCCGCTGGAAAAGAACAGACTTTCGGTACCTTGACCGCTCGCCACCTTGCTTGGATCGGTGGCAAACTCCACTATGGTCACCCGGATTTCTTGAATGGGACTTTCATGAACACGCGTGGGGGTGTGTCCAAGGCGCAAAAGGGTTTGCATCTTAACGAGGATATTTTCGCTGGTATGAACGCGTTTGGTCGCGGTGGCCGTATCAAACATTCGGAATATTACCAATGCGGTAAAGGTCGCGACCTTGGATTCGGTACTATCTTGAACTTCCAGACGAAGATTGGGACTGGTATGGGAGAACAGATGTTGAGTCGCGAGTACTACTACTTGGGCAGTCAGCTGCCTATCGACCGATTCTTGACGTTCTATTATGCGCACCCTGGTTTCCACATTAACAACATCCTCGTCATCTTGTCTGTTCAGTTGTTCATGGTTTGCTGTGAGTGATCATGATGTTTGCTTGTCAATTGTGGCTAACGTATTTGTTTCAGTGGTGTTCTTGGGAACACTCAACAAGTCTCTGTTGATTTGCACATTTGATACGAACAATCCAAGCAATCGCGGGACGGCTGGTTGTTACAATTTGGTCCCTGTCTTTGACTGGATTCGACGCTGTATCATCAGTATTTTCCTCGTGTTTGCTATTGCATTCTTGCCATTGTTCTTGCAAGGTTTGCCTCCTTTTCTCGCTGTCGTACCGAAATTCTGATCATCCACCGCTCAGAACTCACGGAACGTGGTACTGGTCGTGCTCTCATGCGTCTCGGCAAGCAATTTGGGTCACTTTCGCCGATGTTTGAAGTGTTCTCCACCCAAATTTATACCCATTCAATTTTATCGAACTTGACCTTTGGTGGGGCTCGATATATTGCCACCGGCCGAGGATTCGCTACCACCAGGATATCGTTCAGTATCCTTTACTCGCGTTTCGCAGGTCCAAGTATCTACTTGGGCATGAGGACTCTGATTCTGCTTCTATATGCCACCCTCGCAATATGGTTGCCCCACCTTATTTACTTCTGGGTGACTGTGCTCGCTTTGTGCATCGCCCCATTCCTCTTCAATCCTCATCAATTCTCCTTCGCCGATTACATCATTGATTACCGGGAGTTCCTTCGATGGATGTGTCGCGGCAACTCGAGATTCCACCCGAATTCTTGGATCGGATATTGTCGTCTGTCAAGAACAAATATCACTGGTTATAAAAGGAAGCGTCTGGGACACCCTTCGGAAAAGCTGTCCGCAGATGTGCCTAGGGCGACGTGGCGAACCGTCCTCATGTCTGAGATCATCTTCCCTATCTGCCTCGCGACCCTCTTCGTCATCGCGTATGTCTTCGTCAAGTCCTTCCCTGGTAAGAATGACAGCGTTCGGGCTTCACCTCTTATCCGCATTGCCGTTATTGCTCTTGGCCCCATCCTTTGGAATGCCGCTGTCTTGATCATCATGTTCATGGTTTCAGTTTTCATGGGTCCCATCCTCTCTGGTTGTTGTGTATCATTTGGTTCGGTGATGGCATTCATCGCCCACTCCCTAGCCCTTCTCGGGATGGTTGGATTTTTCGAGCTCTTGGTTTGTGTCCTTGCCCCCAGAAAAGCCGACTACTGACCGTCTTTCGCAGTGGTTCCTTGAGCTTTGGGATGTCTCTCATGCGGTACTGGGGCTCATCGCAACGATCTTCGTGCAGCGCGCCGTACATAAATTCCTAATCGCCGTCTGCTTGTCTCGTGAATACAAGCACGACGAGACCAACAGAGCATGGTGGACTGGTAAGTGGTACGGTCGTGGCCTATCCCATGCTTGGTCGCAGCCAGCCCGCGAGTTCATCGTGAAGGTCGTCGAGATGTCACTATGGAGTGGAGATTTCTTGCTTGGTCACTTCATTCTCCTCCTGATGACACCAATCATTTGCATACCATATATTGACAAGCTTCACGCAACCCGTAAGTGCCTATTTTTGGTTCTGGAGAACGCAATGCTGATTCTTTTACACGCCATCCACAGTTCTTTGTAGGCTTTTTTTTTCTTTTCTCTTGCAATCTTTTCACTGACCATCCTTTCAGTCTGGCTTGCTCCTTCGAAGCAAATCCGAGCGCCACTGTACCACGTGAAACAAAAGAGACAACGGAGGGCAATTGTACGTTCATACCACGTCATGATGGGGATAATATTGACAGAACGGGCGTAGGTTACCAAATACGGCATCATATATGCGCTGGTGATGGCAATCTTTGTTACGCTGATCGCGATCCGTGAGTTACTGGTTCGTTTAGCTGGTTGTCAGCCCATGATACTCAAACGCGATCTTCAACCCAGCCGCGGCCTTCCGAACAAGGCTGCACATTCACTGTTCCCTTTGTAAATCATTATAGGCTACCACTCCCTTCCTCTAGATTTCGCCCCTCATTGATGATAGCCTGACCAGTGCACTTTCAAGGATCCAGGTTCCCCAGTTACCAGTCATGCATTTTACGCACACAAGGACTTTCTTAACACGTACATTCTTTTGCTTATTTTCGGACTCGGTTTCTGTTAATTCTTTTCATTGTTTATCGTATCTTCATATCGTGCTCGGCGAATGAAAGATCTAGATTACTCGAGGTGCAAAAACAAACTAAAACAGCGTACATTCAACATTCAAATGGATATTAGATTCGTGATAGATCGTCCAATTCGATAGAAAAATGTCAGTATCCCGAGCGTCGTCTCAGATACGTGTAACAACTAGAGTGATAGAATACGTTAGATATCATCAAAATCAAGCTTTGAGGTGCCAGGAAGTCCTACGTCAAAAAGTAGGGAGCAATGGAGAGAAGCATTGCAACCCAGGCCGTCCAGATGAGCCACAGAGCCGTTCCATATGCAGTTGTTATTCCGATTTTGGTATTTGTGGCAACCTGCAGAAACAGTATCCATGAGCCGGCTTGACATCTTGAAAGCTATGGCGTACGATAATATTCCCCTCGGGCTTCATAGCCCCAATCAAGGCTGTCCATATTGCAGCACCGATGAGTGTTGTGAACGCACCGAATATACTCAATACCAGGGCGGCAGAGAAAGTGTAACTGTTTCTTATTAAACCGCTGTTTATGTAGCAAAGCGTTCATGAAATGCTATCGACCAGGCAAAAGTTTAGAAACGTACGTAAGGAATGCCAGGGCCGTTGAGAGGGACCCTATAAAGATGAAGGCGAATCCAGCTACAGAAGTCGATTTGTTTCGGTCGATCATTCCGAAAGGCGTTGGCTGTTGGATGAGGAGATCGAGGAGGGTGGTATAATTAGCAGGGGCGTCGGCGATTATCGCCCCTTTGGGATTGAATGGGTATCCAAACGAGCTGTTGCCTTCTGCAGTGCACACGCCAGCGCCGCTGGCGCGGTCAATGAACCCGCAGTAGCCTGAGGCATATTTAGCCGTTGTGCGGCATTTAGAATCATGGAAGGGAACAGACGAACCGTAGAAGCCCCATTGGTATACTCGTCGGACGCCACGATGTTGTCCTAGTGGGTCCTGAGGGGTGTTGCTGTAAAAACCCGGACTTTGGTCTCCAGTGGCAGCCACGAGCCCAGCACTAGAGAAATAGGATTCAAAATGATGAGGTGGTAATGAGGAAAAAGGTATTCACGCCAGGCTGGAGACATTGACAGTTATCTGGGGTGCGCGCGCAACATTGCATGCCATTAGAACAGTATCAAATTTGTTATTCGCATACGTACCAGTCCTATTCCTCGAGCAATGGCATTGTGATTTGTTGAACCAATCTATCGAGCAAGAAGCGATGAAAATGAGGCAAATGTGCACGCAATGTTCTAGTTGGGCTTACGTGGGCAAACATGAGCAGAAGTGTCGCAATGAACCTGGCCGTTCGCACGTTAGGATACTACGATCTCCCGATAATAGCTGAACTCACGAAAGTAAGCTGGCGGTACCAATGCAGACTTCTCCCCGCATAACGTTTTGAGGCTAAAGTGACCTGACCGCCTCGCGTCAGGCAATTTCTTAGGCCAGGACTACGGGAATGATGATCGCCTCGCGTTCGGTGTGCAGCGCGTTGCTTTGCACTGTTTGAACACGACAACAAGCCCAAAGTCAATATTTGCTTCCGTACGGCCACGAGGCCAACTCATGGTCGCACGCGAGCCTACGCCGGATTTCAAATATTGAAAAAGTAATGACAACCGTCACTCCCGGTCAGCAGTTGCGTAGCACGCTTGACGCTTGCCGCGTGTCAGCATAATAATGTTAAATATTACAGTAATAGTTCACGCAAGAAATAAACCTATAATAATACTAAACAGCCTCATCCAGAAGCGTCTCTTGCTGTTCCTCTAACTGTGGTGGATCGATATTTAACCCTACTATCTGCATGGCTCCCATTAAAGCAGCTCCAGATTCGTCAATGGATCGCAAGAAATGAAGTAATTCCCGACACAAGTTCAAATCTTCCGCAGCCAAAGCCTTTTGCAGCAGCCTGGCTGTATCTTGGTTGACATCTTGGGTGTGCTCCAAATTATGAAGAACAAAAAGATATGATCCAGCAGTCTTAAGAGCTCCCATAGATAGGCATGACTGAACCAAAAAATATTCAGCGGCCGAAAGTCGTGGCCTTAGGTACCACTTCGACATACCTCGAAGAGCTCTCTGGGGCTGCCCGCTATTTCGAAAAGTTTCTTCCACTTCGACATCTCCGTTTTGCGCGCACAGTTGGCAATCACGTCAAGCGCGGAGTCGAAATGGTCGACAAATTCAATCGCCGAGTTCAGAGTCTCATCGGCCTCTGTGTCTTGGGCTTGGGAATCAGCCTCTAGAACGGTGTGAAGGAAGACCTCCAAGACATGCGCAAAATATACCAAATCCTGGTAATTTGCTGACAGCATAACAGCATCCTTCAATTGACCACGGTTTATGTGATATTTTAGAACGTGATGTAGGAAGAGGTGGGTCTGACGGGTGAATCGGTTAGCGAAGAATCCCTCGTATAAATATGACACACTTACACTAGTAATCGTACGGAACATTGCGAACGGGAGCGATGGACGCGTCGCGGTTTCATGCTCAATACCGATGACGACACCTTTGTCCATCAGTACAGCTATTGGAGGGTAAGAGCTGGCCTGCACTACTCAACAAACTGCGACGCTTACATAGAGGATAGAATGACAGAGGAATCGAGACGCTCTCCTTGATGCTTTCATAAGCGTCTAATTCAGTGTTCACGTATGCTGCCTCGATGGTTAATGCATCAAGCCAGATCCGGACCCTAGACCCGTCATACCCCCACAATGAATTTTCTAGCGCGCCGATACCCGTTAGATGGATCCAGAAGAACTCGATCTGTCGAGCGAGAATCTGCATATCGTACTTCACTTCATGCGCTCCAACCTAATAGGATGCCAATTTACCATGCGTAATCCGTGACGTGAATGAAGCGCACCTTACGTGGCCTTAACAAGATCAGGCGGCCACTGACCAATAAAATGATGGTAGCCACCGTCAGATCGTTGTTTGGATCACCAAGTTCTGCGGAAAGGGTAAGATGCTATGAATCATGGCCTGTGGATGAACGTACGTTTCTGGGCAAATGGTAACATCCAACTCAGCCCCTTCACCAATTTCGGATTGGAGACAACGCCTTCAAAACTCATGCTACCGCATAAATGCAGTTTGACCGATTCCATGGTTGTCGTGATGAGAAAATGGAATAATGTGTTATCGAGAGTGTAAACCAGGAGTGATGTCTCGATCAGCGATAGAAGGATTACAGGCGAAGGGAGGATTTCACGGTGTAGTATATTACCTGTGGAAAGGTCAAGATCTCGCGAATACAGACGAATCTATAGTGTTCCCTAAGTATATGCGAATCCATCGTCCAACCCAGACATACCTGGTATGAACCCGAGAAATCAACTGCGGCTATCAAGACATGATTGAACCATGCCATCCCGCCCCGAACAAAAAAAGCCTGTTCCTGTGCTTCATCGGCAAAAGATTTCCAACGTCCAGATGCGGCGCTCCAGTGAATGAGTCCTCTTTTGCCAGCAATAGCGAGCAATCGTCCATCGTTACTTATCGATGCATATCGCATCGGCCAATAGCTACGAATGTAAGTGAGTGGCATCTAAATGGACAATATCAATATTTATCAAAATCGATGAGGTAGCACCACCAGATACTTTAAGGTGTTGCCAAACATCCGCCTCCGGATTGATAACGCTCATATCAGGTTGGTCTGCGCCTCGATAAATCATGACAGCATCATCTTGTTGGAGAATAGCATATCTAGTGTTATCCTGCAAAGAGGGATGTATATTCCAAGGGCCTGAAGATGGCAGAAAAACCCTTTACGCACGGGAGACTGTTGATTAGTGATCGTGCTCTTCGCGAACGGGATGACGAATAATCGGGAAAGTTTTGGGGCTCTTGTTGCCAATGTGCAAAGCTCAGTATTCCCAGGGGCCCAGAACTGCAATGCAATCAATGATGAACACTAGATGCCAAAAGAATGCACCGACCAATGATCTGATACCGAATAGGAACCCGTCCTCGAACCTAATAAGATCATAAGCAGTAATACATAGTGCCTGTGAATGGCAACGAACGTGGTGTCATTGATAACTCCTTCCGAATCCGTGCTGGATGATATGCAACGGCCGGATACACTGAAAACTCCCCATGCATTTTCCCAGCCTACGGCGAAAGCGTAGCCATCTGAAGTCCATTGGATGGTTTGCACCGCTCCAACACCTGTTGCATATTCAGAACTATGCGTGGGTCCCAGAACCCTTGGTGGCTCGATGACATCGGCAGGAAGGACAGGAGAATCACTTGTCGGGATTGTTGGCAAGAAGATTGCTCCGCTACCGCAGTCAGTCAAAACATTATATTGACCTATATCACAACTGCCCACCTCTGTGTTCCAACGGCCACCGTAGAAAAAACGTGATTAAAGGCTAAGGTTGTGGCTCTATTCGAAATGTCTTTGTTTCCCGGGGATAGGGGCTGTCCGGTCGGTTCTGGGGCCTGAGGACTAGCTTTATCGGTGGCCTGGCCATAAATACAGATTCCATGCCAATCGAGAGTCACATCCAGCGATTCGTGTGCCAGCGCAGAGTCATGTAACACCTGCTCCAATGAACTATTTGACACCTGAGGAATTTACCAATTAGCATCGCATTCCACGAATTACTCAGAGTAACCATGGACAGACACGATTTTCCCCTTCCTTTGAGGCGCGATGTGCCGAGGGTTCTGCTTCGCCCTCGGAGAGATACACAATATATGCACAGCCATCAGACGTAATCCACCCCTCCAGGTTGCTACCTTTGTCGTGATAAATGATATCCACCATCACTGGAAGGGAAATGAGCGCCACAGCATCTGGGGACAGAACTCGGGGAAGTACCATTCGACTGCAGGAGCCAAGGCATGTCCTCCTGATGAGTCATCCACGTATCGTGACCCAGCCATTTTTGATGCCCAATATCTTCTCCATCTGAGCCCGAATCGGAGTCATTAGTGATCGGCCAAGGTATGCGTTGCACGGCTGGCGGAATCGAAGTCGAGAATAGAATGTGCGTCTGACGAGGTGAAACGCTGAAGAAGCTTTCGCTTACCCCCCATCTTTGAAGGTAAGCTAAACATACCATCGAAGTTCGCCTCGAACCTGAATCACGCCCTCCAGGGACAGGTGGTGAACATGCAGATGAGCCTCCTCTCCTGGACCAGGCTGAAAACGCTTTAGCGCTGCAGTAGCAAGACTTGACGAGCTGTACGCGAGCACATCAGGGTCCTTCTTCACTTTAATCAGGACCAAGTAAGAGGATGTCGTCTACTAAACGGCCGTCAGTTGTGAAGCGTGGATGTTGGGGATGGACGCACTTGAACCACAATTCGGGTGCTATCCGGAGACCAATTTGCACTGCAATTCGTCCCATGAAGAGCAATAGAAGTCTCGGATCGAGTAAGGGAACAAAGATGCACAAGTGGCTGACAGGAATATTATGAAACATAAGCTAGACTGCCAGCCATTCACTCACTCGCACGCTCCATACGCATACGGCAGTCGAGGTGAGCAGCAGGAATTGCGATTTTGACGAGTTACACTGTATGAGAATGGATATTTCTTGGGGATGTGATTCATACGAGAGTGATTTGGCCACTCCGGCGGGGAAATACATTACATGCGTGGAAAGGAACTGGACACGTGCCCAAAGTTGAACAATGTCGGAAAACTCCCTAAAACGTTTACATAATTGAGTTACGTCATCACGTCCCTGGGTTGTGCGACAATGACAAAATTAAACCACCGCCCTAGTCACAATGCCCAGAAACCGTGACCACGTCTGAGCTCTCAGCAGCAGCACGCGCACCATGAGGACTTCGGGGAGTTGATAATATGTAAGATCATAAGACAATAAATTCGGACAACTCCACTACAGTACAGCTAAGGTCATAACTGAAAAGCTAGACCTCGTTGACCGATGACAATTTTTTTTGCAAAACACACTGCAACAATTGACCTGACGCACTTGCCATCGCTCGTGGCCTCGGCTCTATCGACCAGGTATTAGAATTGTTAGCGATTTACGCTAGCGTGTTACGCTCAGTCAATCGTTGTTGGACTTATAAATGGAAACTAATTATTACCTGGCGTGTTACACTAGGATACATGAGAGTGCGTAAGTTATTAAAACAGATGCAGAAAAAGCGGAGTCTCATCTCAGTCAATCATTGTTGAACTGAGGGAGACGAAAGAGAAAAATTGTTCGTTGCTTTTATAGACAGTCGCCTCAATGGCGCACTGACTTTGGTAGCAGGAATACCAAGAAAGGAAATATAGCGCCGCAAGCTCAACATCACATTGTGAGTTGGCCACAGCGCACTATACCCAAGAAATCAACACTAGGGAGGCCAACTCCCGTCTAATCTCAAGTTATCCGTCCGGGAGGCATATCAATATGTGACCAAAATGCGCATTTCACTCGATCGTACCGTGGATCGGCTTCACTCCCCTGCCTATCCCCGGACAATATTGACTTGTGAACAAAAGTAAAGAATAGTGGATGATGCGTATTAGAACCTTTCCCGCACTTGTTTTCTCGCGACTCCTCCCTTCCTCAGTTCTCTGCCTTGCTAAGCGTGAGACTGAGGCTAGTAGGATACTCCTTCCGAGCTACAGAACAATGAACGTATAGTTTGAACTACCTAGATCACATGCGTTCACTCTTGCCATCAGACATAGCGACTGAAGAACACAGGGGATGTCCTCCCTAGGGCACCGCCAATGGGCAAAGTGATAATATCGAGCTAGAACCTGGGACTAGGCGCTGCGCAGCATAAATGAGACCATCAGGATCTTAAGGCCTCCAATATATCCACTGACCAACAGGCAGCACAGGGGTCTGAAAGACGCGGTGCAGACGGTTCTCCGGACTAAGTCCTTGCATGGTGGTCATTTAAAAAGGCACGAGAAAGCAGCAAATCCCATTCGACTATTCTGCACTCTCAATTTCTTTGGGTTCTGGTGTGCACCTCCAAATAATGATAGGACCACATGTTCGATGACGGTAACGTCAGCATACCGGCGTCACGTTCTGACCACGGTAGGGCTTCGCCGTTGTACGGTCTCGTCCAAGACTCCAAAATGGTTTTAGCCCGGGCCATCGGGGACTTCATAGCAATAGCAACGGCCAGTTTTCAAGCCCCATTTTCATGGTACCTCCTTTCCCTCTTGGGAGCAGACAGCTTCGGATTGGAAAATGGGCGATTGTCCAGTGACAGCGCCACAGTCATGAGGGCGGCAGCGGTGGTAAGATCCCATTGGCAACCCCAGATGGGGGAAAGGAGTAGACTGTATCTGTCATCCGTCATCGTTCAGAACACGGCAGAAAGGTCCTAGGATCGGACAGAGGGCGAGTAGAAATGTCGCCGCAATACGCCGCGGTTCGTCGCCGAACCGGCCAAAGAGGTTTCAACCGCGAGTACATCAGTTTGTACAGGGGAATCATTGCACAAGATGATCAAAAAGGAGAAGCGGGTCGTAAAGTGCGAATAACCCCCAGGCTGTTGAGTCTTTCTCTGGTTCAACATCGACTTTGGGAAGGATACGCGTATGTGTGAGCAGTTCAAAATTCAAAACGACCACGAAATTACGTCCATCAACAAACTCTTCTGCAGATGCTAGCAGTCGTCAACATGCATGGACGATTCCCATTCGTAAAAAAGAATCATTGAAAGCTGATATCATCAGTGGACACGCTCTTCTGGCCTGCTAAGTAGGTGGAATGCCGTGTAATACACATAGGTCATTGATAAAATAGAGTAACTGTTTTAGTTTGTAATGCGCAGAGAACCACATCATGATTCAAGCAGAGGATAAGCGCAAGCCAGGGGTAAACGGTAACAGGAGACGCGGTGAATTCTCCGTCCCCCTCCCAATCCCCATGACTCAGCAGAGACTTCTCTGCTGCACAGCATGGTTTACAAAGGCGCTATATAAGGACGCGAGAGTCGCACTTCCAAAATGCCCTCGACCCGAGGCGATGCCTCAAATTTGATTTGGCGAGGTGGGAATTGCCGAGTTCAAGGTTCAATTGACTCGGGCCTTTTCAAGTCTTTTGACGCTGGGACTCGATTCCCGTCTCTAGTCCACCTAAGAGTGCCCAGAAATTAGTACTTTGGATATTCATCATGGACTCTTCAAGTCGCGATATAGATTTGATGGCAACTGCTTCCGGCACACAAACTAGGTCGCTCAGTGCAGGAGAGGGCCACAACCAAGACTCCTCGAAGGACCTCCTCCCTGGATGGAAACAGATTCGGGGGAGGGTCTCTATGGGCTCCTCTTCTTCCCTTCGCTTTCAAAAAGCGCCATATGACGCAGACTCTAGACGCAAGTCTTTGAAGCGCAAGATGAGAGGGGAAGCATCGGAGGAAATTAAAGACCCTACACTGCTCTCGATTGCTAGGAATGCTCGTCCACCTGAGGAAGCGGCTTCCGCGAAGGGGAAGGCGTATCGACGCATACCTAACGCGAAACTGCGGGCACATCTCAACTCGTTACATGAGAAGGCGACTCAGAGCCGGCAATTGCGCCAGGACTTCAATGATTTGCTCATGGTTGGTGCCGAAGCTGGTGGAATTGAGGTCGAGGGCGAAATGGAGAGGACTGCGGATATCATCCAGGATGATATTCTGCAGAGCGTTGGGATTGAGGCTGCGACGCAGCGGAAGGAGTGGGCATTGGATGGCGGACCGTATGTGCTCAGGTACACAAGAAATGGACAGTGAGTCGTACTATGCAGGTTCAATGAGCGGGAAGGCTCATTTCCACGGGTATGATGCAGGCACATGGCAATTGGGGGAGATATGGACATCTCGCTTCGTTTAATTGGAGAGTGGGTCAATTACACTCGGAATCGCAACTAAATGACAACATACGCGACGTATCGTGCGTAGCTCCTTACTACTAATACCTATGACCCATGTTTATGTCGCTCCGCGAATGCAGGTACCTTCACACACACGAATACCTGGCTGTCGCCCAATCTCGCTTGACCTACATCTACGACCACACAGGAACAGAGATCCACCGTATGAAAGAGCTCGCGGATGTCCACCGTCTCGAATATTTACCATACCATTGGCTCTTGGTCTCAGTGAGTAATAAGGGAATCGTCAGATGGACCGATACCACCACGGGGGCGTGTGTTGCCTCACACAGGACAAAGTTGGGCGCATGCAAGGTCATGGCACAAAATGCGCACAATGCAGTGGTTTACCTTGGACATCAAAATGGTAGGTCTTCGGTCCATTTCAACATATGAGAGCACAGTGACATGGCAGAAAATGACACGTTCTGGTACCCTCTTCAGGAACGGTGACTCTTCGCACGCCTAATCTCCATGCACCAGCCGTCACTCTCCTTGCTCACCACGGGCCAGTGTCCGCTTTATCAGTTAATCCATCGCAGGGGAGTGAAGGTAGATACTTGGCGACTGCAGGTCATGAAGGGAAAGTGAAGATCTGGGATTGTCGCAACTGGAAAGGGTGTGTGCGAGAGTGGTGGATGAGGGGTGGGGTGCCGGGGGCAGGCATTGAACTTGAGTGGTCTCAAAAAGGATTTTTAGGCGTGGGTGTCGGGCGAGGAGTGAAGGTAAGCCTGTGGCATCAGGGGCTCTTCGTCAACGGGCGAGGAAAGTCCAGCAGCCGGTTGGTTGCTCACTCATGAACGTTGGTCGGTCTCGGCAGATATACCGCGATCCGACAAAAGAAAGTCTAGGCACCCCTGAGTTGTACCTACGGCACCAGGTGCATCACCATCCACTTACTTCAATTCGGTTCTGCCCCTACACAGATGTCCTGTCAATTGGTGAGTCGTTCGATAAAGGGTTAGAGCTGCGGGATTGCATAGAATCAGCGTGACTAACTCCTGGCTGTCAACGGCACACTAATTTCGTTCCCTTCCCTGGTAAAAAGGTCATGCGAAGGGGCTAAGCTGCATAATTGTTCCGGGGGCAGGTGAACCGCAGTTTGACTCTCGCGAAGCCGATCCCTTCGAAAACAAGAAGGCCAGGAGAGAGAGAGAAGTACACATGCTATTGGATAAGGTGCGTGTCCACGTCCTTCATGCCTCCTTTTCACATATCATCGGATCTCTTTCGCATACCTGTCCGCTACTGAATCATTTCTTCCCTCCTAACTCACCCCTATCGTCCAACCAAACTTATTCATTTCATTATTACCCTCGATCATGGGCCTTTGTCCCTTGCGCAATCTCATCACTATGACCACAATTTACGATCGAACAGATTCCAGCGGACCTTATCACAGTTTCGGATGAATATGTCGGGACAGTTGTTCCGCACAAGTCCAACTTCGACCCGTCCGAGTACGAGGGCCGTGTGGTGCCCACGTTCACGAACTTGGGTCGTCGTGACCGGCTCAAAGCTACCAACCAGGCGGACGAGCCAGAAGACGAAGCGGGTGATACTGACGACGATGATGACAATGATGACAACGTTGACGGCAAAGAAAGCGACTCAGAGGATGAGCCAGACTTTGATCCTGAGAGTGGATATCAGGAGGATGGTGCACAGGCTCCGATGCGCCGAAAGAGGGGCTTGATTAAGTGAGTTCCTTGCTCTTTGATTCTCAAGGTTCAGTTTCTCGACCCTTGGGTGTCTATCGTCAGGGGAAAGATTGGAGTTAGATCACCACGGCGTTGCTGATCCCTTTTCTAGGCACAAACGGAAGAAGACCAGGAAAGATGAAACTCGAACGGTGCGTGTGTGGCCCGATTGCTCCGACCTTCCAAGTTTCGACGTGGAGATCTGGGGTGAAAGGAGACATAGAAGTCGAGTTTTTAAACTGATGAATCTTATTTTTCTGTTTTCGGTTTTGGTCATGTAGGCTCTGCTGCGTGAAAGGCTTAGAGCGCAGCAAGTATCCCGGCCAGCAGAGCCTCAGAAGGAAACTGGGCCAAAAGGCTTGCCCGGGATGGAGGCTCCGCGCACGGGGGCTCTTGCACGATTCGCGCGATGATGCAAAAGTGGTCCGCGCTTAGGTCGGTAGATAAATCATATTCCGTCACAGCTTACCGACGTACTTCTCGCTAGCCAAAAGCACGGTTCGGTTGATGGATGTGGAGGCATAGCTCCGCATTCATGTGGCGATGAGAAGAAAAGCGAATAATCCAAGGTTGGTGAAATGGTCGCAATGGATATTACTATGGTATTGCTACGGTTACAGTTAAGGAAGCATCATGCATGTCAGCACCAGCAAATCTCTTTCCGGGGACCCGTTCTTTGTCGAGTGAAACTCCGACGAGCCTCATTGCAAGGTGGCGGTGCACATGTGGAGGAGCCAATCTTGGGCCCCTGCTTGGAGTGACAATAACAACCTCCGGATTTTTGTCGATTGTAATGTGAGTGCTCTGTTGAGGTGCTTGAGGGGCTCTTTACTCGTTGTCGTTATGGTCGAAGAAAACCGGTTGGTCGCTGTCTATTGAGTATAACCGGCAATCGCCGTTGAATGGCCGGGTAACACACTCCGTGATGCTTTCATAATCTCAAAGCTGTGATAAAGCAGGAAATTTGAATTTGAAATTAGGATAATTTTTTATATTTTCCAATTTCTTCTTCCACGCTGAGGTCACCTTCGGGCAAATGCTGTGCTGCGCTCTTTACTCCTCTTTCTCGTTCTCAATACACGATCCTGACGGCTGCTCTTTAAGAACTCCTAACAATTCCCCGTCACAGAGATGTCGGTCGCCACTTCATCACAATCTCCGTTAGAGCTAGCCCAGGCTGCTTCAAATAGAGCCTCTTCTCCAAGGCTACCCTCCAAGCGGAAGAGACCTCAGCCTTCTACACAGTGGTCTTCAGACGACGGCTCTGATAAAGAGCGACCTTCTTCTCCCCGACGTGACGATCGTTCTTCTAGGGACCTTCCTCGTATCATCTTAGACACCAACGAACCCAGTCGGCCGTATACCAAGACCACTCGCATCAGTGCACCAAGTCACGAACCAGGCGAAGAGGAGGAGAATATCGACATGCTAAGCAGTTCTAGTGAAGGTCCAGGAGGTACTGGTGCTGGCCCATCTCAGTCTCGATCGGCACCTCCGCTCCCATCTCAAGGACTCAATCGCGGCTTCGCTTGTATGGGTTGTCGGAAACGCAAATCTAGGCGAGGGTTTTCTTCCCTATCTCTGGATGCTGTGGTCGCTCATATACGCGTCTTTCACGTCATCAGATGCGATACAAAGCGCCCATCATGCGAGCAATGTATCAAAGCAAAAATGCCTTGTCTTTACGACGATCGTCCAGCCATCAGACCAACTGATCTCGTATGTATTATTCCCCATACAGTCCACATTCAGCTGCCTCGCTTGACTGACTATATATAATATCCCCACGCTCTCAACAGCTCAAGATGAGAATCAAAGAATTGGAGGATCAACTGGCTGAGATGGCACGCCTCCATCCAGGCCTCGCAGCAATGGTCTCCTCAGCTGGCAGCTCAGCCTCGGGTTCTGGTTCTCAACCTGGACCTTCAGGAACAAATCCTGCATTCCTTTCCGCTGGACCACAATCAGATCGCGATCGTTCGGGCAGCCCACACTCCACGGGCACAGGTCCTGCCGCAGCAGCCACTGCGACGGAGCTGTACAGCATCACCGCTGCCGCGGGCAATCTTCGCCCTGGCGCGGAGGGCACGCCGTATGGTGCAAGCGGTCGTGGGGGTCTTGGTCTTGGTGAAGCGCACTTCTTTCAGATAGCGCCCGATATCTCCAATGATCCTCTGCCACCGGGTATTAATCAACATGATTTGTGAGTTGTTATATTTGTATAAACGGCACTGCTTCCCCTGACCATCCTATTTGGATCTGTATTCCAATTCAACCGTTCACATTTAGGTTGCGAATATTCTTCTCGCATCGGCATCAGGCGTACTTTGAAATCTCAGAAGCGCGGTTCTGGCAAACTTTGGCAATTCACCAGGACCAGCAAAAACAATCATCTGGAACATCCTCGTCAACGGTTTTACATGCTTCCCTACTCAATGCGATGTACCTTCTTGGATGCTTTTTCAGCGGCAACCCGCAGTTGGCAGCGTACGAGCCCCTCTTCCTTCAACGCGCCCGACAAGGAATTGCCAATGCCCTCGAACTTGCCGAAGGTCTCCCACCATCCATCCAGGCTGCTTCCCTCGTTGCGACATATCTGTACTCTAAAGGGCGCGTCTTGGAAGGGTATTACCTTTCCTGTGCTACCGCGCGCTTCGCGGTGGGCTGCGGGCTTCATCAGATCGAATCGCCATATTACAACACCGGTGCAGCAGCAGTAGGCGCGGGAGGAACGCCTCTACCTGGTTTGCAACCCCTTCTGGAGCCAGCACGAGACGCGACCGAGTACGGTGAACGGATTCATACATGGTGGCAAGTTTGGATGGTGGATCAGTGTGCCAGCGTCTCGACTAACTTGCCGCCTGCCCTATATGACTCGAGCGACGCCTATGCACGAATTACCACGACGTTCCCTCCTGATATAGCCGAGTTTGAGACAGGAAGCCTGAACTCCATGCCTGGTGGGCCTGGCTATGGTGCGCCCAGTGCTGCCGGGGTAGGATACGGGGGAGCTGGGAATGGGAGCTTGGGGACGTTAGCGGGCTTGTACGATGGGACGGTCACTGAAAGTCAAAATGGTTCGTTCGATGGGAGACGCAAGGCACTTGTGGTCAAGGCCACTGAACTGTTTTCTCGGGCCTGGAAATTGTCCAAACATGGTTGGTATAGTGTTCGTCTCGTGGACGGATTGTTGATTTTTCCCTACCCGCAGAGGTGAAAGACGATGCTTTCCGCGCCGCATTCGATGCCACAGACCAAGCGATTCATTCACTTTCACTGACACTTCCTCGAGCGCTCACGGAGCAGAACGTGCTCATCCCCGCCTACATCCTTCCTAATATGTTCGCACTTGCTGCGGTGATCCAGTTGCATATGATCTTTGCGGTCGAGCACAATCATCTGGCTCCAAGTTACCAGAAGTGTTTGGACGCCGCCACTGAAATGATCGATATTATCAATGCTATGGAAGAGCAGAGAATTGATTTTAGCTTCCTGGAACTCCATATTGGGGTAGGTTTTTTCTTCCGTTGTGCACATCCTTTTGTTTTTGTTGCTCCGTTTCTGAGCTCCGTCCTGAGGACGTTCATCAAATTATGGGGCTTGATGGGCAATAATCGGTTGGCGCACTAGTATTGTGATCAGGATCACGACCGATGCCTTAAGTCTACTCCATTTCTTTGCCGTCCAATGCGTCAATTGCAACCACCTACTAACGGTTAGTACTCCCTCAACACATAGACATGCTGGAAACTTGCACATGACATCCTATCGCGCGAAATGACCCGTGTCGAACAAGAGGATTCAGTGATGGCGGACGAGTATCGCGAAGCGATAGCCACGGTCGAGGAGGTCTCCCTACGATTAAGTCAGGTGTATCCGGTGCTGCAGGAGTTATGGGGACTTTCCAACTTTATGGGTTAACAAGGGATGGTGGTCTAAATTCATACGTGATCGGAACCTAAAGCAGAGATCACTGACACCCCGTGGATTAATTTGCTCTCCTTATTCCCCTTATTAGTAGGTCTAGCTACTTTGCAAACTGCCTAAACAGGGGAAGATTAAAATTTTCTCATGCACAATTTTCCTGATCTTAGCCCAGGAACAACATTTTGTTTGGGCGTGTTTTTAATTAGCACCTTCCTCTGGTGACTGGAAACTTTTATTGGGATGTTCTGTTCCTTTCCTTTTTCCACCCTGTTCCATTCTTAATTTGGTTTCGAAAGAATTATTTTGCTGGACACTCATCCAATCTGATCTTGCTATTCTATCTACACATCTCTATCGCCCCTTTTTGTTTTTTTTTTGTTTTGCTGTTGTTCTCTTGCTTAACTCCCCCTCCGCCCAGATTTGCATCCATGTATCGATCGCATCCCCAGCATTTCAATATTCTAATTATACGTTTCCCTTGACTCTGATCAATCATCTCCTGTTTCACACTCACAGCCCTTCGCAATAATCGATTCCACCTGTTCCATATACATATACATATACATATATATCATATTTCGCCTTTGTTATAGTAGCAAAACATTAGGAATAGGCTTGCTATCTGTGGCTTGAATCTGAAATATTCTGAGGTTCACTTGCTTTACTTAGAAGCTTAAGCGTCGCGCGAGATACATCACTTCGGCTATGAGAAAATGCATAATTCACTCGCCGTGCGCATACATGCATGTACACAATATGTCCGCGTTCCCCCTGAGTGAGTATCTGTTATCAGCCGAGTACTATATTTTCTTGATCGAGGTCATGTATTTTATGCACCATAGACAGCGCTTGGTGCTACACGGCACATTATATTACGTCGTCGCTAGACTTTCCCATCAACAATCAATACTACTGTACCCGGTCGTGTCGCAGCCTTCGGCCTCCCACCACGCGCGCGCTGTTTGAGGCGGCAGTCCGACGCCACCAGGGCCGACAATCGACTGGCCAACGGTATCCCGTTACCGACGTGGCGGTCTGAACCTACTCGCGAAGGAGCACGACATCTATCGTACCGCGATATCGTGCTCAGGTGATTTTCCCGCGTTGATATGATTACAACACACGCAACGCCATCCTCCCGTGGGTTGTCGCACGGTTTCGGGGTGGAATGTCCGACTGCAAACTTCCCGCGCGGCGTGAGAAAGCTCTACCAATTTGAGATGAAAATGACTCAGCCTACGGGCCTGGATCCGGGTGATGGTCAAGTTCTAGCTTGCGGCACAAGGACGCAACAACATTAAGTCCCGATTACATCGCAAACCGAACGCCGAACGTAGTCCATTACATTGTGAGAACTCAAGGAGGAACGAGCGCAACTGAATTCCTTTGTGAACCGTTGAGGTGTTTGCATAACGATGCGTGGAATCAGCGTCAAGAGCAATTGCAAGTTCCGGAGGTTTGTAAGCGTAATCTGCTGATTCAGACTACGCGCAGCTCAGAGAACGTTTCTGAGGAATGAGTCAGGCTGGTACATCCAAGCAAGGAACTTACAGTAATATGCGCCATGCCCAGAGGGATATCTGGAGCTGGAGATTGAGTACACGGATTGTAATCTGTTTCAACTCGATCCTTTCTTCCCAGTTTTCACTTTATTCTGCCCACCCGTTGTCAAGAAAATTGGGGGGAAAGGTGCCAAAGATGCCAAATACATTCCACAGCTACAGGAACACGAAAATTGAGAATAAAACCGATCAGCTAGGAAGAAAAAAAAGGTCTCGAGGTAAGAGGCCCAACTCTCTGCTGCCCAACTTTCATCTTATTTTTCCCAGCCGTTGTTGAGAAAACTGGACACAACAGACATAAAAGTGATATAAATAAAATGAATGTATCGACTGAAGAAGAAAAGGGGCCCGAGATATGTGGCCAAACTCCTAGCTGTCCAAGTTTCAGCCTAATCTCCCCAGCTGTTGTTGAGAAAAGTGTGCACAAATGTGTATATAAAACCTAAACCCACAAAAAATGAGAATTAAGGTTATCGCTCAAAAGGTCCCGGGGACAAAAACTTTGCAGAAAACCGCAAGTGGCTATATAGCTCCTGTGGTTGTTGAGATATGCCGTACTTTCGTCAGAGATTGACCTCTAAGTCAGGCTTTAGCTGTACTGTAGCGTTTCAGTTATTTTTGGGCAAGTGCGGAACCGAAGTTGGCTCACGTGTCATTTTAATTGGAAATGGGTGCACATTCGGTCAACTCCGACGAATGAGAGGCTGGTGCACATGTGACAAGCTCATTCTCCTCAGTGGATGTCGACTTTAGACAATCCAAACCCCGTAATATTCTCTGCGAAGAAGGAGGCAAAGCGAGAAAATGTGGGACTCTGGCTGGATTCGGCTATAGTGGATGACGACGTACCGGATGCGGCCGCCTCTTTTGCTGAAGACGATGAGAGAGAGGCCATCGATGAGAACGAAGTTTTCGGCAGGTATTCGTTTTGTTGCCCAAGAGCTTCGCTCCCCTAACTTCGATTGTCCAGATTTGTTGCGTTCCATAACCGATCCCGAACATCCAACAACAACCCTGGAGCAGCTCGGTGTCGTGTCTGCTGATCAAATCAAAGTAACTGCGGGCCATGTGAATGTACAATTCACACCAACCGTGCCACATTGTGGCATGGCTACCCTTATCGGTACCCTATTTTCGAAAGCACGATTCGAACTGAAGTTGATGTTTCTGTGGCAGGTCTGTCCATGCGAGTCAGATTGCTCAGGAGTTTGCCAAGTCGCTACAAGGTTGATCTGAGCGTGAAGGAAGGGACGCATCAAAGCGAAAATGCTGGTATGTTCCTTGTGGCAAACCTGTCATTCCTGCCCAATAACATTCCCGCCAGTGAACAAGCAACTCAATGACAAGGAGCGAGTGGCAGCTGCGTTGGAAAACCCTGCTCTTCTTAAAGTTGTCAATGATTGTCTCTCGACTGCTGGTTTGAGAGGAGCAGAATTAATAAAGGAACCAGTATGATGTGTTGGTCCAGCGCTGTGTCCGATTGCGTGCTTTATGCCTGCTCACCGTTTACGTATTCATGAAATTTCTGCCACTCCGCGCCGTGAAAGAGGTCCTCTCAAATGATCAAGTTCCAATGCTTTGCGAGGTCCTCCACGCTCTTGCATGGCAGGCGATGATATTTAAACGCCCTTTCCTTGACTCGCGAGCAACTGCAGTCAACTCGCTTCGCACATGTAGTTTCAGACTCGCTTTGTGGCTTTGGCAGTTAGGAAAGAGCAATGCCTTTCGATCGCATTGCATTCAATCTCATTGCACCGAAAAATCAACACCGTGTTAACTGCGCTGCACTAATCCGATGCATTGTGAGTGGGTTTTCGTGATCGCATCCTCCATCACCTCCTCTTTCATCTCGGCTTGCCATTTTACCCCTCTGCAAACGTCTCCTCCATGCGCCGCGTAACTACTTGATCATGCCGACCACTGTGCTCAACCCCTGCCTCGAACTGTTGAAGTTCGGTACGACGATTGGACATGCTCTTGTGCTACTCGATGACCGGAGAAGCTCTCGCAAAAATTCCAAAACCCTTTTGCTGAAGCACGACCAATTCCTGCATAACTTTCCGACCTGACTTTGATTGAGGAGGCACTCATAGCCAGATGACGTGCAAAAAGTTGGATTATTCACTTGCACGATGTTGGCTCCTGCCAATCCCACTTCTCAACGCGCTCTAAATCCAAAAGGTCATGTCACCCCGCTAACCCGCAAGCGCCGTCTTGCCCCTTTTTGCCCCCCCGCTTTGGATGATGTCATAACTCCAATGTGCGTGGGCTTCTCACATCATGACTCCACCGAAGTCCGGGATAAAACCCAGCTCAGTCAGGAGGGTCCCGAAAAATGCCTTCTCCCCCTAATATATTGGATGCTCACACACGCAGGGTGGGATAGCCAAAGAAAAGGTGACTTCATCGTCCATATAGCCGCCATAGTTAGTCTTTCCTTTGTTCTGAACGGCCTAATAGTGTTGCTGCTTCATTAGAAGGACTATGGTCAGGGTTTGCGATTCATATCTCTGATCGACCCACGCGAACGGGAGAACCGGTATTCATGTGTTCATGGTGGTATGTACAATCAGCTCTGGATACTTAATGCTTATCATGTGCAAAGTTCAAGTGTTTTCATTCTGCCGTGGTTCTACGGTTGATTTTGTGTTGAGACGAGAACGCAAGAGGGAAGCGAATATTAATCGTAAGGTAGGTAGCGGGCACTTGCTGCGTCAGGCGGCGTCCACTGGTACTGGCAGTTATCTCTAAGTACGTATTATCATAGTTTTATACTATCTACATACAGCTTCTTCCTGTTCTCCGACTCAGTATTTATCGCGCAGTCCACCTAAAGAAGAATGACTGAAGGTACGATGCTTGGATGCGAGCGGCGAGTGCGCTAGTAGCATAGGAAGCTTCGGTACTCAAAACGCTAACTCCGCCCAGCACACTAAGTACTATTGCAACAGCGACTGCTTTTGGTCCGAGTTCAGCTAGTCCCCCTAGAGTCTTGCTACCTTTTGGGGGTTCCGGCGTCGGGAACCGACTGCGATACATTAATAATCCTCCATCCAGCGCATGAATGGCCATTGAGACAACAAGTCCCGCATATAAAAACCAACTAGTGAGCGGCCAAACGTGGATACCAGTTTTGACGTACTCGTAGTCCAACTGTGAAGGGCGAAGCTCTGATATGGGTGGCATGGGAGAAGATGGAATGAACCGGTGCACTGAAAGGTGTATTGGGATGAAGAACCAAGCAAGGGAGATCGATGTGGCTTGTAGGGCGTTTAGCCTAGTTGGAAAGCCGATCAAGGCCCGTTTCAACATGGATGCGCATACATGCAAGCCCATCGGGATCCAGACAAGCAATGGCTCCCCAAGTGGTGTCTGATAGTACTCGCGCCCCAGAAGCTGCGGGAGCTGTTGGTTCTTGGGTAAGGGATTAAGAATGGATATGCAGGCTTACCATCAGGCCAGATGCAGCCGAAGAACCACCAACGAGAGCGGAGATTGGCGCCACAAGATGGACAGCAAGGAAAATGCTTATAAATGGTGTCGTTGCATGCTGGACAAGAGTCAACCTTGATATCCACCGATTCGCTGAACCAGAGCGTTTCCCATTCATGTCCGCAGACAACTAAATTGATTCCTTTAGGTCACGCGATCTTGGCGCTCAACTTAGTGACCGCCTTAAGCTCAACTCCCACTTCTTTGATCCTTTCGTGCCCTGGGGTCGCCGTTCCTTGTTTCCCTCAGCGTCTAGGCCACCAGCTGCTGGCCATGGCTATAAGGAAAGCAGGGGTGGTCCACGCTTCTATTCTTCAATCCTTACCTCCTCAACCACTTGCTCTAGAAGCCATCTCTCAGATCGTCAAAACAACCATAGAAAGCTCCCAGGAAAGGCTCAAGTCTTCCGAATGGGAAAATGCTATTCGAGCAGATCTGTTCCAATTCGTGGTTCGTCAAGTGCCCTCTTCAACTCGCAGCGCAAATCGCTGAAACCCAACGGCTGTAGATGGCAAAGCGGACCTGTCGATCGTCTGATGATTCCAAAGCGTATCTGGGAGAATTATACAACCGTTTAGATGTTACTCTTGCATGTCAAGAAGAAGGTACGTGCTCGGCAAATTCGGTGTCACACGTCTAATTGGTGAATGAATTTGTGCAGGTCTTTTGGATTCCTCTACTCCGCTAGGGCTTATCGAGGATCTATTCGAGATGCATCGTGTGGATCAATGCCAGGATATATTCGACTGGGTTGAATCTCGATCACCCATTCTCCTGAAGGTGCGATGCAGCCCTTTTACTAAGGCCTACGTATCGTGGCTCTAACTCGCGTCCAGGGACTCCAACCATCGAAAGGAAAGGCCCTTGTTCTACTTCGGGCGTTGAACGCGTTGGCACGCCGAGTGTCTAAGACAGGGACGTCCGCACAATTCAATGGCCGTATCCTGAATTATCTTAGTGGGGTCTTCCCAATTGGGGAGCGAAGCGCACTCAATCTTCAAGGCGATTATGGACCAAAATGGGATTGGGAACCGCTTCCAATTCCCCAGAAATTGCAGTCGCCTGCTCAAAGGTCTTCCGATGAATCCAAATCGGACCGAATGGAGGACGTGAAACCAACAACCTCAACTTCTACCGACCATACGACTGCCCCCAAGTCGGAAAGTTCGCCGGCAGCGATCCTAGATACCAAAATTCCCTTGCCACCCTCATCAGACCCCACTTCCTCTCTGTCACCCGAGGAACAGAAGATTGAATTCTATAATACCTTCTGGTCTCTTCAGTATCCTTTCTCGTTCCCACAAATCTTTCATAAGACGAAATGTCTTCCGGACGATTTGAAGCGGAACGTGGATAAGGTTCTCGCCGCCCTTGGTGAAGCTACCAAGAGGGACCGACAAAGCTCCGGCAATAAAAGCTTAGTCGCTGTCTCTGCCGGCGTGAAACGGAAACGGGAAGACGAAGGGGAACCATTTGGGGAATCAGGGACAACCTCAAGTACGACAGATTACTTCTTTGCAAAGTTCTTGACGAGGCCGGATTTGCTTGACCTTCAGGTGTGATGACGCCGTTTTTCCCGCTGCCCAACTGTTACTACTACTCACGTCTTTGCAGATCGCTGATTTACACTTCCGCCGCCAAATCCTGGTGCAGTTGGCTATCTTCTTCTATCATTTGAATTCCTACCTTCCGGAAGAAAAAGAGAAATCGAGCTCCGTCAAGCGTGCGCTGAACATGAACATGAGCATGGACTTCACGCTCGATGAATCGGATGCTAAATGGGTGAAAGATGCCATGATCAAGGTTACAGAAGAGTTGAGGGCGTCCACTGGTCAAGTGATACACAAGACATTTCAGGATACCGTGATCAACTTAATGGAACGTGAAAAAACCTGGGTAGGTGGACTCTGTTTCCGAAACGCAGTGGCGCTGATCAGCTTGCGCGTAGGTGAGATGGAAAAACGAGAACTGCACGACCTTCGCCAAATCCCCCATTAGCCACGAAGAGGCTGAGAGCGCACGGCTAAAACGACAGAAGTTCGTTGAGCCTGTTCCTGACCTAGTGCATGTTGCTGGTACAGAAGACCTAACTGAGGTCTGGGAAGGAGGGTACCAAAGCAGCGACGATCTGGACCCATACGTCAAGCACAAAGCGTTCGATCGATATGTTAGGGATTTAAACCAACTGGACAAACGAATAGAAATGAAGCAAAAGCAGTTGGACATGTTTGCTCAACGAAACGCTGCGTCAAAACTTGCAGAACCAAAGGAAGAGCCTCCACCTGCTTCCGCCCCCGTCGTCATCAGTGGAACATCAAACAAACCAATCGTCAATGGACCGATTCACGGCCTCCCTCCCAAACCCGGCACTTTTCCCCATCCGTCTACCCCAAATTCTAACGACGATCCTGTGAAATCCTCAACACCGCCCCCTGTACCTAAGATTGTGATTGAGGAGCCTGCGCAGAAACCAAAGTACAATGACGCTCAGCTAGATGGATTCAAGGAGGTAGGCCTGTTATTCACTTTCATGCGTCGGGCGTTCAATGCAATGCCCCTCAGCAACGCGAAATCCTCATATGGCGTGCTCTTCGTATGGCAACCCAAGAAGGCCTCCTTCAGCGTTTCAACAGGGCAACAACAAGAGGCTCAGAACCCCCACCTTTGGGTGATCTAATGGACCTCCAGCGTGAAGCACAAAAGCCGGACGTGCGTCCTCCACCACCGGCTCCACGTAAGCCAAACAATCAGCCAAATGGTGATGCGACAAGTCCTCGCACTAGTAATCCTGGAGATGAGGTTAAAATGGATGTGGATGCGGATGGCGACAGCAAACCACCTGCGGTGAATGGGTCAGGAGAGGCACCTGGAAACCACTCGAACGGGACGCCGCCTGAGTCATCAGCATAGAATCAGGATCGGCTCTTCCAACACATCCAGACTGACTATCGCTATGCTCGTCATGACATAATCTAGTCTAGGTACCGTGTGCTACCGAATATAATGCTACTTTGATTGTCCTTGTGCACAGATTTTTTCCCCTCATTCCAAGAAATCAACTTGTCCAAGGTAGAGAGATTGTTCCCATTATACGATATGATTGTGTACAGGAAGTAACATGAGTACAAAACAATTGTAACAGTCCATTAAAGTCCAGGTTGCAGGCCGGGGGTTACACGGGAGCCAACGTTGGATGCCGCTCCTGCGAGACAGAGCACGACTTCTGTGATTTTCGGCCGCTTCGAGGGATCCATGTCCCAACTACGCCAAAGCATCTCGGGGATAGGACGTGGAAGTCCATTAAGTTGCGCAGGTCCGTAAGGGCGTTTCCCTATACTAAGGTACGACCAGATGTCTACGACCTCCGAACACCCGTCGTACGGCTTGATCCCAGTGATCACCTTTTTCCCAGTCATACGTGAACTTTGGCGTAACAGCTGAAGGAGGGGGGGGGTTCCAATCTCACCTCAACAACCACAATAGCGAAAGCCCAGACATCACGACAAGCTCTTGCCTCGGGGTCCCCACTAAGTTCTCCGACGAAACTCTCATAAGCCCTGTATTGAGGGCAGCCACGTCCTCCATCCAAAGTACTATAGCCAGTCTGCTCACACATACGAGAAAGACCGAAGTCGGTAAGTACAGCGCGTCCTTCATCTGTTACCAGGATGTTGTTCTAGACAGTGTAACTTCAGATCGCAGTCTTGCCGCATCAGCATTTTACGAACGTACGAGTGTAATATCGCCGTGATATTTCTTCGAATCGTGGAGGTAAGCCAATCCATGAGCTACATCGATGAGCTAGAGTATGTGAGTAGGATTAGGACAAAGTCATCCCGCGGTTCACCCGAAACTGGATGCTCTTACCAACTGCCAACGGTTAATGCCTCTACTTGCTTCCTTCCCGAGAAAACTTTCCAAGTTCCCATTCTTGTGTAGGGGGGTGACTAAGGCTAGGAGACCGTTGCTATCCAAAACAGTAGCATAAAGTGGGACGATATTCTCGTGCTGAAGAGTGGCCCAAACCGTGATTTCGCTATTGATTCGCTTGAAGGGGAGTTAGCGAACATCCGAATGACCGTATACACAACCACACCTCTCTGATCTGGAAAATAAAATTGAGTCGAAAACTGGGTATGAGTAAAGACCACACACGTTATCTATCCCCAACTGTTCTTTGTCCTTGAAACATTTTATTGCAACCTGTCGAAATGCTCAGCAACGTCTAAATGAATGCTTCCTCAGAGCGATCACTGACCCTGGATAATCCCCACCGGCCAGGATGAACAACAGCGTAGGATCCGCTTGCGAGGGGTTCCTTCCCCTTCCAAATAGAACGCTTGTGAGGACCACCCATCCCAGGAGGGACCATGAAAACCCCCTCCACTTCCAATTTGTCATCTGCTCAAGAGTGACGGCAGCATACCCAAGGAATGTGAGAAGACCCGCATAATTTAATATTAGATGACGCGCACATTTACTGTGCCCACCACACAAAGCTTTGTTGTCATCACAAAACTTCTCGCAACACCTCCTACATGCCTTCCAGGAACACCTCTGGTTGCATTCGACTTTACCGCATAGCGCGCAGTCAATCAAACGCCTACGCTTTTCGTGCTTCCCTTTAATGGCCTCGATTTCTTCTTTGGAAGTATCGTTCTGACACTCAACGTCAAAACACTGGTCTTTATTAGCACACTGATACAAATAGACATGAACATGTGGTATTGCGTTACGAAATTTAACACTCACACAGACACGGGCGAACTTGCGAGTGCCCTTCTGGTTGCCCTCATAAATGATGACATCGTTGCACAGTATATATGAGCCACAATTCTGGCAATCAGATCCATCGCGAGATCGGTGATCTGGCTCAGTGTCCATGGTTGTATAGACGTGGGTTGGGATCGTCAGAAGCCGTGGGTTGTGCTGAGTCCGATCGAAGGTTTTTGAAAGATCACCTCTCTCCAAGGGCTTTTAAGGACTGCGGGACTATTGCCGCTGGGCTCCTAGTTCGTTCGTACTCGAAACAGGCCAGCGCTTGACGGCTTAACTATCCCACAGCAACAATAAATTGACAAAGGGGGTGGATAGGTAACGCGTGGCAGATCCTTCATACATGTAAGATCCGGGCTTGTGGTTGCTTCCTGACAGAGTCATTCGTGTTTCCCAAATAAGGCAATGAATGACAAGCCGTCGAAACAATGCCACCGAGATGATGCCAACCCAATAAGGCCGTTTCACCTTATTAGAGACGGCAGGGTAGAAACAGGGGTTCTGCCTTTGTGATATGAATGGATTTGCACCTGCGGCAACTGTAGGCTGTGCATCAAAAACAATGACATTCTTCCACTGAGGAGCTACCAATATGAACCTTGAGGTCATCAAAGGCTTGTGTCCGGTCGTTATGATTATCATTGTTATCGATCCCCCCCACGACTAGGTTCGAGTCTGGACGTGTGTGGATATCTCTACTCACAAAGGAAATTATATGCGGCATGGATGGCATCATTCGCCAGTAGCTTTCACGAGCAACCACGGACACGACGGGAGGCAGTTCCTATGGACTTATTATGTATGAGCTGTGGCCAAGACTACCTCAGCCTCGCAATTCTATTCCTGTTCAAGTCCACCCCTTCATTTCGTTGTACTTCTTCCGGAAAACAGCATCAAAGTGGCCAGTGAGGTCGTTTGTGCACAACTCGCCAACTGATCTCTTGTCTCTTCTTTTCTTGGTGGAACCTCAATAGCTTTCGCGATGTGAAGTGTGCACATTGAGGTATGTTGTTGGGGAGGTGTCCCCGGCGCAGAAGTACTGTGACTTGCATGTATTCATCGACTTATTCCTACCAGGGGTACCTAGGGTGCCCCGAGCATGGCAGGAACCACACTCAGCGATCGACTTAGCCAGGTTGTCGAACGAGAGTTTTCTGGAGCACTGCTATTTCTCTAGCATGGGAGTACCCTGTGTGATGAATTTGCAACTTCGACAACTGAACAGGCAGTATTATGACCGGGTGCTCTCTGGGGCTTTGTAATGAAGCCCACAGTAGACAGCCATGAGAGCGTATACCAAGAACGAGAATGACGAGACGACACTAAAGGACGTGCCGCGATCACTGGGATGTAGACACAGGGTCCATGTTGAAAACTCATGCTCAGCCTTCCACATGTCATCCATCGAGGAGACAGGGTCACAGCCCAGAAGCAAAGAATAGAGCGCCGTTTCTTCACCGAAAAATAATCGGTTATGGATAAGAAGCGTCCCACCTCTGGATCCACAGGAAGCGGAAGTAGCCTGACGATGTGGCGGGTGTATGGAAGTGAAGTCGACGAAATGTCTGGTCATGGAGTACACTTCTAGTCCTACCATGGAGCTACCATGGAGCGGATAGGGTCCATGGGTTCGAGTAGGGATTATGGAAACGGATCACTGTGACCCGAAAAACATGCAGCACGTCCCCGGCCCCTGATCAGGCGACATTCATCTTGGTCATAAGATCGAAATAAAAAATCGTCACAGCTTCGACGCCGATGCTTTCCCCGCTACACTAACAACCACGTCGAGAGAAGGTCCACCCCAAGCAGCATCTTCGCTATAGTGACTTGTAACACGGCCGTGCCTTGTCAGGGAGCGATGAAATTGTTAGCTCACTGTGACATAGGTCGCGGAACGACCGGAAACCCCCAGCATGGAGGAAGTAGGTACGAGTGCCCTACTTGTGCGATGTCTACATGAGTTTAGGCTTTTCAGGAAGACAGGTTGGTACTTACTGGATACAATTACCTGTCGATCCTATTGCTCGTAGAATCTCATAGCAGTCTACTATAACAAGACGACCGGAGGCCGCCTCATGAATGACCCACGTCTAGTGCATAAGAAACAAAGCTTATTATAGGCACTCATGCGGGAAAATGCACCAGGGGGCAGCACGCATTCTTCTCATGGTTTAGAAGATGTCATGTCTGGCTTTGATGGCGATTAGGCGTTCGGATGATGAGATAAATAGGCAAAACGATCGCGGAAAAGAGGGAGATTTAAGGGCGGTTTGGCAGGTTACAATCAATCAGGCCCTCAACTAAGACAACAATCGAACTTCGTTTGTGTCATGTACGGAGATTCTGACTCATTGTTTCACACTCATTATCGCTAATCTGCGCAGTCGCGGTATTAGCAACCATAGTCTATCCAATCAGGCTCAGAATGACTGAAGGTGGAGGCTTTGAGTATATCCAAGTGTATAGGATCTAGGGCATACGCACCTTGGTATCCATCAATAACGGACTGGAACGTTTCCTCGAGTTTTTCCTTGCGTTCCTTTTCGTCGAGGGTAACCAGTATCTCCTAGGCTAACGGTCAATGATGTAGAGGTGACTAGCATCGAACTCTCACAAAATTAAATCGATACAATCTCTCTTTCACCTGGAGTCGGAAAGCTCGCAGCCCCCCTTCATTGACGGGATCGAGTTTACGCAGGATAAGCATCTCGATAAGGCGGTCGAATTGCCGCTGAAACTTCGAAGTTGGACAGAGGTGGAATGGAAGACTGGTATAGGCGCACCGATGCAATCTTAAGTTTCTTCCTCCATGTTTCAACCCAAACTTTATCGGCTGGTGGACCGAGTTTCCCGCCAATAACAAATCTCTCCTTTCCTTTCCCTTCATAACGCTCTTCAAAACCATAGCCTTCTTTGATGAAATCAGTGAGCCTCAGCAGGAATTTTAGATCTGTCTTATCGCGAAGATCCTCAAATGCCTCTGAGGGATCCTCGATAGTGAGTTCGGCAATGGATGGGGTTGCCATAACGTGCTGATGAAGAGCGGTATATAAATGCGCTGGATGACTGTACTCAGCGATGGATGAGCCGACGGGTTCTCATATGGCATACCTCCGTGCCCCTGGTTTTGGTATGGTGGGAGAATGACGAACTGACTAAGGGGTGTGAGGCGTGAGGATGGAAATCTACTTTCAGTTTCAAGCTGTACGTACCTCAAGCGTAAGCGCACTTTATCCGGCCAAAAGAAAAAGGGGTACATCGAGCAATACCCCACGAAGTGGAATGTGTCAGGATATCCTCTTCGTCTTCTGCGCTCGTATCTGTGAGTTAATTTAGGACGTTTCGCGCATGGTTCCTCGAACCGGCAGCACTTACAAGACTAGGAACTGCCATTTATCCTCGTCTTCTTGGATATACGAACCTGCTTCGATATATAATAGAATAAATATTTGCATTCTACGGTGAAGATTCAAGAAACCGGGGGTATCCCATTTGTTCTTTTAGCACGTCATATGAGCATATTTATAATAAATGAATCGAGGAGCAAGCACACACGTGGTAAACTTCAAAGATCGAATCTTGGTAACCTGGATCATCTTTGAGGTTGTATTCCTTGTCATTTTTCGGGAGGTGAAGTAATGAAGGCCGAGAATAAGAATAGATGAGGCTGCCACACGGTCTGAAAGATATCGCATCATCTTGTACACGCTTCTTGAAGTCAGTTTCGTTTTTAAGGTAATCTTCGAAGCGGGCCGAGAGTCATCCCTGGAAGGGCTCATAGCGGTTGAAAGGAAATCTAACCGGATGGTATGAATTTGTACAATATCCCTTCTATATCATCCTTGGTTGAAGCAGGGAGGCGCGCAGTCGATTGAATATTGAGGCACATGGCTAAAGATCCTGATGAAAACAATAGCTTGCGCGAGAGTGCAAGAATAAGCGAGGCAGAATGGCTTGGATTCCATTCCCCGTACTCACGTTCACCACGAGCCCCTGATACCCATAGATCTTCTCCTCGTCACCAAATATCTACGATCGACACACATGCGTGGAACACGATCACATCAAAAAGAAGTGGATATAAAACGCGTTAGATGGAAACTCATACTGGATATGTGAATCTTGGGTGGAAAGGCGTGGCGATAGGGTCCTCACTGGAGGTAGCATGGTCGGTATGAACTAATCGGAGCAACGTATGTTTATTTCTAAGCCCGGAGGCGAAACAAGAAGAGTCACCTAGACGGAGTGTAAGCACATCATTCGCATTCGATGTCCAGTCTGTCATCTCGATCTGACGAGACTAATGTGCGAGCGCGACAAAGTCCTGGGCGGTAATTCAATCGATTACATAATCGTCATGATCGGCGAGCTTCATAGACACTGAACCCCGTGGACTCCCAACCTGACTACACACGCCAGTGAATACCTAACTTGTACTGACAGTCCCCTGGTGTACTGACCGGGATGGCCGCTCTTCCACGTGATGATGAGACCGCGGGGTAATGAATCAAGATGAGCTGCTACCCTCTGAAGATCCAGTCGCCATTTCCAAATACATCCTTGCATGGCATAGCAACACCTACCGTTGTTGCGTGCACTTTTTTCATTTATGTGGCGTCGATTGGTCGGACGAACTGTCAGCATACAGATCTCGTCGGTTCCGTCTTTCAAGTTGTTCTTGGTGACTTCGCAGTTGCCTTATAAGGGGGAGCCAAAAACCTAATCATGGCCGCTAACAAGGGAGAGGACCTGAGAGATGTCACTGGTGCTTACTGCTCAATCGTCTCCTATGTTCCCTCCAGGCAGGGACCGTTCCCACACAAGCGCATGCCCTGTGTTCTTCCCAGGATATCATCACAACTCATCCCCCTTGGATGCAGCCTTCTGTGTACTCCTTCGCCGTCCCGTCCCTATAGTTTTCGGCTTCCTCATTAAAGTCTGAATGGCATCCATAAAGTTTGGACGCGAACTAGTTACTGGGGCGCGGTGAAAGCTCATGCCAATTCAGGACGCAGCATGGTTGGGGCTGAGTACCGGATTTCTCTGGCTGAGATTCCAGATTGCTTAGGGCTTCTGTTGTTCTCAGTGCCTTTGACGTGTGCCGCATCGCCAATTTAAATTTCAGCTGCGGAGATCGTCTGCTACATCGGGGAGACGCCTGCCATGAAGCAGCGAGAGATCTTCTACGTTGCACCCGCTCACTATCACGGTGGGAACAACCCTTTCAATGCGCCCATAAATATCCTTCAACTCCATGGATGAATCCTGCCAACGGGGCTTGGCTACTATGCTCAGTCCCCCGGAACGGAGGATGAATGATCATCTCAAGAGGCTTTATTTCTAATGATGCGCGTGTCGCTTAGTGATTGAGTGGGCACCGACCATATGGTCATTGTTAGTGTGACAGCAACGAATCAGACGTTCCTACAGCCAACTCTCTGAGAGCGAATCCAGTCTTCCGGCAAGGCCATGATGCCTGCCTTGCTATTACTGAGAGCTCCACCTACACCGGCCTATTTACTACAAGTTGGCCGTCACGAAACAGCCTCCCTGAAAGATCAACTAAATGGGCCGGTCCTCATCAGACTCAGGGTAACGTCAAGTCCCTGCAACAATTCCCGAGGTTTAAATATCTATCTCTCAAAGAGTCAATTCTAGATATGGCAGTATCCTCTTAAGAGAATACACATGGATATGATATGATTTATTACTCGCTCCGATCTAGGGCCCGCGCTGGAATCGCGACGAGTGAGCCAGCATCTCTGGCAAAGCAGGCTTGGCAATGGTCACGTTTCACATTTTCTTCTCTTTCGGTGCACAAAAAGGTCCTCTTGTGGGGACCCCCCATCCCGGATCAGTCAGCACTCACAATATTTCAATATATCGCTGTCTGAAAAGTAAGCACGGGGACCATAACCTTACTAAAGCTGATCATTGAACGGAGACCCGACTCCGTCCAAGGAACTGCACGCCACTCCTTGTGTAAAGAGGATGTTGACCCAGAAACTTGGAAGCTGTTCGTTACACGCTTGTCAATTGTTGGGATGCAGAGATCGGATTTCTCTGTCCGTATTTCTTGCATTGCTGACCGTGCCCAACGTGTCATCCCTCATTGTAGTCACGCACGCACAACATAATCCCTGTTCTCTAATACTGGTAAAGTTAAGGCACGGTGGTGTGGTTTCGGTATATAATGGGCCGCAGGGAGCTGAGTAAATCCATCCTTGTGCTCACCTTACCTGCCCCCCGCCACTGGAAGCTCGCATCAAGTCATGGAAATCTTTGGACATTGCTTATGTGGTGAAGCAGAAGTACAAATCAGATCTGAGCAGCCAGCTCAAGTCAGTTGGTCATGCACCCGCTTGGTAGCCACCGGGTACAGTGACTGATAGTTTAGCACTTGTTCCACTCCCAGTTCAACTGCCACTGTCAGAATTGTCAGCGTTCTTCCGGATCGACTAGCGTCTCTTTTGTTATGCCAGCCCTTGAGGATGTGCACCTCCCTTTGATGCTGGGAGAAACTTTCAATAATGATGTTGTTGTGTAGATAACTGGCCCTGTCAAAGAATACACAACCAAAGTAAGTGTCAGGGCTCATATAATATTCCTAACGCTTGCTTAGGATTGCTCGCTTGACGACATGAAGGCCGAGTCCGGTAACATAATCCATTACGTGTTTTGCACTAATTGCGCTCGATTGCGCATAAAAACAGTGCCTCCATCGCAATTCACACCGGCATTCTCGATGCATTTGACAAAGTCCCTTTTGTTGCGGAGTTATGGATCAAGCGCAAGTGAGTGTCACGTCCCGGAACATTGGTGTTCCAGTGCTGAAGCATTGCATTCGAGATTCGAAGGGCTTCCTCCCATCCCAGAGTCTAGCCAATTTGAAGAGAATCCTCCCTTTTCGGGATGATCGTACGTAGTTGCGCGGGCTTTGCCAATTGATAACCGTTTCTATCTTCATGAACAGCGTTTCGCCAAGCCTCCATACGGGAAACGGAGCACCGCGTTTGCACTCCCAACGGCGGTTCAGAAGTGACCGAAGGTTCGAGAGCGAATCAGGGGGGTAAAAAAAAAATAGCGAACCATAACTATACACAGATACATGCCCTGGCGGATGTCCACATACCATACGGATAAACATATGTGCCTTCGTCGCGTCTCGGCCCAAAATCCTTTCTCCACATCACGATAGATGGGGCGGCGCATGGGAATGTTGACATTGACGCGAAGAAGTCCGGTGACACGGGGCATCCCCGTCCGGTGGCCGCGCGGGAGATCCTACAACAAACTGTTCAAATGTAGTGTCCGCATGATATCGAAATGCGAACGGGTCTCAAGCGGCCATCGGTCCAAAAATGAACCGATATTTCTGCGGCGGCGCGCGCCACCAATGGGGGTCCAGTACCATGGCGCATGGTCCATCTTGGTGCGAATCGGCGGGCACGAAGTGGACTGCAATGACCGCAATTGAGCGCTTTTGGAGACCTTGCGGCTGCATCCTTGTTGCCAACCTTTTATTTTAATCCATACCCCAAGTCAGCAATACAGATATAATGGCACCGAGCCGGTACAGGTACAGGTACGCTGTGAAGTGTGTGAAGGGTCCCGTCGGAGCGCCCACAGCAGAATGCCCAGCCAGCGTTCAAGGGCTGCGCTGAAAATAGCTAGGGATGATAGCCGACCGCAAGTGGTGTTACTGAGGTCAGCAGATGCAACACGCTCTCGATCGTCGTGTGCGTGAAAATTTCCTCAATCGGTTTTCAATTGTTTAACATGTCAACAGCCCTCCGATGTAACATTGTTCGGACAGTCCCATCATGTAGTCCGGAAAATCGTGTATAACGTTTAAACGGCGGTAAGACGTTTAATTTCTGGTGTTTATTGACAATTTCGATGCAGTGGGAAGCATTTATGACGCAATTTTTAAACTTTCAAAACCTGTTCAGATCGAGCGTTTCGGGAAGTTTACTTCAACACATCAAAACGTCGAAAACCATTTATCAGGCGTTTACTTAAACGTTACATTTTGGCATTTCTGATGGATTCCGCCGTTTTTCGACATTTTTCCCTCAGGCAATCGTGTGGGCAGTTGGCCAACGAATTGGTAGAATTTTAATTTTATTTGCATTTCCCTGGTGAAGGGTCAGCTCCACATACCAAGTCCAACAACGCAGCTGTATTTGTGTTGGTAATCACATATTTAATAAAAATGATCTTTATTTCGGACTACACCATGCAAGCCTGTAATTGCTCAAGGAAGAAGTGTCAATACGTGGGCCGTGATGGCGCCCTCTCCCAAAATACTGAGTCCCCACCTTCACCTTGTGTGGTTGTTGTTGCACAAGAGATCGTCTGGCCATCCGTCGCCTGTGCATGCAATTAGCCGTGGGAAATGCACCTCAGAGCAACTGGTTGGCTGCCTCATAAACTATGATCCTATTGTTGGAGGAGCAGCGCAACAAGCCGCGAGGCACGTGCTGTCATCCACATGTGACACGTTTTATCACATGGTCACATTTCTTTTCTATTACCTCGGACATGTCCGTGTCAGACCACGCGGATATATCCATTTATTTTAATAATATTGTTATCACGCTTGAGGCTGAGACGGTCATAGACTTCCCATAGCCGTGCGACTATTTCGTCACCTATCCCTATGTACGCATTCCCGACAACACATTACGATTTCCATTCTTTGATCCTGAAGGAGCGTGGCGATACGCAACTTGCATGGCCATCTGATCAACGAATCGTTTGCATTGGTGCTTCACATGCGTGTTGTTATCCTATACCTCCGAAAGAAGGACTGATTCACCTTCAGCCACTGGAATAGCCTTCTTGAAGAACTTCTTGGCCCTTGGCTTTGTCGCATTGCATTGCTCACCCTCAGCCGGAATCTCGGGCCTCTCATGGCCATCCTTGCAATGATGGTCGCGTTATGTAATCATATTTCATTGTTGATAACCTTCTCATCTCCAAAGCTAAAAACGAAGCGCAAAACAATTCCTGGTGATGATGTCCACGTTGACCCTGGGAACTGCGTGTGGATGGTACCCTGCTCACCGCGTTTGTTTTGCTTACTTTGGCCCACGTATTGATATGATTGGGAAATACATTTCCGGAAAACCCTGTGAGTGTGGGTTGATTGGTACACGCGATTTCTGATCCAGCTTTTCTTCACTCAGGGGCTACATCATGAGGCCCCATCCGTATTGACAAGATACCCACCTGATTACATATCTGAAATGGGGTTGATGCCACGAACCCGGGAAGAATCAAATGACACATTGGATGGTTCTTCTTCGCTGTAGCGTACATAGTTACAGTTCCCCATTGTCTTGCTATCATTTTGAATACCTCTGCCGAATTTTCTATCACGAACTCGCGTCAATACCCCTCCTTTCCCTTGTAGTCACGCCGCGAAATATTCCCTGCGCGCCTTTCCCCTTTGTGCGTATATATCTAGAGCTGGGATCTCATTGATTCGACATTATTGCTTCTGGATTCTTTTATTCTTGCACAGAGAGCTCATTTACCGTTCGCCCGTTTCAAATATGACAGTACTCATCAACAATACTGATAGTACGTAGAATCATTGCGTTGCACTCACGAACAAAAAAACCCAACTCAGGGTCGGTGTGACACAGACCAGTTTGATTAGCCCCAACTGCAGGGCAGCAGGGAATAATTGCCATTCGAATCTCCTACACGATTTGTTATTTTGTGCCTTATAAGTACTGTTGATGGAGCACGATATCAAATACCCAACGTGCAGAGAGATTCGCAATGACTTAGCTGAGCTACAGCGGCGGACAAAAACAGTCGGGAATATGAGTCGCAAAGGCAGTTACGGGTAATTTATTCGTATTTATATAATATGTCTGACATCAGCTTGCAGATTCTAGGTGGGCGTCCCGTAAGCCTGGTGATAGCTGTGTTGTTCCTGGGAACACGATAACCAAAGTTGTAATTAACTTGTGAGGTATCCCACACCTTCCATGCAATATGGATTTCAATTTGGGATTAGCGGGACAGTAAGTACAAATTTGGGTGAATACTGTGTATATGCTGGGAACCGTTAACTTGGTGACAAAGGGATAGGAAGCACGAAATTAACATTATGACCAAAATCATAACTCGGTCCAACCGCTCGACGGATCGGTTTCGATTCCAACGCTGGACATCAAGAAAAAGACAGCATTGGCAGAGAGACCCATTGTGAACCCTCGGTACAATTGTGCGAGACCACTAGCACCAAAGCGGCTCTCCTCCTGGGCCAGTAAATCCTCGTCATCCTTATCGAACGAAGAGACATCCGCAGCCTTCTCCTTGCCCTTAAAAGACTGACGCCGTTTCCTTTGCCTAAGACCTGCATAGGTTACTGTTGAACGTTCTTCTGACAGAATTCTCCACCAGGCATCAACTACACCCACATATGGAGTGGGTCGTGTTTCAACACAAGCACGCAGTGGTCGAGCAGAGTTTCTGGATTGGACTTGCAACCGGCGACGAACGGTCTCAATTGGTAAAGTGATGAGTAACGAAGCGGAAGAGAACAGGAGATGCAATACTGCATAGGTAGTGGGGTGCGTATCCTCTGCTATGCCGAAAAAGCGGTGAATTACGAGTGGAGCGGCGAGGCTGAGGAGAGGGCGGATGGTTGTGTCAAGGATGGTTGGAATTAGGAGATTAGGGTGCATATACAAAGCATAAAATCCTCCTTCGTTCTTCGTAATTCTTTTGAAGGCATCGATTGGTCCAGAATACGTTCGATGGGAGGGATGTGAGGATTGCACTATGAGCCGTGTCCTCACAAGGTCTAAAGGGGACAGTATGAATCCGGTGAGTGCATGCGAGGCGACAGCAATCGTTAAGTGAGAGCCAGGGGTTTGGAACGCGGGAAGGGGATAAATTGGAATAGATTGTGACGATACAAAGGTACTGAGAAGCAGTTCTTGGATACCAGTTTGGATAGTAGGGGTCATTGCATCAATGAGCGTAGATGTAAGTTGCGCTAGAGATGAGTTAAGTAGGGGAGGCCTGAGGGATGCAACTATTTCTCTCACCCTTCCACAACCCTTTGAGACCTTCCGACTTCCATGCTCTGATGCGCTTAACCATAGCCCAAACACCATCAGTCGGGCCCACTGGGATAACATAGTCGGGACGTGTTCCATCATCGTTTATGCTTTGACGCAACAAGTACCCTTCATCATCAGTAGGGGCCGGTGTCGGTGTCTCAGGTACCAGACGGGCACTGGAAGAGAATGCTTCGCGAGCAGGATCATGGAAGTAGGACTCTGAAGACGTATCACTCATCTGGAATAAATGATATAAATGGGACACTGAATCCAGTTCTGCATTGAATGAAGACGCACCGCGTCTTGTTCCCCATTCTCAGCATCCTCTCCATATATGACCTCTTCTGGAACAAACGCAACAGCATCCCTGGGAATCCACTGAACCTGCATGAGAATTTTCGCAACCTCAAATGGCATCGCAATGCCGGTGGACGCGTATTGAAGTAATGCATTCCCAACGAGCAACTTAAGGAACATTTTGAGGTCAATAGCTCCCTCGGGAGAGAGATCCAGCTCTTCATATGGATAGGGCGAAAGATCCAGGACGCGAGGTCTAGATGGAGGAGGCCGGGTTGACCAGGCAGCAGATGTCGGACCATTGGATGATTGGGACGGAGTTACGTTAGACGCTGAGTTAAACGCCCAATCGGATGCAGGGGGTGAATAGAGACCCCGTAGCGACGTCGGCCGCTGTGGATGCGATTCGCCTGACATGTATGCCAACCGGCTTTCTTTGCTCTGGTCCGCCCAAACTGGATGAAGGGATCGTCAGCTGGGATTTTGCATCCGGCTCCCGGCGTCAGTTCAACGCGTTTGAAGCGAGGCGGGTCTTGCACATTGACGATGACTAGGCACAGCATATCGAGGGTTTATGCGAATGTAAACGAGAAGCTTGGACCGTCGTGGTTCGACTATGGTGAGTTTGCTATGCATATGGCGCCATGGGACTCTCAATCGACGGTTCCGGCCAGACACTCTTCAGGTACAGTGGGGACAGCAGGATCACTATGAAATCGTACGGAAGGTTGGGAGAGGGAAGTATTCGGAGGTTGGTCATCCTTATGTTTTGAGCATGGATCGCACTAACCGCTGCGTGCGTGTATGCTTGAAGGTATTCGAGGGTGTCCACATTGTTTCCGAGGAGCCATGCATCATCAAAGTCTTGAAACCTGTCAAGAAGAAGAAGATAAAGCGAGAAATTAAGATATTACAGAACCTTGCCGGTGGTCCCAACATTATAAACCTGCTTGACGTGTAAGGCTCTAACTTCGATTCTGTGAGGAGTATCGGCTCACCTTAGACATTTAGTGTTCGCGATCCGAGTTCGAAGATTCCCAGTCTCGTCACGGAATATGTCCATAATGTAGATTTCAAAGTCCTATACCCAAAATTCACAGACCTCGACGTTCGCTATTATATTTTTGAGCTGTTGAAAGTCAGTACCGTTTCTCGTCGTCACCATTGATCTTCCTGACACTTTAATCCCGCTAGGCCCTTGATTTCTGTCACTCAAAAGGCATAATGCACCGCGATGTAAAACCTCACAATGTGATGATCGATCACGACCGACGTAAAGTGTGTCATGCGTAGGGTAACATTAGTATGCACTGAACGAAGCCCTTTCCCACAGCTCCGCTTGATTGACTGGGGCCTGGCAGAGTTTTATCATCCGCGGACCGAATACAACGTGCGGGTGGCTTCACGGTACTTCAAGGGACCTGAACTCCTTGTCGATTTCCAAGAGTACGACTATAGTCTTGATATGTGGAGTCTAGGGTGCATGTTCGCATCTATGGTAAAGCGAAGCCACTAGATGGCGTTTTACCGCGTCACTTATTGGACTCGTTTAGATATTTCGCAAAGAGCCCTTCTTCCATGGGCACGACAATTATGATCAGCTAGTCAAAATCGCCAAAGTGCTCGGGACGGATGAATTATATCTATACCTGGAGAAGTACGACATTGAGCTAGATGCCCAGTATGACGAGATCTTGTCAAGGTGAGTCTTTATCATCTATCGTGCGTTCTTGAGGTGATGGTTACGGATATAGGTACCCACGGAAACCGTGGGCAAGGTTCATTACTTCCGAAAACCAGCGCTATATCTCGAATGAGGCCATAGACTTCTTGGACAAGCTTCTCCGTTACGATCACCAAGAACGTCTCACTGCTGCAGAGGCTCAAGATCATCCGTACTTCAGTGAGTGATGTCATTTGATGCGCGTGTGTGCAGAGAGTTTACCATGCGCATTTCATTCCAAGACCCTGTAAAAGAAGCGGCCATGAATGGGGAGAGTGACCAAGACTCTGCCTAGTACTTTTCCTCGCCTTTTCTTGCAGGTTCATTCGGTCATGTTTTTTCTGTACACATTCCCATTAAACATGCTGGCACTTGGATCTGCATTGCGGCACGTCTTACCGGTTCATGACACACTTTTGACGTGCTGATTATCGGGGCGAGTGATTTGGTTCAGTCACGTGAGGATGCACAGACAGTTGCTCCGGGAAGTTCCAGTGGGATCTAAAATTTCTCACTGCGACCTAACGCTGGGCTCGACGTACTCGTTCTCCTTGGATACGTAATTATATGGTTGCAGGGCACTATAATGCCCTCCCGTAATACTCTAAGGTCTGGTCTCAATGCTGTGGTCTTACAAATGCCATTGTCCTTCGCCTCCACGAGTTGCACTCAGTTATCACGCGTTTCTGCATCGAACACTCGCCTTCTATCGAATGCTACAAAACAGAAAAGACCTGTTTCGCGGTTTTATGATAGGGTTCGCAGTATAACTCCACCAAGTCAGAGCGTTGGTGCTTCAGTCTCCCTACACTCATCCGTGCACGATTCCTAATAGGAATGGAACATCATAGAGAAAATTCCATTCAAGTAGACCCAACTCAACAAAAGACCCGTATCAAGTGTTGGGGGTACCGAGAGATGCCAGCCCGGCTGACATTAAGAAAAAATATTATGAGGTATTGATTACGTCGCCTGATGCGCGTCAGTGCTTACACATGGTCGTAGTTTGCTCGAAAGCACCACCCAGACACTAATCCAGATCCGAAATCAAAAGATCGTTTTGTAGAGATACAAGCGGCTTGGGATGTATGCGCTTGTTGTGCGTTCTCTAGTCCAATACTCAATTGTCGTTTCGTCAGATCCTTGGCGACGAGAAAAAACGCGCCACGTACGACCAATACGGTGCTGCTTCTCAGCAGCAAGGGTTCGATCCCAACGCGTTCGGTGGCCAGAATCCATTCGGGGCTGGTTTCAATGGGTTCGACGATTTTCTTAACCCATTTGGTCGTGCGAGTGGTAGATCTGCGCCCGAGAACATTCTTGAAACACTATTTGGTGGCCAGTTCGGTGGTGGAGGACGGCCTCGTGGTGAGGCTTCAAAGGGCGGAAACTTAGAGGCGAAGTTGACCGTGAGCTTTACCGAGGCATGCAAGGGCACTACGAAAACGGTCAATGTTACCCCAATAGTGGATTGTCATACATGCGACGGGTCTGGTTTGAAGAAGGGTGCTCAGAAAGCCCGGTGCGGGGTGTGTGGTGGGACGGGGACCCGAACTTTTGTCATCTCCAGCGGTTTTCAAATGGCTGCTACCTGTACAGCCTGTCAAGGCACAGGCCAGATACTGCCAAAGGGCTCACAGTGCAACTCTTGCGATGGAATAGGGAAAGTGAAGGAGCGTAGGTCGGTCACAGTCCAGGTGCCACCAGGTCCGTATGCATCCCCCAATCTCCCATGATCCTGTGTCTGATTAGTCAATGTTTCGCCCAGGCGTGGAAGATGGGGCCGCAATTCGAGTGACGGGGTCTGGTGACATGCCTCTCTCAGGCCGAGGTAGTCCGGGAGACCTTATTGTTCGCGTGCATGTGGTCCCCTCGAAGCAGTTCCGTAGACAAGGAATGAATCTATTCCATCAGACAAAAATCCCGTTGCACGCTGCGTTGCTGGGGGGCCGTGTTCGCGTCCCAACACTTGATGGCGAGGTTGAATTACAGGTACCAGCAGGGACTCAGCCTGGCGAGGAAGCTATTCTAAAAGGTCGTGGTGTTCCTCACTTACGCGATGGATACAAGGGAGATCTCTATGTTTCATTTGCCGTACAATTGCCTCGGTATTGCAAAATTTGTTCTTGGCGCGTGGCTGGATTCTAACGCGTGTCCGTAGATCATTGACGTCCCGTCAAAGGGAGATTCTGAAGCAGTTTGCTGATGAACTGGAGGGGCGTACGTCATCAACATCAGGGTCATCATCTACACCAAGTTCCCCACCGACAACCGAATCGACTTCATCCCATTCAAATACGACGAATTCTTCAGCCGAGTCACAGGAGACACAGCCATTGGAGGACCAGCTTAACAACAGTGAGTCTCTTTGCCTGTTTGTTCGTCTTCATGGACTCCGATGCCCCCCTGCGTTTCGGACAGGTGGCGGAGGAGGTTGGCTGGGCTGGTTAGGACGGCTCAAGGATGCCATGACAAGGCCCCGTTGAGGCAGTCCAGTTGCACCCTGCCAAGTTCCAATCATTCAACTGCCTCTTCAAGTATTGAGCTAATTCCGCTCTCCGCTCTTACTCGAACAGGTGAGAGTAAATCTGATGGCGCTTCTTCGATTGATCAACCCGAGGACGACGCTGTCGCAAGCCAGCGGAGGAAAAAGAAAGCTGCTTCTGGGCGAGGGCATATATTGTAGAAGAATGTACGTTATACATGGGCTCTGTTTCAGCAGCTCACTAGTATATCAGTTTTTTTCTTTGCGTAATCCGATTCCCGTTGCCGTCAGCAACCATACGTACCTTCTCCAATCCAATGACTTTTCCGTCAATGTTCTCTATTTGCACATTTGTCTCAATGTCTGTTTCTTCGAGGAGACATCGACTCAATTGGACTCGGGGATGATTCATTAACTCCGCATCAACACTTCTCCCTAAATCCGTATGCTGGCTTCTCATCGACGCCCCATCCAAAGCTCGCACCCCCGACAATTGCGGCGGCCGACGGTCCGGCCAATTGCTGCTTTCAGATGTTTATGGGCGCTGTCTCCGACGATGTCCAGTTACCGGTCATTAGACATTGATGCGTCCCGGGGGTATCTTCCGCCTCCATTTCTTCCTGCGATCGCGGTTTATCTCACCGCCTAGCGCCTACTTTCTACCGCGCGTTAGCTTACCGAGCTCGGTTCCAAGTCCCCTTCGGCGGAATAATAAGAAAATTGCTGTATTCCACAGAATAATTCGTAATTGACTTGCGAATTTCTTTAAACTTTTGGTTTTTTGTTAGCATTGTTGTGTTGCATGTTCGTGATGGCTTCAGACTGTCATAACAACTCTATGGGTGGCGGAAAGAGCAAGCGGGCGTTCTGGATCTCGTCGGCAGCACTTAAATAGCCTAGGAATGTCTCCCATCAGCCCCTCAGCGCCCGCTTTCTCATCAACGCCCCTTACTTCGCTTTCGTCGCCCTCTGCGAGTCTAAGCTTTGGAAACTCTTTAAAATTTGGCTTCCGTTCATCTTGAACCCTTGACTTGCACCTAATGTGTGACGAGAAGGCGATAGTCTCTCTTACCCACGCCAATCAAATCCTAACAGACCAGAACGCAATTTTGCACCCTCATGCAGTTCCCGGTATCCCCCGACGTCCGGGGCGCCCTCCCTTCACTCGGATGACGAAGAAACAGTGAACGATGCTGGTATGCGCATTGGTCCCTCATCACGCCGCCTTGATTCTATGTGAATGGGAGTTGTCTGATTCCCCACTTGAAATTCACCTTAGCTACAATTACTACAGTTGTTCCCCCAAGTTATCGTTTTGGATTGAATGCCTATAAAGTTTTCTTAGCCCTTCTCAGGTACTTGCTTCATCCGACTGCTTCCGGATCTCCGTATGCTTATTCGCTTCCCTTTCCAGTCTTTCGCTGTGCCTGTTTCTTGCAACTGCGGATGGTGTCTGTGTATTATCTCTGTGCAGTCAATGTATGCGTCCTCATGCCACCAATCGCGTCGCTTCTAGACTATTGTATCAACTACACTGCCTACCATGGCTGCTGACCTCCATGGGTCAAGCGCATGGTATCCGTGGGTATCGTCGTCATACTTCATCGCCCAAGTAAGCCTACGCCGCACGCCCATGTTGAAAGCTACCGACACGCCTACAATGCAGACTGTCGTTCAGCCCCTTTTCCCGAAGCTGGTGGGTTTGTTCGGAATCAAGGTAAATGGCCTCGCGCTGCTGAAACATCAAGAGCGTCACTTATGATGCTCTAATGTCCAGGCAACTCTGCTATTTTCTGTCCTGCAGTTTGCGCTGTTTTCTGGCCTGTGCGGTGGCGCGCATAACATGACAAGTTTGGTGATCTATAGAGCATTTCAAGTACGTAGCAGTTCTATCACCGGTGATTGCTATCCTGAACTTTTCTCCGTTGCGATTAGGGAGCAGCCGCCGGGGGTATTGTCACAAACGTGTGGACCGTGATGACCCGCCTTGTCTACGAAGATCAAAAGCCACAATGCACATTTTTCCAGAGCGGTACATGGATCTTCGCAGCAGCCGCCGCGCCGGCAATAGGGGGCGCATTCAGCACAGGTTCGCTACTTAATTTGATTTCGAGCCGATAAATGTACTTCGGTTGATGGTCCGCCCCCCCCCCCCCCCCCACAGATCGCCTTTGGCATTGGAGCTGTGAGAGATTCTCCCACTGTCTACATTTGGCAGATCTCCGTACTAAAAGATTACCGCTATCTAGTTTGGATCAATATTCCCATCGCCGGCGTTGCCGTGATCTTGGGATCTCTCATTCTATACAAAGTTCCCCTAGATGACGATGATGAAAAGGTGAAGAAAGGCCGTGGAATCAATTCTATGCTGCGCGAGTTAGATCTTCTTGGACTGTGAGTTCCGGGTTGCATGATGCGAAAGCACTCCTTAACCATGGGATTGCTTGTTGATTCAGCACTCTCCTGACATGTGGAACAATTCTTTTCCTTCTGGGTCTCACGTTTGCGCCTTTGTATGGCTGTAGGTACTTTCCCTCGTGTTGATTCGGTTGACTGATCTTTTGTAGGGGAAAGTCTGACAACTCTTCCCGTGTTCTTGGGTGGTTTCGCGACGCTACTTATTGCACTATTGTACGAAGCGTTTGGTGCTGTAAATGGTGTCATTCCGGCCTCATACTTTAGGGATCCTACCATCGGTAAGTGAACTGCTGCAGGTGCAAGGGAGATGTTTGCTAAGACCCCGCATGCAGTGGTAATAATGGTGTTCTCTTTCTTTCAAACTTACGGGTACACAACTGTCACATATTTTCTTGTCATCTATTACCAAGTACGTCGTGTTTGACTCTGTTTCCCGTTGATCCTCACAGACACGTTCTAGGGAGTCCTGGGCATGAACGCAAAGGAGGCTGGTGCCCGTGTATTGGGGTTTTCCGCTGTGGCGGCCGGCTTTTGCGCAGTCGTAGCCATTTTCCAGAACCGCTTTCATCATTCTCTTCTGTACCCAATCACATTCGGGCTTGGCGTGTGCTCTATCGGGATCGGTACGTACTCGTGCTCTTCCCATTGTTGCACGATCACATTAATTATTACGGCGACTTTAGGATGTTTTGCTACACTGGACTATCATTCTTCCGACGCCGTCTCTGTCACTCTGGCGGTGGTGGTTGGGTGTGGTTTCGCATTCCTCCTCAAGCTCCCCAATGATCTCCTGACTCATACCCTCCAAGACAAGAAACTGACGTATGGGAACTCTATGTTCTTCTTCGTTCGCTTTACGGGATGCTCGGTGGGCATCACCATCTCAAATACAGTCTTTGTCATGAGATGGGCAAAGCTCCTACCCCTCAACTCAGCAATCGACCCCCATACCGTGGATTGGGGTGCACTGCACGAGATCCAGGACATTCAGCTCCGAGAATCTGTCCTGGCCGCTCTGGCCGCATCCCTTTCGGTAAGTGCTGATGGCCGTTCACAGCTCTGCACAATTCTCACTGAGTTTTTCACCTGCAAGACTGTGTGGGTTCTTTGTTCCTCACTACTTGCCTTCTCAGCGATGGTAGGTGATAATCACATCATGTGGATCGGCTGACCAATACAAATTCATTTCCCCTCCTTCCTTAGCTGTGCATTGCTGTTATCGCTAGCGATCATGTTAGCCACTTCTTGACCGATATTCGTCCGTCCGTCTGCAATGAAGGAGACAAACAACCTCCAGTATAATACTTAACCTGATTCTGTCTTTCCGCTTCGTTGGGTGCCCTAGGCTTCAAGTTCAAGCCGTCAGAATTTCCATTGCGTTGCGCATAACAACCTTCTATTTGTCCGTCTTGGTTGCTCACTTTCACACCAAGCCACCATATCAACTACTATTCACCATTAATGTCTCACGTACATTTTTCTCGATGTCATTCACGATTCATTACATTCTCGGCGACGTTCCTCCACCTGCAGAATTTCTCGTGGTCACTGCTTTTGTGGGAGAGCCGTCCGTCTGGTTTCCAATTAATTGTACCATAATTCGGGCTCGTTTTCACCATCTCTTCAATCACTGCCATATTCGCTTACTAGTGCACTATTTCCCCCCTTTTCCATTTCAAGCAGACAATTTCTTTACGTAGCCTATTCGCGGCTGCAGGACTCTACCTATCCTTTCGTTGTATCTGGGAGAAATACTGTAGAACTTGATTTTGCGCTGATCAATCATTCAATGCCAGTGGATTCGACGGATGCAAATTGCTTCGCGGTGATCATCGCCCGATTTGCAGCTGCCCACAGATAGATCGGCCAACGCAACCATAGGCAGGACTCCAGCCTCTATGACTTCCACGCAACCAGGTGGTCATCTCTGATCTTCCCTTTCCAGGCTCATTCAGCCTGCTCTGACTGCTCTGACTGCTCTGACTGCTCTGACTGGTCCGACTGAGACTTTGAGTCCTACAGTTTGACATGTCTCAAATGTTCCTGTTTCTAACTGCGTCGAACTTGGCGTCGCCCTGGGTGAGACCTCAATGATGCCAGACTAAACCAAAGTGAAACTCTGAGCGACTTACTCTTCCCCAAAGCATAAAAGCGGGACGTTTTCTGCCTCCCTAGGGCCATCATCATCACCTTCGTCGGTTGCTTCACAACTCCTGCCTACATCTACACTTACTCATCTTCGATTCTATCCACTTGACTTCAAAATGGTTCGCTTCTCGCAATCTTTGACCACTGGGGCGTTGGCTGCCTTAATCGCTGTCGAGGCTGCTGCTCTACCTGCTGGCCAGCAAATGATATTTGAAGGTGCTCCCCACCAAACGCTTCGCGGCATGCGTGTTCGTAATGGCGCAGTGAGTGATGTTTCGGTTCATACATCTTTTTCTTTTTTTCTAATGTTTTATCATTTGTGGGTTCAGGTGCCAAGTGCAAATAAAGCTCAGTCCTGGAGCTTGAAGCGCGATCATGTTCATGACCATGAGCATGTCCACGATCACGGTCATGACCACGACCACGACCACGACCACGACCACGATCATCACAAGCGTACTCCTCATCATCACCACCATGATGAGCATCTTCATGAGCATGTCCATGTCCACCGACGTGACCACCATCATCATCACGATGAGCACGTACACAAGCACGTTCACATTCACGAACGCGACCATGGACACCACCATCATCATCATCATCATCATCATCATGACAAGCGAGAGGGGACCTACATTGTCCACTCAGTATGTATCAAGTTGCTTGGATTTTGCTCATCGTTACTAAACGCCTGTTCTCTAGCACGACAGTCGTCCCATGATTTCTTTTTCGCTAGACGTCGAGACGACCCCGTATCACCATCTTCAGACTAGGGGACTTCTTGATCCCATTGCGGACATTTTGGCTCCAGTGGGCCCGTTGTTGCAGAAGTTGGCTCCAGCGCTTAGCGGCCTTCCATGTGTTGGAGGCATCATCGACATACTCACGTCAACCATTAGTAGCGTCGGTGGTGAAAAGATCGGCGCTCTTCTTGCTGGGAAACCCCTCCCTAGTGCGGCATATGTCACTAGTGGCTCTGGTCCTCAGTCGTTCGCATATCAGATTGACGCGTCTGATACTACGCCAGCTACCATGTTCCTCGCTAAGCTACCTTACCAGCTTAACAACCCGACTTGCGCCAACTCTACGACAATACCGGTTATGGTTGCTATCCCTATCATCAACAACAATACTCTCTCGGTGATGTGTGCGACTTATAACAGTACCTCGTCCTCTCCCTCTGCGCTTACTGCCCAACCTTGCCGTAACTTCACCGCACCTACTGTTGTAAGCCAAGTTTTGGCATACAACCAGCTTACGGGCATTTTGCGTCCTTTGTGGAATGCTAGCGAGACTCAACATTTACCTGGTTGCGTTAAGAGCACTGCGTTTTCTACTCTCACTGCTGGCAACTTGACGACTGGCGGAAGCCAAGCCGTTGAGATGGTCTTCGTGCCTTCGACGGATGGTCAGTTCAACTTTGTCCCTTCAGGGATGCCTGCAAACCGGACCTCAAATGCGGATGCTGACGACGAGACGGCCGAGGCCACGAGCGAAGAAGAGGACGCTTGAGCTCCGCATGACCCCACCCCCACCGGACATTTAGCTTCTTTGTGTTATCTTCTTATCTTTATTTGCACTGTTAGACTTCTTCTTCTAGACTTCTTCATCGCTAGGTAGATTCCATGTTTGGGTTCTTGTGCAGATCTGTTTGCAAAGCGAAATAGAACTTTGTTCACGTATAACCCCAATTTAAGTCGTGTGAGCCGGAATTAAATTAGTGGGGGGTGAAATGAAAAGCTGTGCTGACGAACACAACCGCTTTCTTACCCCTGATCTGACGACTTGTGAACACACCACCACCAAATCACCGTCTTGCTTATAAGGGGGCAGCAAAGCTGACAGTCTTTTCCTTTTCTCTCAGCCAACAACCGATCCACCTTTGCAATATTCTCCATTGTGTGTTACTTTATAATGCTCTCGTTCTGCGACACCCGTCTTATCGTCTCAAAGCTCATCAATTTTCTGTCCTCTAAGACAGTAGCGATGTCCTCCACATCGATTCTCACTACTTCATCATCTTCCACCCTCGCGCCGAAGCCAACCCGGCCGCACCTTGCCCTCAGATCCAAGTCTTCCGTCGAATCATTCGTCAGCTCCACAGGCGCTATGCCAAGAGCAGATCAGGGGGATGAAATGAAAGTACAAGGACTTCAACACTCGGAAGTGAGACTTGATGCGAGGTGGGTTGTCGTTCTTTCTACGGCCGCCGTTCTCATGCGGAATGGGCCCAATTGCAGGATAGGGTTGATCCTCGTCGCATCGTCGATCCCGATTGTGCATTGAACCTGTGCCGTTCTTCTCTTCGTATTCCATGTTGTTTTAGTACTAACTTAACTTCTCTTATTGCTGACATATTGCAGACGCTACAAGTCACCCCAATTTACTGTGGACCTTTTGCACCTCCTTCGGGACGAACTACACGTGCCATCTTGGCATTCGCCTCTTCTTGATTCTTCTGGCGTGAAGATTACCAAAGCTGCTGGATCCTTCACGAATGCCGTGTTCTTTGTGTCATACTCCACCTCGGGTGCTGTGGGTCCTCGCACCATCCTGCTTCGCATCTACGGTCCATCCTCTGCTGCGCTTATTTCCCGGCCCCATGAGCTGCGGACGTTGCACGTGCTCTCATCGGTATACAAGATCGGACCACGCGTCTTCGGTACCTTTGTGAACGGGCGCGTCGAGGAATATCTCGAGTCGTCCGCACTGACTGCGAATGACTTGAGGGACCCACAAACTAGTAGATGGATTGCCCGTCGTATGAAGGAACTCCACTGGGTGGATATCCCCGTCGTGTGGGGCGAGCGCCGGGGTTGCCAAGACATTCTATCGGTTAAGAATTTCAGGGATTGGTTAGCGCCAGCTGCCGAAGCTCTCGATCTTGTTATTGAGAATTTCACGATCGCCAGATTCGACTCTTCACACCCTTGGTGGAATCTCAAGAATGACATTGATCTGCCGCGACTCGTTCATGAGTGGACGGCTTACATGGCGTGGATGAAGGAGTGGGAGAAAACGCACAAGCGCAGTCCACGAGTCTTTGCTCATAACGATGCTCAGTGCGGGAACTTGCTTCGACTTGCTCGTCCCCGTAAGGGGCAACCAGATCATCATAACATCATCGTGGTCGATTTTGAATATGCTGGCCCCAATCTTGCTGCGTGCGACATTGCTAATCACTTCCTTGAATGGACAGCGAATTACCACAGTGATACTCCCCATGTCGTAAATCCCGAATTATACCCGTCCGAAGCTGAGCGTCGTAACTTCTATCGCGCGTACCTATCCCCCGTACAATATTCGACTGGGAAGAACGGCGTTTCTTCTTCATCCCTCATTACATCTCCCGCCCCCATGACTTCACCCGAGACATCTGTGACTGCTATAGAAGGGGAAGTGAAAGAACAGGATATTATTGAGCTTGAAGAGCAAGTACGAGTCTGGGTGCCTGCTATCCTCGCACAATGGGCAGTTTGGGGACTCGTTCAGGCAAGGGACGACGTTCTTGCTGGGGGTGTTGGGGAATTCGACTACCTTAACTATTCTCGCGGGAGAGCCTTGGCGTTCAGAGAATCCCTCAAGGAGCTCGGTGTTGTTGTTGGGTGATTCACGTTGTGGGATGCGTTATCTTCCTTTGCGTTGGACTTGAAAGGATCCACTGGTTGCTATCTGGTTTAAGGTGTAATTTCCTCTCTTTGTTTCCTCTTTGTGGAGCGCAATTTTTCACCTCTTCTTTGTCCATTACATTTAATTGCTTTCCCACTTTCATGTCTTACGACTAGATCATTTTGGCTGATCTTGATTTGAAATACTGATGTTATAGGAGGTGGCCTCGGAGAATGACAATTGGTTTTACATGTAGTTGCTTATTGATACCACTTCTTTTCCTCCTAAGAGACGAGATCCTAATGCACAGCAAGTGTCAGAGTCTCGAAGGACCTAAATTTTCAGACTGCACTATCGAGGCGCTTGGAAATGTTGTGCCCTTCGGCGGGCAGCGGTGTTAGGCAAGATTCCAGCCTCCAGAGATGCAGGGCGGGATGGCAGGGTCCCAGCCTCTATAAAGAGGTTGGGCCTCTTAGCACTCGGGGGCTCAATCGTATCATGACACCCCGAAGCGACGTAGACGGGGATGATCTGACCAGGGTCTTCAACAGCCTCAGTCTTAATTAAATGGCAAAGGGATTCAAGCCCCGACTCTGGTCATCCTCGTCGTCGCCGATCAAACTGAAACTCCTGGTCGCCCCCTGTTATCCCTCATTCCTCGCGTCCTCCCGTAGCGACAACGGCCGGCCGGTCATGACGTTGGCGATGTCAACGCAGCGACCACCCCCCCGCTTCTTTGTTACCCTCAATTAGCAGCATTCTTCAACTGCTACGCTAGATAACCCCACTTCTCTGTGGGTCTTCACCAGCTCCTGACGCTTCCCCCCTCGGCGAGTGTGAGCTACAATGGCAAGTACCCATCTCGTTGTGCATGTATCATCATTTTTTTCTCACATACGGAACATTGTCTCACCACACATAAGGTGGGGTAGTATGTTTGTGGAGGAATTCATTTAGAGCCCCAGATCCTGTTTTTGTTTTCCTAACTCTGGGACTATCACGAAGAGATTGTGCTTTAAGGCTGGGATCCCGCATAGACATCGTGCCGCATGGGATTAATTATCTAAGTTCATTTGTAGCTATAGTTCATGACGAAGTAGTCTCGTGCGTAGGATTTCACCTCAGGGGCCAGGATCGACACTGCAGTTGAGCTAGAGGTTGACAGGGAAGCAAGGCATTCATTTGAGTCAGTGGAGGACGCAGTGGCGCAATCTCTCCCACGGTGGGACCTATAGATTCATGACATCAGAGGCAAAATTCGCTCAGGAAGAATGGCTGCTCATCTTCGACTTGTACAGGAATAATTCTTCCACGATTAGGAACACTACGCTTTTTGCCTTGCCTACCTCTTGCAGTTTCGCCAACCTCCACTTCCAGATGGTGAACCTGAGACATGGCCAGATGAGACAATGGACCCCACAAACAATGCTGAAACATATTTCCGACCTTTTCTATCAGATCAGTTTTGTCCAACCGGAGTCCTGGAGCGGCCTTTTTCCCGAAGGATCTTTGGAAGTGGGTTTTCGAAAGCTGTCGTGGCCTCGAGGGGTCAGGGTTGTTAGTATAACCTGCGATTCTCAGTATCGGACCTCGTCCCGCGCTTGATCCCTTATCTCCCAGCGATGACGTCCGGAGAAGGAACTTACATCTTCCGAAGTAATATTCCTCATGAGCCCTTCGTTGTCATTGCCTCTGCCACTGTATCGAAGCTGAAGACAGAACTGTTTGGACCGTGCATAATAAATGTACTCCAAAAAATCTAAGACAGAATGTTCCTAGGAATCTGTATGATGAGGTATTACCGTGGCTGAGGCAAGAACAAGCCCTCTCTAGGATGCGATCAAAGAAGGAGAAATATGATATCAATGACGTTGACGGAATTATCTGGGCCGTACTTATGATGTGATTGGAGATCACTGCATCTGAGTCTGAGCGTGGCCCATGTTGCAATTCACCTTAACGTACTCATGAGAGTGCCTCAGTTCTTGGTACACTGTTGAACTGGAGGGACGTCAGCATAGGGCTCATTGTCTAATCGATTGCAATGGGAAAATGGCTGGGTCGATAGTGGATCTAGTGAATGACCAGTTAGTAGAATAAACATTCAAGTCATTTTGATGTTTGATTCTCGGACAGCGGAGATCGCAGATTGATTCTTAAACGGGCGTGCCGTAGGTACGGAAGGATCGGTTTCAACAGCATCTATATATCCTCGACATGATTGAATCCGGCGAACAGTGATTCCATGTTAGGCTTTTGAACTGAGGCCGGGTTGGATCGATTATCCTCTACCTCTCTGTTGTTAAAAACTGGCACCTACAACATTCTCTGATGTCAAAGCACCAACCGTGGAGAGGCTGGGGGCGTGGGCCGCGAAGTCCTGGAAAGCCTCCACAGACTGGGACCTGGTACCATACGGCCAAAAATGGAGCGTAGACAGAAGAAGTCAAGAGCACCCAGCACGGACAGATTGGAAAGGCATCCTCAAAACAGCGGGATAGCAGAGGAGGAGCTAGCCTATAGTAGCCCGAAGGCATTCAGGCAGTCACAAATGAGACATATAAAGCCATGAGCACCGCCGAATGAAGATTAGTCCAAGGAGGGTGGATCGGAGAATGAAGTTTGTGGTGGATAGAGGCGAACCGCGGACTGACCCCCCGCGCAGCGCAGTTTTGAACGACAACCAACTGAGTGCTTTGGCGGGGCACCTTCAAGGGCCACGTATCAGGTGTGCAGGAAGGTGCGAATCGAGAAGCGAGGCCATGCGAGATGCTACCAGGAAGTAAGCTTGCCCACGCTCGATTACATAATCTATACAATCGCGTTGTTGTGGCAGTACTGCAATTGTTTGCGGCTCCGCTCTTGGTGCGGGTCTCCCAAGACTCCCCTGGCCCAGTCATGGCACCCCTAAACGACATGGACGACGGGGGATTTATGGATGAAATTACTAGGCGTTTCCGCCGCCTCAAGCTTAAGTTGAGGAGGGATTCGAGCCCTAATTCTGGGCATGGTCAATCAGGCCAACCTTCACCGTCGCTCCCTGCACCCCCTCGACCTTCACGACCTCCAGCAGCCGTAGCTCCTTATGATTTCCCTGCTCTTTCACACCCTCCAATGAGCATGCCCGTCCCTAACAATAATGTAGCAACTACTTTGTCTGATTTCCACGCTGCCTCCTCGCCCCCAATCGTCGTTCATCATCCGTCGCACTCGACACCCTCATTTCTCTACGGGTCTTCTCCAACTCCTAGCGCTTTTCCTCCAGCGGGTTCTAGACCGCCTCGACCGTCATTGAACCTTAGCCCGCCTTCCAGTCAAGCCGGTCACCATCGAGCTTCCTCTGCTCCCCCCACACCGGCACCATCTAGCTCGGGTCGTTCTGGTAGTGAATATCAGTGCAGTGGAGTCACCAAAGCTGGGAAGCGTTGCACGCGGATGCTTAAAGCCCCTCATCCTTCTATCTTCCCTGCTGGAGAATTCCAGAGATACTGCTTTCAACATATCAAAGAAGTCGTCCAGCCGTCTGGTCATAATATAAAAGGAAACTGGGTAGGATTCAGTGGTGAGTCATCTTATACGCATGTAGTTATTGTATAATTTTTGATGCCGAACAATGGCTAAGATTGGATCCCCTCGTATTTGGATGATGACACACGAGCAAACTTAATGAACCAGATGACGAACCCCATATCCGTTAGTGATAAACCGGGGTACATATACGCTTACGAGATAAGGGGTATGGAAGAGTTCGGTTATGCTGTGTCCATTATAATTGGTACTCATGAGACCATCCTGCAGATCCAAAAACACCAAAGGAGATCCACATAAAAGTTGGTAGAGCCGAGAATCTTGTTAAGAGGCTTGATCAGTGGTCGAAACAGTGTGGGTCCAGAGAAGTCGTTCTCCGAGGCTGGTGGCCCGGAAGCGTCGTTGACAATGGAGACACCGGGCCAAGCTTACTGAAGGGGCGTGTCTTAGCCGGAGAGAAAGGAAAACATTGTCATCGTTTGGAACGTAAGTTCCCCCTGACTGCCAACATGAAACCAGGGCGAATAATTCATTTCCCCACGTGAATCATGAACCAGGATTGATTCATCTCGAGCTGTCAGACCTGGTGGTTAACAAGGTGTATCTACGACCCGAATTCCTTAAAACACGGAATGGTGCTCCCTCGGTGCCACCGCACATTCGCAGAGAATCATCATCAGCAAACAAGTCTCAAAGAGTGCCATGCTCTGACTGTAAGAAGAAATTTCGTCTGGATTTTTGTTGTTTGCTCACGAGTGTTTGGAATCATAGGTGGTCAGGTTCATAAAGAAATTTTCACCTTTACTAAAATAGAAAATGGTAGGCTGAAGGGCAAGGAATGGGATATGATAGTGCGCCCTGTTATTGAAAAATGGGGTAGGTTTGTTGAGGATTTTACGTAGACCCTGAATCCTGTGATGCCTCTATTTCGGAAGGACATCTGATTGTTCCTGTATTATGAAGAGATTGTGAAGCATGTAATTAATCATGTACGGACCAGTTCATCTGTAACTATCATTCACGACGAGCAATCGATCGATTCATTAATTTGTTAGTCGACCATCTCAGCATAAATGTGTTTTCCTATTGTACTAAAGGAGGCTGAGGAAGGAATAAGGTGCTCGGGGCTATTTCGCCCGATGGACTAGCCTCTGGGGAAGGGCAAATCTAGCCGCTTGTGCCGTGTCCCCTTTGATGCACTTTTGACTGTGTCCTGATACCTGTCATCCGGCATTGAAGTGGGCGCAGAGCGGCTTCTCATGGCCTACATCGCGCATGTAGCTGGCGTTTGCTGGGCCTTGAGTTGGGGTTGCATGAGATATGGGATTGCGCCACCTTGCGACTTGGTTGTTTTTTCGCGTTGCGCAAGCGTCACTCGGATCCTGCCACTTGCCAGCGGTCGTGGCCAAGAAAGCTTCAGAGTCCGGGAAAATTGTCACGGTTTTTTTGGGTAGTTCTACTTGAGAACCTGTTACGGTGCCATTAATGTGACTGTTGCCTTACGCTTGTTCTGGTGGAAATCTTGGCGACATATTCCAGTCCCGACGAGTTTGAGGTATCGAGTATGTAATTGGCCGGACTTGCAGGGCATCTGTTATCAATTACTGACCATCGGTGCAGTGGAAGCTCATGCACTGGCAAAGTTGAATGGTGCCATGTTAATTGATGACATATCGACGTGTTGCGGCTACGATGGATTGAATACGGTTCTGGTGTACGGGAGTACATTGTCAGCAGCCAATAGCAAAGTGGATTTGGCCGATGGGACCGCCTGCATGTGTCCCGTTCGAACAATCCTAGAGGATTTGATGTAGAGGAGGGACCCTTCGTTTGCGAAACCAAGAATGACCAGCGAAGGTTCATGTAAAGCAAAGAATGAAAGGACCTGTCATTCAGGGTTTGAGAATGTACCAGATCACCGATGTGATGGGTACCTCGCATAGCGATCGGGGCCTGGCATTGGTCCTGGTATACGAGTCCAGCCCAGTGCAGGGATCATGTCATGTCGACGACAGTCCGTTTCGTCAACACATAAGATCTACTGTGACATCCACATCTCGATGTGGAGGTTATACCGACTTCATTCCCCATAATTGGATCAACTGACACTCCCGAACTATATGTTGATGATCCAAACAGGAACCCCATACAAGGTATTAGCCAGTGGCTGGGCCCACATAGTGTGAGCGTGCTAACGTGATTAGGCTGGAGTGAAGCTACTGGCCGATAGTGATACTTTTGAAGCCGGCCCCGGATGCTTTCGAGAAGAATCCCGCCGGACGACGGCAATGGTCCTCTAAAAGTTGGGGTTGACACATCAGTTCGCAAAATGCGGTCTAATGGAATTGAAGGGAATCGGGAATGCAGCTGCACGGTGGGAAATGAACCTGTTTGAGGCGGAGACGCTCCATCTTGTGGGCTGCGTCGGTTGAGTGTGAGTGCAAAGAGACACCTAGCATTCCTGGAAGGACTGTCAAGAAATCTTCTGCGCAACCGCCTCAATAGTGGTAAACATATGAAACCTATGTACCAGAGGCTTTTAGCATAGCTCGTGAAATCCCACTTACTATTTTTTGACTGGGGGCACTCTTCTTGTGAAGGACGAGTGAGCTACATTGTGATATGAAACTTCGTACGCGGCCGTGGTGGACACCCAAGGTGAATCGAACCCTTGACACCACTACATATTTAGACACTTCCTCTAAATATGGCCGCAATATGAGGAACACTGGATCAGTCATGTTGGCTACTGGGAAATGCTGGAGAAAACGTGGTGGCCCAGTGAATGACATATTCTAGAGACATCGGAATCCTCATAAGCAGATGTCGAATCAATGAACGCGCTACACCTAAGAATTCGATAATCTCGGCTAGTATTCTATCTGACTCACTGCAAGGGGCTTGCAACGTGATCCAGGAATGATTGATTGGCCATGGCCGTTGGACAGCGATGTTTGATTTCGGGCTGCTAGACATCGGCATCGGACACACCAACTTGTTGTACCCTGTTTACAGGACCAACATACTCAGGTTTCCGTTTGCGTTAGGCTGCAGCAGGTGATCTGAATGTGGTCTGGAGAATTGACGTGAAGAACGATCCGGAATGCAAGGAGGGGTCTCCAGCAAGCCTTCCAACACAAGACATCGAGATGGTATGTTCTGGTGTAGAATGCCTGTCGTTACAATACTGAAGGCGACAACATTCTAAGTTGGTTTACGGGGCTCGGCTTTGCAAGCCACCACAGCGTTAGCTCTTACTGAGTATCACTCCTTCACAGTTCAGACGAAGCACCACACGGGAAACCAAACGGTTTGCAACGCGCGATCATCACCGCCATCGCCAGGGCTGGCGATGCCAATCGTATCATCTATCCCTCCCGAGCCAGTATCTGAGGGCAGCTTGCCCGAACCGCCTGAGATCACTTATCACCCAGTCGACCTCCATCATTATCGCAATGCACTTTTCAGTAGTACGGATACATACCTCTCTGGGTTTGATGTGTCGGCTTTGCTTCAAAGTCCAAGATATCAACACCTGAAACGTGAATTCGTTTCGTCCCTAGGGGAGAATGGGGAACAAGAAGGCGCTGTTCGAGACCTTTTTAATCATATTGTTGAACAATGCGTCCGAGGTGACTTGGATGATGTCCACTCTGAACGTTGCTTCTCATTGGGGACTGTTCAGCTACGCGCACAACCTTCGCCAGATGACGAATATCCCATTGTTCTTGTTCCTGTCTCGAAATTGTCCACTTGGCGATGGGCTGATGTGTTGGCGGTTGTAGTCGTCGAAGCTCGACGCACTGCGCTAGGACATACCGATGCCGGACAGGGGTCCCGAGCTCCAGGGCGGTCGGAGCAGGTCGATCCTAGAGAAAGTCCCAGTCACCTTCAGTCATCTGTCCGAGACGCGCTACCCCATTCTGCGAAAAGATTCGTGCGCTACGCCAAAAAAGTCATGTGTTCTCTTGGAAATCGCCAAAGCGTTCATGGCATCTTGTTTAATGGATCGTTTGCGTCTTTTTGGTGCTTTGATCGGGGGGGAGGGGTTTTCACTCATGAATGCAATATCGATCGCGATTTTCCCGACCTCATACGCTGCCTCATGTCTCTCTGTCTGGCTAACAACACGGAGCTGGGACTCGAACCAATGTTTCAGCAATCAGGCGTTAAAGATGTTGAACTTTTTGGGTCTGTGCTGCAACGTTATCTCGTTGTTCAGCGTTCTCTGTTCACTATCTCCAAGACGCTGCACATTACATCAGAGCTAGATGGCCGTGGAACCACTGTATTCAAGGTGATTACTGCCCCCGACGGGCGAACAACCGATGAAGTGACGGAGGCGGGGGAGGAAACCGTGATCCCAGAAGCAGCGGTGATTAAGTTTTCATGGCAATCGACCTCGCAAGCCTTGGAGATCGCTTTATTCCGTCGCGCTCAGGAGTTCAATGTTGAAGGAATAGCAACGCTTTACAGGTACAGTTCTCCGCGAAAACTTTCAGATGGGCATCGGAAACAACTCGGTCTGAAGGTTGGTATTGATTATGTCGACCGAGAACTGCACGTTCAAGTGACAGGTCCAGTTTGCATCCCACTGTATCGAGTGGTTGATGAAGATGATTTTGCGGCTGCATTCAAATCCTTGATTTCCGGTAATAGTAGCCGGCTGGATCCCAATTCAGCACGCTGACAGTTTGTTTTAGCACACCATAGCTTGTATAAGAAAGCAGGCATTCTCCATCGGGATATAAGTATCAATAACCTGATGGTGGACGAGACCAACCCTCAACGTGGCGTCCTAATTGACCTGGATCTCGCTATCCAAGTCCGAGACGGGGAAAGAGTGTTGGGTATCAGGCCATCCACTGTTGGGACTTACCCTTTCCTTGCTCTCGATCTCTTCCGGGACGAACCCCTGACGCAGAGATGGTATCGCCACGATCTAGAATCCTTCCTCTACGTCCTGGCCTGGATTCTATCCCGCTTTGACGAGGACGGAAATGAAGTCCACCAAACTGCCGCATTCGATGATTGGATATTTGGCGAAAAGAAGTACATATTTCTAGCCAAACGCGGGTTTCTGAGAGAAGCGGAGCGATTCAGACCTGTTCGTTTCAGCAGACTACAAAAAAGCTGGATGCCTGAACTGGGAGCCCTGTTCTACAGTGGCTATAATTTCAGAGCGAAGTGCATTGCTGGCCTTGTCCCTTATGAGGACGAGACGCTCGGAGGGTTTGTTACATTCGAGACCGTCATGGAGCAACTCCAGAAACCCCTTCCCGAGCCTGAGATTGACGCTACAGTTCAGCTGGTGCCAGAGCCAGGGACGATAATTTCTTTCAATGTTCCAGAAAGACCGCCTCCTGCGCACCCTGGGACAATAACAGCTAACATTTCAGTGACCGGATTAACACCATGGGAAATCTACGATCGATTCGACGATGGGCTTAAAGCAGCTCTTGCATCCAAGGATCTGACGGATGTGAATGATGCTTTGGCAAAGTTCTCAGTTCCCGAAGCGGAGAAGATCGTCGAATTGTTGCAGTGTTCAGAAATTCTACGGGTGGAAGATAGCACTCACGACGAGCGATAAGCGGACCATTTGTTCGTGATCTGTGATTCAAGAGGTGTTATTTTGATATCGAAGTGCTTTGTAATGCGGTCCCTTCGATCGAAACACCACCGTTTGACTGGATTGGCACCAAATAAAAGATATTACATATATAATACTTCATATACAAGTCGCCCCATAAGATTACGAGTAGCTGGATGTTATTTGAGCAGTCCAGCGCTATTCGCGGCGCCAGTAAGACACTCCCGGAAAGTTCTGTATGAAATGATGTTGTCCGCCACGGGGTTGGATCGCGCCTGTCTCTCTTGCCTATCTTCTGAGGGGGACTTATCCTCCAGCTTTCGGACTGCAGTATATAGTTCATCGAATAAAATGCTCAAACACCGCAGTTTCGGCTGACAATCCTCCAGCCCAATCGAAAATGGAACCTTGTCAAAGGTTTCACTTCCCAAAAACCCCAATTTCCTTCTGTAGATTTGATCCCACGTACCAACGTGCCAATCCTGATAATCAGTTTTCTCGTCCGCTGCCAGCTCCTTGTAAACAACCTGACCCCCCCTCTCTTCGTAATGCGTCATTATCCACCAGAAAGACCAGAAAAATGACTCAAGATCGTGTCGATATTGAGCTGGGGGTGGTGGATCATTAGCAAGCTCGATTGCCAAGAATGGTGTGATGACCGTGCGGTGAGTTGGGTCGTGCCCCGGGCTCCTGTCTCCCACCTGAGCCGCGGAATCAAAATCAATGAGATACGGCTTAAAGCCTTCTCCCTCTCGATGACTGCATAGTTTCTCGTTGTAGCAACCTTTATTTCCGCATTCCCAGAACATCAGATTCTCAGGATGAACATCCCGGTGAAGCAAACCAGCGTCCTCGAACACCTGGTGATGGGCTATGCACAACGAGACGGATCAGCACGTCGATAACACTGCGTAATACTTCGTGTGCCTACTGTCAACAAGGGAAACAAATGCGGATAGGAGCCGGCTGAAGCGCAGAGTAGTAATGGGCTGAAGCCGCGGACGTAGAACGATGGCTCGAAGAACTCGGTCGTCGAACTCAAGGCTGTTCCCTAGTAGCTGTTGAATCTTGCCATGTGGTCCCCAGGAAAGTTGGTCAAAATCCACACTCTTGTACATATCTGGGATGAGTTGGACTCCGGACTTCTTGAGATCCCTGAGAAACTTGACTTCAGATGTGCGGGCGACTAGCTGCCAAGATAATTTTAACACAAGACCATCCTTGGGTGTTACTGCATTCCCATCTCGATACTCGTCCACGTTCCACACCATAGTGCCTGCGGATCACCTGGTGCGTCAGTGTCCGATTTTCAATTTCGATTGAAATGCTGCGGTCCGAGACGCACCCCGGCCCTTGAAGCACCTCCCTTTATTGAGCTTCTCACCGTCGATGACGTACGTTGCTCCGTCCACCTTGATTCGGGCTCCATTGGCACAGAGGAGAAAATCGGAAGACGCTTCGCATCCCGTTAAAGAGAGTCTGGTCACAGGCCTAGAAGACGACGTAGCTCGGCGTGGCATGCCTCTTAATGGGGGCGCAATGCATGGCTCAAGCCCCAGGTCTCCAGGAGTTGCATGTCCTAACATCAGGAGAAGAACGAAGAGTACTTCGAAGTTACTTCCGAAGCTGATGCGTTTAGTCCCGAAGGAACCGGATCTGTTGAAATACCATAACTCCATTTCCGTCCCCTCGATGAAGAACCCAAGTACGTGTCGCTTGAGACCCCTAGCCGAAAACACTTCCATGGCGTATGCAGCCAACTGTGCCTGGTCCGTTAGACGCTCATTCTTCGAATACCCGTTGCCCTTCGAGAGATGAGACTTTCCATACGAAATATTACTGAAATGGCGCTCAGATGGGATGTGGTTCGCTCGTCCGGAGCCGGCGGCGCGTGTGTGTCGTTGTGATCGGTTCGACAGCATTGCAGCTTGATCCGGCACACTGTTCATGGCAGGTCCTCCGCTGTTTGGATCGTCCAAGTCCATGAGACTAGAATTGTCCAGCGTCGGACGTTTTGCGTCGACGGCACACGTATGCTGTTGTGATCTGTTCGGTAGCGTTGCAGCTTGATCCCACGCACTGTTCATGACAGGTCCTCCACTGTTCGGATGGTCCATGTCCATGTTGTCTAGCTTCAGACGTTTATGTCCGATTTGCGCGACCTGAACTGGATCAGCGGTTGCATTCCTGGACGATTTCTTGAATTCAAAGGGGATTAAGACCTACATAAGTATTAAAAATAATTTCCTGAGAGGCCATACCTGAGACCAATACACGCGGTTGGGTGGAGTACCTATCTTCGTTCGTGAATTAATCTTTCTGTTTTTCGGGGTTGGCCATATCATGCAGATGTCTGGTCTAGTATATGATAAATTGTGGCTCGAATCCTGCTGTTTCCTGGCTTACTTTCGAAAAGGATCACCCATGGTAGGGTCATCGTTCCTGACTTTCTTTGCATGAGTATCCACGAAGCGAAAGGGCAATTTGGCGAAGTCGAATAACAAATTTCCCATATTCTGGAACGGCTCATACAGAGCCTCTTCGATGTGTGGGTTCCCATTATATTGGTCAATGTGAGCTTTAATTGTGTCCCAGTGCTCCGATTTCTTGAGCAGATCTATGACGTCCCGAGCCTTTTTGTGCAGACCATCTTCGTCCCCGAGTAGAGCGGTGACCATCCCCCAAAAATTGATACCAGGCTCGCCGTTGCCAAAATCTTCCCTACTTGGTTTTCAGCTGGTGAAACAATGGGTGGTGAATAAAGAACGGACTTCACATGCAAATGCTCCGATTTGTGGTTAGCATCATTAGGGTGCGTGTACATCGAAACGCTTGACATTCCTGTGGTAGGGATTGATTCTTGGTAAACTGCACTCTAAAATTAGTAGTTGTTGTCTTGCACAAGCTATAGCTCACCAGCGTCGTGTTTCCGATTAATCTTGACCCGGATGGCTGGCAGCAAAGAGGGTGGCATTGCTCAAGTTCAAGCCACTTGGAACGATTTCTGAGCTTTGGCAACCTTGGGAACAAGGCCTTTTAACCAGCTGGACCGGTACCTGATTTCGTTTGTTTAGTCCGTCACCATAAAGGTTGCATAAAGGACTATCAGAAGAGGCAAGGTGAATGTGAAGATCCGTCAAACTTACACCCTTCATTGAGTATTTTTACATTAGCTGGGTGTCGCAATGCCCGTGAGTTCGAAGGAATAATCAATTATGGATCAGAAACCGAGACTAATGTTCACCCACCGAGGTTCCAACCTCAGGACTGGTCAAACCAATAAGAAACACAGTGAGTTGTGACTACGTTAGGCAAGATCTGCCACTTTCTGTCGCTCATGCCATTTGGGGCATGCGATATAAAATCCCTTGTTTGGCTGAGCATCGAGAAAACAGGAAACTGCTTGTAGAGAAGGTGACGTCTTTTGTTCTAACTGTCCAAATGCAACGGAAATATTCCATTCATGTCAAGACAATTGGCCCCATTTGCACCAACGCACCATTTGCTCATCGTTATCCAATTTCCGTTCAGCGTGTCACCACGTGGACCCAGGAAATCGTGCAAAGATCAAGGGCATAGCATTAAATCGTTCAAGCCTCAACAATTGGTTCAACGGGAAAATCATGGGTACTGCCACACGGTCTGTCAGCAATTGGACCAATATGAGCAAAGTCGGAGTATGCCATCGCTAGCGGCAAGATCGTCCGTCAAAAGAAGCTCAGATTTTCAAGCTTCATGTCAAACTTGGCCATGAAGGCAAATTAGCCCGAGAACTCGTGTGCATTCCATAATTCAAAGAATATACGATACGTAAGTCTAATGCTTCGAGTCGAGACAGATCGTGAGTTGAGATACGTACCGGTCAGTGATGGTCTTGAGAATATGGAAACGCGGAGGTCAGGTCGGAGACGCGGGCATGCTGACTTGCTAATCTGGGTACGCAAAGCCGAATTAGTACCTATAGACCTGGGTGCAAAAAACTACCAGTAACTTACCAAAGAAGTCATTGGCTCCGCTAGTGAAGTTGGGTCCCGCTAACACGGGTGATTCAGACCCGGGTCGTGCCGACAAGTCCAATAATCTGTTTGCTTGAACATTCCTGAACCAGGCATCCTTGTCGACGGGACTCGGGATAATCGCCGTCAGGTCACTTGGGTGCAATGGAACAAGAAGTGGAGGACAACATTTGGCTCGTCTTCCGTGAAACGCTCGAGTGGACCACTGTTTAATTAAACGATGCCACATTCAGCCCCGAGAGCACCCTTTAATTTGCACAGTGTATTTTCACAGAATTGGGACTGCTGTATCCGCTCTCAGAAAAGTGACAGTAGTGGGCAGGGCTCTAGCCTCTACGATAATGGTGTGTCCACAAGCCTGTGACTCTCAGTGATCGACTAGCCTGTAGTCCCCATTCATTAGTGCGAATTAAGTCAGCTATGCTGCGCTTTCACTTGCTATGGGACTTATGGTAACAGGACCATTACTCGTCTAATACTGAAGAACTAGTCCGTGATTGTGGATGCTAATTCGGCATGTATATGGAGGGGAGGAGATTGAGGTTGGGCGTATGGCCACTGCTTTGGCGCCCTGGCCAACAGGTAGGCTATTCCGAGGGAGCTCGGTGTTGCCTTGTAGCGATGGGAGCCTTCCCAGGCACTAGCCGATTCTATGATCACCGTACCGGATGTTCACTATATACCGCATAATATAGTAAGAAGCTGATTTGTCGAAAATCAACGTGCACCGCGCTTACCTGTACATATTGCGACCACAGGCCGTCTAAATTCTGGTTGTGTCACGCGTATGCATTCGGGTTTTGTGCCGTGTGAGAACGAAGCAAGGGCTTAGCTCAACTGGGGATGATTCGCCTATTGACCTACAAGGGTTGCGAAGATTTCAATGAAACGAAACGCTGGGATCCAAAAAGGCAAACGAAATGAGCTCAATGTACGGCGTGCAGCTCGCTGTAGATCGATGAGTTCGATGTCAACAGGACCGGCCACTCCAATCTTGTTTTCAAGCTGCCTTTGAACTATCGACTGAAGGACCGGGTGGACGAAGTCAACACGTTTGTATAAAGAGGATTTGCCAAGGGTCCAACCCAACCCGTGCCAGTGGTTCACTGGTTTCCGAGTCGGGGGTACCAGGGATGGAGCATCATGCTGGTTCCCTGGGAGAACACAACGTGGGTGTCATGGGCGAAAGAAAGGTGGTAGAAACGACTCAAACACTTCCTTTTCATCTGACCCAAACAAGACTTATCTGGTACGATCTGCCAATAGAATCGAATTGGTAGAGCATGGAACCAGTTTCCCAAAAGGCGGTCCTGTTAGAATAACACTCCGACGGGTCTCATGGGATCACGGAAAAGGCTCAGTGGCGGTTGCTTTGGGATTCAGGATTACCTGGGGAGATTGAAAGGCGCTCAGGCCACGCAAGGGCAATAAAAGTCTCCAGAGCGGCCGAATTCGAGACCAGGAAACACTTGATTGAGCAAGTTTTAACGTCCATGGTATACCAGCGCCATCTTAACGGTTCTCAACCTCGACTTTTCGATGGCGATACGTGCGAGTGCGGATCAATGATTCTTTGCCTTGCAGATCCGAATGCTGGAGGGAAGCCGAGACAGTATGGGAGAGTCTGTGTGAGTAGTGAAGTACTCCTACTGTTCTCCGCCGAAGTATATGGGAGTATTGATAACTAATTATGATGCCCGACTGTAGTGCGCTTTCAAAGCCCAGTGTTTCAGTCTCGTAATCAAGGGCGAACCTACAGAGGACGAGAAGAGGATCCTGAAAGAAAACGCAGCTGCGAGACAAGCTAATAAGGCCACTTGTCCACATGCACGGCCTGGATGTACGAAGGAAGGTAACCGACAATGCCCCTACGATGCATGCAAGACCTGCTGCGGCAAGCTGAAGAAACTTTGCCTGGCTCATGGAAAGTGTAAGCTATGAGTCGGAGGGTTGCTCTAACGATATGCCCCCAGCTGAACCATTGCCTCAGACAACCAAGCTTCTCCGGACTGGAAAGCGGAGGGGCTGAGTGATGGCCTTCCTAGTCAAATTTGGTATGTCACCGGCCAGCCGATAGGTTCCGGGGGGTTTGCAGAAATCTACCATGGTAGATGGGGGCTTAAAGAGGTTCGCAACTCGTACGTACACACATGAGGACAAGCTCAACGGACGCAATTATGACAGGTTGCGATCAAGAAGCCCATACCGCAAGATCCGCAGGTAAGAGTTAACGCTGTCCAATGCACAGTGTTGAGCTGATTGTAAGGCCAGTAGACCCCTAAAGTAAGACCACTTCTCATGAGGCATCCAAATCTGATATCAAGCGGCAATCTTGACAATAGCGTATCGAGAACGAGTTGGATGTCTGGAAAAAAGTGCAACACCCCAAACTTGTACCCCTCTTAGCAACTATCGACGGCAGTGGGCTTGCGTCTATGGTGACACCATTTTACAGGAATGGGAACTTGGGGGCATATTTGTCGCAAACAGAAGTCGGATTAGAACATCGCTATCGCCTGGTAAGCGGCCAAGTTCCAATGGAATATTGAGCCAACATACGATCCGTTCATCCCTCTAGCTGGCTGACGTGGCTGAAGGACTCAAATACTTACACTGTACAAAGAATGGCACGGCTCACGGCGATCTCTCGATGGTATTGGCTTCCATAGCTTGACATAAATGTTCTGCTCACCACGTCATCCAGGGGAATATTCTGGTGGCCGATGATGGATATGCCCTATTGACGGATTTTGGTTTGGCTCTCCCTCCTGGAGGGAGGACTGGCTATTCCACGTCTGGCAACGAACATGGGTGCACTGCATACAAAGCACCGGAGTGTTTCGAACCAGCAGAACCCCAAGAAGCAAAAGTAGCAGGATTGAAGGCACGCACTCCCGCCAGCGACATGTGGGCGTTTGGCATAATCATCGTTCAGGTAAGCCATAATTGCTATCCTTAACTAAACCTCAGATATAGCCTGTTCCACTTAGGTGCTCAGTAATCAATCACCATGGGAAGGAGCGAAACCAGCAGCTATATTCACAAAGATTGAGAAAGGCCTGAAACCATTCACTGATGCTGCAATCGATCGCTGTCAAATGCCAACCAAGCTGAAAAGCCAAGTACGTGCATGTTTCAATAAGGACCCCAAGGAACGGCCCATAATTAGTGAGCTGCTCCATGAGCTAAAGGCTATCTAGCGGCCTTCTGGGCAGATCGAATAACAGGACCATGAGAAAGTTCTCCAGGACGATATGGACGCTTGGCGCCTGATGTATGTTACCACCCAGTCACCGTGATGTTTCATAACCTTCATTGTTGGTCAGAGTGTGATCGCCCTAAGTTGAACTAGAGTCTCATCAAGCTGATCGTTGATTGTGGAAGTTGTTGAGGATTTCCAAATCTTTCCAAGCTCTTTCATGACCTCACTATGCGAGAGATCGGGCCTAGATGCTTTAAAGGGCTGGAGCCGTTCCTTCAGGAAAGCTGCCAGAGCCAAAGTTGAAATCATGAAGATGGCAGAGGCGAGCACTCACCAGCCCAGCCGGTTGATCTAGTATCACCAAACAGAGCTTTAAGCTCTCCTTTGCATACACCACAACGTTGTGTAGAGGTATCGATAGATTTGCTATGACGGCCATATCTGAAATAACACGATAAGTCCGTATCATCACCCTTCGTACAAAAGTCACTCACATTTGGTTGCAGGCTACGCATTTCCACTCATATCTGTAGACAATTTGATACGAGTGCCTGCTCTGGAGTTCAAAGACAGGCATGAGTGGGCTTGTGGAGTGGGAGGAAAATCCCACCAACCGTTATATGAATGTCGTTCTGAGCCCTCATTACCCGTTTTGCCCACGCATTAAATGGACGGCCATGTCCCCCATCTTTCGCCTCATCAATAAGCCACACAGCCAAGTGACACATCTCATGGGATAGCGTGTTGCGGATACGTTCTGTATGGAGGAGTTAGACGGGTACAGCGTTGGGAGGGATGCCTAACAACCTTCGGAGTCCACCACTTTTGTGGCTAATTCGATAAAGACTTTCCTTTGGGGTGGCGTGCTGTCGCTCCCATATATTGATCTGTAGACGGTTGTCAACTCTTAAATTTTGATCAGATGCGTCAATTTACCTTTTAATCACAGCGCGCCCTGCCGTTGTCATCAAAGTTTTGCTCCAGATGATCTCACAACATTTATGGTTCGACGAGAAGCTGCCCGAATGACAACCCTGAGGTAAATTGTTTCCAAATACCTGATGGTTGAGCGAATTATACAGATTAAGCGCATATTCTTGAAGCTCAGTTGCGTGCTTTCGTTTGGAATGCATGACGATATTGGGCCTGGCAAGTGCAGTCGTCTTCGGAGTCGGAGTCGCAGGAAGGCGGGGCGTGTTCCCATCCTTCAAAAGCAAAGGTTGTTTGTTGGGTAGTCCATAGGAGGTCGAAGCAGTGAGCCTCAACTTGTTTTCACTACCGTCCTTGATACCAGTGTGAGTCGGGGTTGATGTGCACTCGAAATCTGATTCCTCATCAGACGAAATCGTGACTATTTCCCCACCATCTACCATTGACCAAGTCGACATCCGTTTTCCGGGACGTTTACGAGGCGAGCGATGAGACAGAAGCTGATCTACCTCTAAGGCATCTTCCTCGTCGCTGTCAAGGGCAACGACAAAGGATCCACGTCCATCCGTAGGCAGTACAGTAGATGAGCCAAAGTCACGTAATACAGAAGGATCTTCTGTATCTGAAGTTGATTTATCCTCACGACAAGAGAAAGGGCGACGAAAACCATTTGGGAGGTTTCTGCAATCCTGACGATGAGCTTTATTGAGGATAGTAATGCTTTGAAACGCACAAAGCAAGAACGCCGGCTCCTGAAGAATATTCCGAGGGCTCGCTATCGGAATAGTGCGGTAGGTTCTCCTTGGAAGAAATCACAGAGCCATTCCAAGAATTTTGATACTGATCATCGACTATTCCATTCCGCTCTGCGCCAGAACGGGAATCGGATAAACGATGCCTATTCGTGAAATTATGAAGAAGCACATGCATAAATATATGAATTAGATTACCCTGGAGGCTTGTCTTCTGATGAATCATCTGACGATATGACGGCTACTCTTCTGGCTGCCTTACGGGTCAACGAGTGCAGCCTGGATGGCTCAGAATCAGAGCTAGTAGATATTTCCAACAATGACGCAGACAACTTGTCCCCCCTTTCGGAGCAACCAGACAGAGCAGCGGCAGGTGGCTCAGGATGGAGTGGTTCAATCCCAGTCCCCACACGTCGGTCGTTTGGACATGACGTTCGTAAATGATCATCGTATGAGGGGGATTGAGAAGTAGCGCGGGCTGATGGAGCGAAAGGAGTCAATGGGATGGAAGGGGAAGAATGGGATTCGGGACACCTGTTCGCCTGGCATCCCAATCTGTCTGAATTCTTAGCTCTAACAGCGGTGTGTGCAGCAGTCTTCTGGAGGGGGGACGCAGTTGTCATCTCGACTCCAGAAACCTCTCTAGAAGGTGGTGCACGGGGATATTTAGTCGGTGGGGTGGCTGGAATTCTGGAGGAACGGCAATGCAGCAACCATACTGAGTGGAAGAAGAACATCATTCGACTTACCCCGTATTGATTCCAACACGCACGGGAGAAAGAATCTCAAGAACATTCCGGTCTAGGTCACTGTCTGAATCATTCTGTCCTGAAAGGATGTCATCGGGAGTGCGATTCAACTTATTCAAGTCAGGTTTGACCGGCTTAAGAGGGCTCCTGCGTTGCTGAAGATTTTCCTGCCATTCAGTTGACTGGTTCGGATGTAACTTCCTTCTAGCTCTCCGCCTGGGTGTCTCCATGCAATAAAGCAAAACCAACTTGGGTTTGGAAAATGATGAAAACGCGTCCACGGTGTTATTGACCCTTGTTGTTGCGCGTTTCGACAACATAAACAACTACAAATAAATCAAACCCCCGCCTGTTGGCATAGTTCACCAGCCACTTGACGAGGCCCTTTCTGATGCTCTCCTTTAGTTAAGGGGCCCAACAACTGGACCCATTGAGCAGCGGTACTTTAATCGAACTGGATCGCTGCAGGCTCCGCCACCGACTTGTCGCTTGCAATGATTGTGTGAGTCTCCGGAAACAGAAAGGCGGAGGTCCATGTGGATTATCACGAAAAGGGAGGGTTCCTCAACTTTTTGTGTCACACAGGATAGTCATTGGATCTAGCCTTTCCACATGTCATATCGCGCGGGAAATGACCATCATGCAAACCTGACCCGCAGCTCAGGTCAGATATCATACATCCATGCCACTTTCCCGGAGGACCGGCTGTTCTCTGGAGCCCACTAAAAGCCCCCCAGTCCCCCTAGTAAGGATACATGAAGAAGCAAGTGTGCTACTAAATCCGACGCACCATTCCAGGCTCGGTGGTCCGAATCTTTTCTCAAAAACATGAGAATCGTCTCTTAGGACGTCACTTGGTGTGTGATCAGTACAGGTCCCATACTAAACCATTGCTTCTGAGTGGAAGAACCCAGAGAATTTAAACCTATCGAAAGGAAATTCATCTTGCGCATAGTTTAGATGAGCAAACCGCAATGTGTGTTGGAATGCAAGTCATGGCGCCGGCCCGGCAGCATGGATCCACACGCTGTGCTAGCACTCAGCATCCCACTAATTCGATACCACCTCCCCGACGCGTCTGGGTGTCCATCGATTCATATCATAGCCTCGATGCACTATAACGTGAGTGTAGCCGCTCAGCGCTACGGTTATATCGGGCCAGCCACAAGAACGCGAAACACCGGAGACTTGGTGCGGAAACCCTACCGGGGGCACCCAAGTTGGGCACCACAATATTGATAGGCGTGCCCACATTGAGACTTCTGTCCATGCCACTGATGGCTCTCGTTGCTTCGAGCCGTCTACCCAATTAAGAACCCGGACGCTTGTCCATCCCAACAGATCGACTTATATACCGTTTGATTCCCCAGCGATGGCGATCCTTGTTGTACTGACAGCGACAAGATGATCATGTATGAGGAAAGGTATGATCAATATATAACAATGCGTCTGATTGGCAAGGGTAGGCATAATTAGAAGCACTCCAATCGTGAGTGGATCAGTGGCAAGACCACGCGTCCACAGTCCGGGAAGCAGATCGGATAATTCTCTGGCTACACGCCACTCTGACATCCCCCCACTTTAATCCACTTCACGAGCAGCTATTCGCAGCCTTCAGTCATAAAAGGGCTCTGATTCCTTCGTAAGTAATTAGACCGTCAATAGTCTCCTGATCGAAATCTGGGCGAGGGTTCCGCCTTTGCCGACGCAGGCAATCATTAGCGTCGTTGAATAATTCGCGCAACTTTTGTATGTTTGGGTGCAAGGATTCCATTCCAGGGGAAAGGTGGATCGAGTAAGGGTCATCGAGAAAGGCTGCTTTTCTTCGTCTAATGGCCCCAAAAGTCCCCACATACCAATCAACAAAATCGTCTTTGCGCCTGGAAGACGACAACCTTCGGCGCTTTAGGGGACGCCGAAAGTCTCCACCATAATATATTGCAATCCACCAGTACGTCCAGAAGAAGGACTCGAGATCATGCCGATACAAAGCGCGGGGACGATGCTCCGACTCTGTCGTCAGCTCCAATGCTAGGAATGGGGTAATGACGGTCCGATGGGTAGGGGAGAAACCGGGTTCCCGAGCTCCAGCCTCGATTGCGAAGTCAAAATCAATCAGATATGCTTTGTATTGGCCTTTGCCATCCGAAAAGACCTCCTGGACCATGAGATTCTCAGGGTGAATATCTCGATGAAGAAGACGAGACTTGGTGTAAACTTCGTGATGGACTAAGTGAGAGTGAGCGACAAAGATCGGTAGGGTGGATATTCTGGGTTAATTGCAACTCACTGTCGACCAGATCACGATATGCCGCCCTGAAGTCTCCAAAGGGAATAGAAGTGATCGGACGTAATCGCGGGCCCAGGACTATTGCTCGAAGGATGCGATTGTCAAAATCGGCTGCTCTCCTCTGCTCCTCCTTTACAAGAGGTTGAACACGGCCGTGGGCTCCAGCAGCGAGCGAATCAAGATCATCGTGGTTGAACACCTCAGGCACATTAGTAACCCCTTTTTCCCTGATGAATCTCAGCAGCTCGACCTCCGATCTGCGTCGCGATAGCTGCCAGGAGAGTTTTACGACCATGCCACCAACGACTGTGACGGCTTTGTGCTGTTTGACCTCTTCGACGGCCCAAACCATTGTTCCTGGTACGACCCAACGAGTTCAGATGACACGTTACTTCCGGGCGACTGAAAATGAGCTTACCACGCCCCTTTATACTTCTTCCTCTATTGATTCTTTCTCCTCTTATAACGTAAGTCTTTCCCTTGATCACAAAGTAAGCTCTGTCTGCAGATCGTAGGAAACCTTCTTTTTCTCCCCGTTTCAGTTTCCGTGTACTATTTGTCACATCACTTGTAGACGGCGGGTGGATGAACGGCTCGAATCCAAGCTCAGCAGGACTAGCATTCCCCAGTATTAACAGAAACATTATAAGATTCCTGAAGTTCTCTCCAAATGGTATAGGAGTGCTCCCGTAGGAGCCTGAACGGTTGAAGTACCACAGCTCAAAGTTTGTGCCTTCTATAAAAAGTCCAAGTACGTGCCGCCTGAGACCGCTTGCGGAAAAGACTTCAACCGCATATCCTGCAAGCTGTGCCCGGTCTGAGAGCGTTTTCCCAGTACTATACGATGCGCTGGCGGAGTGCATAGATGTTGCATACGAGAACCCATGGTTTAAAGGCCTTTCCGGTGTGCCCTCCTTACGCAGCACATCGGCTAGGCGGAAAGGGGTCTTGCTTGCTTGGGTGCTACTAAAGAAGCTATGTCTTAGCCTCTCTCGCGAGTGGTTACGTGTTCTAGTGAGGGAGGACCCGGAGAACGACATGTCCTCGACGGTTATGGCCTTGAGTCTTGGATCCAGATAGTTTTGTACCGATTTCATAGGGGGATCTTCGCATAATTCGGTATCCTCACCATGTTTTTCTGATTTCTTGGACTTCTTGAACTCAACAGGAATCAAGACCTGTTTGAAGCTCAAGTGAGTAAAAGATGACTTTAGTAAAGAACAGATCTGACATGCCTCTGACCAGAATATACGCGGGTTTGGGACCATGGGATTATTGAATGTTTCGGAAGGGATAGTCATCAAGAGGTCTGGTCTGCGAGAAGGAAACTAGGACTAAGTATCGACGTTGCATGTTATGGCTCACAATAGCTCACTTTCTAAAAGGATCGCCAATCGAGGGGTTATCCACTCCGACTTTTGAATCGTGAGCGTCAATGATACGGAATGGCATATCGTTGAATTCGTATAGGAGGTTGGTGAGCGATTGGAATGGTGGGTAGAGGGTCTTCTCGATGTGGGGTGTTTTCCGATAATCGGACATGTGCACTCTAAGCTGCTCCCACTGATGTTCTGTAATCTTATCAAAAGCATCTACCGCATCGATGTGGCCTCGATCCTTGTCGAGAAAGAGAGCTTCAATCAGGCTCCAAAAGTCAATGTTCCCACATTGATTACTAAAGTCTTCTCTGGGCTCTAGGTTTAAGTTGCGGGCATAGATACATCACAGCTCAGGGCGCACTTTAAATGAAGATGTTCTACAGCATAAGTCGCATCTTTGGGATCAGAATGGGAGGAAATATTGAGCATCCCTGTGTTGAAACTCGAGTCCTGATGGAGATCTAGGGGGAAGTTCAGCCGAACATGACAGCTGTCATCAGCCATTTACGACGGAGAACCGTGCGCGGACGAGAAGGACCTGGGTTAAGTGTTCGGTTTGCCACATCCGCAGACTCCTCGCGAGAACGCTTCTTCTTGCCCGTCATCTTGTCCAGCTCAGTGAACGTGGAGCAATAACTAACAACAAGCTACAGCCTAGAACCTAACGAGATACAGATGGGGTGTCTAGCACGGATGGTACCGACCAAGCAGCGTGTCTAATTCAATGAACATAGCTTCCAATACATATGCACAATGAAAGTACCGCCGTAACGGCGTAGGCATCAGGTGGAAGAGTTATGAAATGGGTTCGGGGTTCGTATCTAGCCAACGGACTCGATTCAGCACTGAAGCACTGCGGGAAAAGTATTTTAGGATCTTGTAAACATGAACACACAGCGACCAAGTTGAATAGGAAGTGGCCCCTTTGTTGCACGATAAAAGGCCTGTTGTACCCAAACCAGTGGTTGTCGTGGAATCACGCGAGATGGGTGAATGTCCGATGGAAATGAGATCGCCGCACAGTTGGGAGAGAACAAGGACTAGAGCTGCGCGCACAGAATGATCCGGCTGAAAAAAAAATAACTGTGGTAATAATGATCGAGATTCAGACCTGATAGACTTAATATGGCAAGATCCGCACGACGGAACCAGTGCTGGTGACTCGAGCAGAGACAAAGGAAGATAACGCTCCCCAGACTGGATAATTGGACGATATCGAGCCTGAAAGGGGGAGTATCGTACGCAAATGCACAGAGATACAAACCATATTCGGTAAACCCCGCAATTGTCACACGTGTTGTGAGGTCAGCACAAAAAGACATAGGTCGCTCACCTTTGTTTGTGCAAGAGTATCTTTTGAAATATAATGAAAACCACGCAGTGATTGTCTCATTTCATTCTCCCTCAAAGGTATCTTTAATATACACGTGCCATGCTCTGCAACACTACGACTGAAATTGCCAGCATTTTGAGCTAGGCCCAATCGGCACTGTGAAGCGAGTTTACGACCTGGAACTCCATGTGGAGGTGAGGATACATATGAAGCGAACAACATCTAGAGTCCGCTAGCCGCACGCCCAGGGTCTACCGCTATTTGCGTATGCATTGAAGCGATGGATGAAATTTCATGTGTGAAATAGTAGGTAGTTCATCATGGAGTCTGCCAGCCAGACGAAGTCTCGGTTTTAGCGCGTTTGTAAAAGGGGCTACCATAGAATAACAAACGACGGGTAGCCACACACGTGGTCTAAGGGGAAGCTGTGAAGTCCAGAACTCGCAAACCCTCAGCGGCGGCGATGCAAAGCGCCTCATGTCCGATTGCACGGATGAGTCATGAAGGACTTCTAGAAGAACTGATGAGATCCCGATTGGCACTACCGCTACCCATTGATGAGACCTTTGCTATCAGAATCCATCACCAGGAGCTCAGGCAGCACGGGGTTTGGGCGCGCCAAAGTACAAAAGGCTAGGCCTAGGACGCTCCCGGGTGACGCTCGGGCATAGACGCTGACTGTACGCAAATGGGGGTACGACGCGGCTATCACGACTGAAGAGCGTCTGGAACAACACGGGCGCTATATATATCAACCGATTGAACTGACTCGCACTACGTACGTGCCTGCACCAGGGTTTCCCCTTTCACAAGGTCCCTATTTGAGGTGACCGCCGTTAGTCGGCTGTGGCATAACACGCAGCCACGCAATCTATTCTAGGGGATCTGGAAGAATCGATTTGGTGTAATACTCAAACTAAGCCGGCCGAAGCCAAAAGTCGCAGCTCTTTCACAATTCGCTTGACCTGAGAACGGATGGGTCCTCATGGCATTGGGTTCTTCTAGTAAACCAAGAGTCCCTTGTCCGTGTCAATTGTGTCAATTACCACTTTCGTGAGGCTTAACTCCTCGTGGTAATTCCAACCAAGCGTTCAAAGCGACGCCTAATAAGCCAATTGCTTGTATGGCAGGTGTGACCCCCAATCGGGGGAGAGATCGTAGCCATCGGGTGTTCTGCGGATGGGCACTCGCGACGAACCCACAGACTTGGGATGAAAGGTCACAATAAGCTTGATAAGTCAAAACGGGAAATTTGCGGTGATAGTAGTGCCCAATGGAAACATCCTGCTTCCAGGAATGATGGTGGGATATGGGGGTTGATGAGGGATTGAACTGAGCGGGGTATCGAAGTGTAAATAGAAAGCTCCAATGTTCATGCAGCCCTGGTAAGGGCGATAACCATACAGTATTGGATTTACAGAGGAGCTCAGGTCGCTTGTTTACAGTTGAGCGGAGAGTGCCGGGGTGACGTTTGGTGTCAAAACTGACAGTGACATTCTGAACTGGGAGTCACTTCCGAGTTCATCACAAACGGCCCGCGCGCCTTTGTTGGCGCCCACAACAGCAACGCGAGCGATGTCAATGATTGTTCATGATCTGGAACAAAAGGAAGCGCAGGCACCAAATTTGTAGTCTAGAGTCTTGATGTTGATGAAGGAGTGAACTCGTACACAAACCTCGGAATTCTCCGTACACCGTTCGCGATGTTCTCGACGACGAAATATCTGTTGTTCCACTATGCATTCTGCGCTGGGGAGGCTCGCAGAGGGTCTTCTGCTATAGTTTTGAAGTAGGACTTTGGAATTGGTGTCCAGATTTGAACAAACAACGTGCTTCGTTGAAGATGGTTGTTTTAGTTCAGTTGTTGTGTTTGGTGTCAGTTCAACCCTTCATCATGAAGCCTCCTGAGACAGCGCCCGCACTATATCTAGGAAGGGAATACTCCCAGTTGAGGTCCTCACTAGATTCCCTTCATCGACACCATCGACAATGCCTTTGGGTCTCCTCACTCAACCTTCCTCTGTTCGCCGTTCTGTCAAGAAGGGTAGCAACAAGGAGAATAGTAAGGCTTCCAACAAAAAACCTGCTTCCGCAGGCACTCGCCGAAGACGGGCACGCCCTACCAGTAGAGCAAAAATCTCCAAGTCCACGGCCGTCGCCGCCGCCGAACATGCTGCTGAACGGGCTGTACGTAGGGGGTCTCATGTCACTATTGTTACCAGCGCTCCCGCGCAGTCGTCCAAGGAGCCAGAGCCTCCGAATACGATCGCGTACAATTTCCCCCGTCAACTTCCTCGATTTGGCATTCCACGTGTCCGTGATGAGGCAATCACTGCTGTAGACCCAAAGCTTCAGGGAATACCCCTCGAGTATCTTCACCACAGCTTAAAAGGGATGGAACCTTTGTACGTGTTCGTAGCGTTGTTTCCTGTTTCATCCACATTGTTCTAAGTAGCTTTGTCACCCATGTCTAGACTCCAACAGGGACTGGCTGCCATTTCTTGCGATCCAACACTCGAGGGACGCCGAGATCTCCCCGATGAATTAACCCTCCTTGTTCGTCCGGACTTCAAGTCCGGTCGCCTGCCAACTCACATATTCGTTGCGATGGATATGGACGGCAAGCGGGGAACAATGTTTCCCTTCCATGATCTTGTTCTTGCTACACATTGCGCCTCACTCCCACCCCTTCCGTATCCCCCGGACTCAACCGCTCCTAAGACTGAGGTTCGCGCTAACAGCTCCGTCACCATAACTCTCCCTGTTGTCCCTATCCGACTTCCCAACCCTAGCTTGTTCAAGCCAATATACGATTACCTTTACACCAAGAATGGTGGTCGCCTGTTAAGTGTGCTGATTCCCCTTCCCCCCTCCGCCATGCCACGTCGTGATAGTGCAGCGTCGTCTGGCACACCGCCTTCCTCAGAGTTTACTACCCTCGTGTCCTCGGCTCTCGCCCACACGTTCACCATCCAAATGCTCGTGGAACAGGCAAGGAGCATCCATGGTCTGTGGAAAAATGTCGTGGCACTTGGAATCACGGATCCTGGGCTGTGGGGTGTAATGGACTTTGCATGGGGTGTGCTTTTGAATGCGATGACATTAGCAAGTGAGGCCACACGGTGATACTTGGCCTAAAAAAAGCACGCGACGCAACTAAAAGGATCCTGCTGTGTGAAACCAACCCATCGCCACGTTTTCGTGATTACCCTTCCCCATTCATCATCATTCGCTACGGATCCTCCTACTTGATGGATCGTATGCAATTGTACCATTAGCTGGCTCTCTCGGACTCTTTCCCCGCGACTCACATCCCCGACGTCAAACCTTCACCGTTGTTGAACGTACTCCTTGTCGACATAATGCTCTCTTTGGCCCCTCCTCTTTTGGACTTCTTGCAATCTTCACACTTATGACATAGCTTGTTTTTTTTTGCATTCGAATTACACAAGATAGTAGAATATGTTGCATCACTCTAATGGCCTATGGCTCTAGTTTATCCCATGTTATTCATGCGTTTTACTTTTACTTGCCATATCCCGTGCGAAAATGAGAACGAACGCTTCTTCATCAAATGATGCCTTGCAGCCCGCCTCATCAGAGCTCAGCAAGACCCGTTCAGGTTCTAATGTGTAGTTATTAATGAGCGTGAAGTCAGATGTTCCGTAAAGCGTCTGACTCATCGTATCAGTCACGTGGGGCTCCGATTAATCAGACTCAGAAACTGAATCCGTTATCTTCGAGTCAATATTTAGTGCCCAACTCTGTTACGCTTGTCCCCCTTACCATTCTTCCCCTTCCTCTCTATCTGCCTCGTGTGCATTTTCTGCTCGATTTTCGCTTGTTTCTCGCTGGAAACTCGACATGATGCACTGTATGTGAAAGCATGCACATCTCTGAGTCATCGGAATGCATTTCTAACCCGCTGTCCCCCCCCCCTCTGTTTCAATAGACGAATATCACGGAAAACTGGGGCAGGGGACCTATGCTACCGTCTTTAAGGTGAAGCGAACGTGATGCAATCACACGCTCTTTATGATATCGAGTGGTCCGCTGAATCCATCATATGCTGGTGCAACGCAATTCTTTACGCGTTTTCTGGGGTTCTCGATGTGTCTTCAGGGTCGCAATCCTGTCACGAACACCTACGTTGCGCTAAAAGAGATCATTATCGACAAAGAGGAGGGAACTCCATCGACCGCGATTCGCGAGATTTCTCTCATGAAAGAGCTTCGCCACCCTAACATTGTCTCTCTGCTTGACGTGATGCACACGGAAAAGAAGCTCACGCTCGTCTTCGAATTTTGCGACATGGACCTCAAGAGGTTCATTGATTCTCATCGAACGCGTCTTCCTACCCACCCATCGGGGAAAGTGGAAAGAACAATGGTGAATCCTGATACGGTCATGAGCTTTATGTATCAGCTCGTCAGGGGCGTTGGATTCTGCCACGAGAATAGGGTGCTTCATCGAGATTTGAAGCCTCAGAATATTCTGGTTAGCGGGTCGACATTGAAGCTTGCAGACTTTGGACTTGCAAGGGCATATGGGGTCCCCGTAAACTCATATTCCAGCGAGGTGTGTCTCGTTTCTGCACCTCCAGAAGTTTCGGAATCTTTAACGTGCCCTAATTCCTCAAGGTCGTGACGCTCTGGTACCGACCGCTTGATGTCCTGATGGGTTCACTTAGCTACGGTCCCCCCATTGATGTTTGGTCCCTTGGCTGCATCTTTGCGGAGATCATTTCGGGCGTCGCTTTATTCCGCGGTCGCGATAATAACAATCAAATGGAAGTCATCATGAAGATCATGGGCACTCCAGATGGAAAAACCCTTGCGAGCATTCTAACGCAATGCGTGAGTATTTAGTACCATTTTCCGTTGGCGGCCAGGGAAGGTTAATATCTCACATAAACAGCCTGAAATCAAACCGAAGCCGTTAACACACTACAATAAAATTCCGCTGCGCAGAGTGCTGCCGATGGCAACTCCTCAAGGTATATATATATATGTGACTGTGGACTGTACCTGGGTTGTCCTGACCACCTCTAATCACTTACCCTAGCTATCGATCTTCTTGAGCGCATGCTCCAATACGACCCTTCCAAGCGAGTCACTTGCGAAGAAGCACTCAGGCACCCATACTTTACGCCTCTTACGTCCAATGCATCACCAGATGTCCATAACCCGGCTCCCGAAAGTAAGGCCCTGCCCCGTTTCTTCCAGCGGATGGTACTAAACTTGCTCGTGTTGTTGCAGCACCTGGTCCTCGCAAGCGGCGTAGCTTCGGGTTTCACCGACGCTGACTTCGCGATTGATCCACTGCCACCTGACACCAATTCGTCAACCCATGCGCAAGATCCTCTTAATAAACGCTGCAAGACATACCCGACTGTATTCCATTCTCTACGATAAAAAACCACTTTCATTCGCTCAAATTTCGAAAGGCGCATTCTATTCTCAAGCTCATTCGACTTCCTGATGCATTCTCACTCTGATCAGATCCTCATTATCGATTCTCACTTTACCCTCCTATCTGCATATATCCCTCGGTTCTCATCCGAAAAATACAAGTATAATTAAGAATCGAACGGAAGGTCCAGAGACCTTCATAGATTCCAACGAACCCTTCTACTTTCACGCAGTAATCCCTCGAATTCACTTGACCATCTGTGTTTTCTTGTCAATGTTTGTGCTGTATCCATGCTTTGTTGTTATCACAATTCGTTACGAGCTTTTTCGTCTCCAGGCTACGTCCTCGGTGATCAGAGTGCTCCGGTGTTTCAGCTCCCCTGCAACTCGCTTGCGATTCTGGAGAAATCGGCAGCTTTGCGTGAGAATAATTGAACAAATTGAATTTCCCCACTTAGTGCAACTTCAGTTTCCTTCTGGGCAACAGCAGCCAAGTTTAGAAACAGCTACGGCTCCTGGTGGGTGAGGCGGTTCCCATTCACACTTGGGTGGACCTTTCCTCCCTTGGGGGGAACCCAATGCGCTCGGCCAAGACTCAGCGTAATATTGGTTTCCCATAATTTCACATCCGGTGATCGGTGTGACTGGTTCCCACTTTTTCCGAGGGTTTAAACAAAAACATCCGTGTCTCTCTTTCTCTCTCTATACCACTCGGGATACCAACTCGTTGCTTTGGACCACACGCACCACACGCACTCCTTTAGACACCTATTAGACTGGTTCCCCACTGGTGGTATTTTGGTATTTAATAAGCTTTTATTGGGCGGCATTAAAAACCGATCGGCCAGGAAACTCCTCCCGCAACACCCCTTGCGCGCGCAATCTTCTATCCTCCTATTTTTTTGTGTTTTCATTTGGGCGGCTCTTCATAGCGTTAGAAATAATATTAAGTCAAAGCACAACCTCTTATACAGCCTTAGAACGTAAGCAAAGTTCCACATCTTTCACTTCTTCTCCCCTCATAATTTGTCTGCGGTGGCACGACTTGCAGTTGTACTGTCACTAGTAACGGCCCCTTCGATAGAACGAGGTTAATTTTGGGTGACACATTGGTCGAAGCAGAAACGAAATCCTACTACTTCGCGCAGGATTGTATGCAAACCCACTACATGATACAGTCGGACGAGAATCCCAACCAAGGCGCTTACCCGCCATTCATATTCCCCTTCTCGTCATCTTCCCTTTTCAACACTTTTCTATCTGCCCCTGATGGGGTCCCACTCCTCGTCATACGTACGTCCGACGCCGAGTCTTCGAGCGCCACGATCGTTGCCCATACCAAGAATCCACATGTTAGGGAGAGCGGCGCCATTGCTGGTAATGTAGTTGCGTCTTTGCGGTGGGACAAATGGGATGAGAGTGTCATGTGGGTTGGGGGAAGGTGTGTCAAGTTCGATGGGGTTGTTGGTTCGCTCGTAGAGGAGCGGAGTGAAAAGTGAGTGGTTGTGCAAAGTGGGAGGGTTGAAGGATACTCATGGAAATCCGTTGGGGTATTTTAACTTGCTTTCCTGTCGATCTAGGTGTCGGACTTACATCGTTCCCACCCCTGTTGGTGAATGGAGATGGTGGCACTCATCACAGCTGGAGGTACGGTACATTTGGCTATTACGGTTGTTCATGAGGCTTGCCATTTACGTTGATGCTATTTTCTATCTATCCCATTCAACGTCTCAAGTTCTTCGATGCATCGAATCAACTTCTCGTAAAGTACATCCCCCAAATCTCAACCTCATTCCCCTATCTCGAAATTCATCCCAAGGCAACCCAATATCTTGATCTTGTTGTGTGCAGCCTCCTCGTAACCTTGCGCGAGATCGAATCGGAACAATGTCGGGGGCGAAGTACTGCCAGACGCTCACTTGATTTGCGCGAATCGAGGAAATCACCTGTTGCACGACGGAGACCATGATCTCTATCATGCCAAACATCGGCCGACTAGCGGGTCGGGTGGTGATGGAGTGTAGAATGCATCTCGGTTGGTTTCGTAACGGAAGTCGGCTGAGTTCGATTCATTGACGCTTGCGCATATCAATATTGATGGTGCCCCCTTTTTTTCTCTGCTCATCACGGACGGAAACTTGGAGTGCGATGGATCAAAACATTATCTGATTTTTCCAGGACCATTTGGAGTACACATCAATTAATGTAGCGCAGTGGTTGCTCAATACTTAAAAGATTAATTTTCCCCCTTTCTGGTGGCCCTGGTACTTCAAGCTATGGATTCAGAGTTTACTTTAGCCGCGATCACGGCGCTTAAGTGAGCGAACTGAAAAAATTGAATTAGCATTGATGAATTGAAAAACTTCCAACGCTGAAGCGAACTTCTGGTTTCCAGTAGCTGATGGAACGCAGCAAAGTGGCGGGACGACACGTGCTGGCGTATCTATATGACGTCCGTGCAAGGTAAACTGAAACCTGGCCATCGTCAGGATGTCGCGTGCAGAAGGCGTTGCTCTAGAGTACTATAGATCGTGGCGGGATGAGAAAGGATGAACTTTCGATTCTCCCCCCTCCCATCCTCAACCACCACTTCCAACTCCAACTCTTTACTTGCACCGCCGTCCCATTTTCTCATCGCGAACGGAATCCTTTTCCTCCCCCATAAATGTAAGCTGGGCACGATTCAGATATCGCCACGTTGTCGACCTTCTGACTTGCCTCCACTTTCCTTGTTAATCATCCTTTTTAGAGCTTATCTCTACCTCCCTCTTGACTCAAAGTATCACTTCAAAGATGATGCGTCTTCAGTATCGAATCGTCTTGATACTCATACTGAACTCATGGGTGTGCTCTGCGATCCCCGACGTGCAAGCACCATTTCGATCCGTCCGTCAGGTACGTGCCAAAGATCGGTTTCGGGTGTGGAGGCCGTCGCTCAACTTTTCCATCATGCTTCATTCGCGTGTTTCAACTCTTTTCGTCTTTTCCTTAGCGCTTTCGTTGGCCTGCTGCCGCTTCCTCTCGTACAACCACTACAACCACAACGTCCCATTCATCATCTAGAGCAGTAACGACTCCTCCTTCGGATAACAAGAAGACGAGGGATTCGGATGGAGGAACGTATGACCCTTCCGGGACGGACGACCATTGGGATGTTCGTCCTTGGTGGAGATGGGATCATGATCCTTACTCGGATGACTGGCCATTTGGGTATTGGTTCGATCACGCGCCGTGGCCTTGGGCGAGTCCACCCTGGCACAGGATTGTAAGGAGGTATCATGGTGTCGGCGGGAAAGAAAGATGGAAGGATCTGGATGTAGCTGGGAAGCAGAGGGGGCGCTGGACGCTTACTCCCAAGTATGTTCCCCCCTCTTCCGAGAGTGTTTGAGAGAGATCAGACTGATGTTTGATGTTTTCGGTTTTGTTGTTGATCTGATTTTTAGACTTGACCTAATCGACGGAGAGGGGAACACGATGGTAGCCACGTTCGAGCTACCTGGTCTAAAAAAGGAGGACGTCCACATCGAGATCGACGACCAGAATAAGCTTATCGTCACAGGGGAGAGTCGCCTATCTGAAGAAACGGATAGGGATGGATATATCTTCCGCGAGAGAAGAGTGGGGAGGTTTAAGAGGGTGTTGGACGTTCCACCGGGGACGGAGGTACGTGAAAAGTTTTTTAGTTCTTCTTGTTTTAAATAAGTGACTAAGGTGAAATTTACGTCAGGTGGATGAGATCGGTGCGCACCTGTCAGATGGCGTCCTGACAGTGACGTTCCCGAAGACGTCCCGCGCAGAACTGCCTCGACGAAAGCGCATTACGATCTCCAGTTGATTAGTCTAGGTATTTGCAGCTTCGAATTTCGTTCCTTAATTTATAAATACAAGGGTTTGTAAGCTTGTATTCAACGTCATCCTTTTGGCTAGCTTCTGATCTTCCGTTCATCCTCGGAGGATTCTCTCGATCGCTTCTCTACTGTAGCCGTTATGATTTTATGCCAGCCTATGATGCATACTGTATGCTACCCATCTGAAACCCTATGAGAACAGCTTTGGTTACAGCTGCAAACTTATCGCGTGTTGCAACGTTGCAGTCGGTTTGCTTAACTCAGAGAGTGTTAAAATCTGACTCTTCGGCTTACGTTGTCTCCCCAATCAGCCTCTTAATTTCTCCGCGAATCTCCTTTTCATTTTCATTTGTGGTTCCTTTTTTTTGTACAGGCGTGTTAATGATTTGTTTTCGTTTCCGAACGTCTCAGCTCAATTCCACAGTGGGAAGAAAATCGCGGTAATTAACATCGTGCAGTCCAAGTTATCTAACATTACCTGCACAGCAGTGTCACTCTCCACCTAGTGAAATTACGTAGTTTGTGCCACTTGTGCTTACGTGTTTGATTCTTCTGTGACATCACGTGTATCATACAATTGAGTTGGTGTGATCAATTCTGCGTGACTCCAACAGCCAATCCGATCAAACGTTCATCTTCCATCTCTAGTGTCTCGCACAATGTCTTCGTGAACAATGTAACGTACACGTTAAATGGTGTAAGGGTCCCTCTCAAGGGCATACCGATGTACTCGATAATCTGTAAAAGCGTAAGCAACATCCATCGTTATCTGATCACTTTCTTGTCTCCATTGTGCATGTTTACCTCGAATGTTCATTGGATGGGAAAGACTGGAATTGTTGACTCTCCCAGCTCTTCTATTTCTGAACTTCGATATCACTCTAATTTCACTAGAGTGCAACTCGGTGGGTATTTCATTTCTTGCACCACACCCATCATGTCTGAGTCTTCCCAAGGATCAGCCCCATATTCCAACTATCTGCCCTTGAACTCTGTTCACCACATTGATGTCGATGTCTAAGTTCATTGTTATAATGACTTTGCCTCTGATTGCTATTTCCACGACACTTGGGAACCCTCCTGTCAGGGCCTGGCCTCGGACTCGGAGGCTCCCTGACCTCAACCCCCATCTATCCTGTCCTCACACTATGCGGGGCATGAGATGAGAAGAAGGGTAAAGGTCTCATCTCCCCGCATGGTTGCTATATAAAGGAATGGGTCACATGCCCACAACTATACAGCTCCTAGAGTTGTGTAGTGTGACCTGGAGGGAACATCCAGGTGGCAGTGCCCAGTAAGCATGGGAACGTTCTGGGTGCCCAGAACTGTGGCTGTGACCCATGGGAACATTCTGGGTGAGCTGCTCGCTCAGAAAGTTCCCATGCTATCCCGTGCGCGCGGATACACAACACAGAAAGGCAACAACAAGGCAACAATGAAGGAATGGAAGGAAGGGATTGGTTGGGGAGTCTGGGGCACCCTAGGGCAGGGTGCTGAACCCTGACACCTCCCTGCCACCCCAATCTGCCTGTATGACCCTCTTTGAACATGTGGTGGGCTATTGCCCATTGTTCGGACAGTCTCAATTCCCCCGTTGTATCCTTGGGATGAAATCGATATAACACTGTCCCTGTTCTGCGACAATGTAACCATAATGCAAGTTTGTTGTGTTCGAACTGCATGACATGCTGTCACCAATACCGCTTCACACCAGGGAGGTTCTTCTTGTCAGGGTTCAGCACCCTGCCTTAGGGTGCCCCAGACTCCCCACCTACTTTACCCCCTTTTATTTCTTTGACTGTTGCCTTGTTGTTGCCTTTGTGTGTTGTGTACACACGCGCGCACGGGATAGCGTGGGAACTTTCTGAGCGAGCAGCTCACCCAGAATGTTCCCATGGGTCACAGCCACAGTTCTGGGCGAGCAACTTGCCCAGAACGTTCCCACGCTTACTGGGCACTGCCACCTGGATGTTCCCTCCGGGTCACACTACACAACTCTAGGAGCTGTATAGTTGTGGGCATGTGACCCATTCCTTTATATAGCAACCATGTGGGGAGATGAGACCTTTACCCTTCTTCTCATCTCATGCCCCGCATAGGCAAGTGTATATATTATCTTTCCTTTTACTATACATCTCATGCCCTGCATAGTATGAGGACAGGTTAGATGGGGGTTGAGGTCAGGGAGCCTCCGAGTCTGAGGCTGGGCCCTGACACTTCTGCATGGGTTTATTCCTAACATGATGACATCTTGTACCATAACTTGCATGTACATAGCATCCCCCTCCCCCCATGTACTATACTTAGGCTTTGTTCGGGTTGAAGAAACTGGTTTCTTCAACCCATTTCTTCCAGTTTCTTTGAGCAGTTTCTTTGACGCTCTCAAAGAAACTGCCCACCCCTGGGGAATTCCACTTAGCTAGTTTCTTCCTGTATTGAAAAATACTATTATTTATAATCATATCATGGCGCTTATGCATAGGTGCATTACAAAGGATCAACGTGAACATGCCAAGCATCAACAACTGCTTATTGGGTTGATCGTATCTCAATGGATTCTTTCAGCAGCTGAAATTTATCACCACCGCTATATTCTCAAATGCCCTTACCATGACTCACCATATTGGGGTGAAGATTGGCTTTGGGATTTGCTGAATGGACACCCAGGTCGGTTCCACAGCCAATTTGGGGTCCATAAGCATGTCTTCCGTCATCTGGTTGCTGAATTTCGGTCCATGGGCATGACAAATTCTAAATATCTTGCCGTTGAAGAGCACACCGCGATATTTCTCTATTCTGTGGTAACTGGACTCTCAATAAGGCTCATTGCAGAGCGGTTCTGTCAGAGACCAGATCAAGATGAAGGAGTGTCTCTGTGGTGGAGGGCTTCGGCCTCAGCGACTTATGCCAGGAGCGCTGTGCCAAGTTACACGTCCGTGCCCTAACTTACTGACTGGCAACAAGAACTAAAGGGGGTCAACTCTAGTCGATTTTATTACTGAGGTGCAACCTATGTACAAGTTGAGTATATATAGTTACAACGAGGGCAGGCCCGTAAATGGCGGGGCTGAGCGGAGCAGAGCTAACGGAGTTAATCATTAGCCGATTGAATATTACCGACAAGTTGGGTTATGGGGTTAGTGGAATGGTAGGTGATAACCCAGAAACGGAAAGGAGGGATAGGCCTGAAGGTGGGCTTGCAGGGCAAGTGAGTGAATTGCCCAGTGGAGGTGTTAGAACGGGGCGGATACAGACGACTCCGGAGTGGAATCGGAGACTTAGTGTGGAGGGACCTTGGCCTCAGCGACTCAAGCGGAGCGCTGTGCCATTGCTGTTTGTCCATTTGGTCCTTAATTTCACAGTAGGTGAGCAGGAAGTCTCTAGGGGGCATTTCAGGTCGATTTTGGACTGAACCAAAACGAGTATGTACAAGCGCCGATATATATATAATGGAGGGGGCAAAAGCACAAGGAAAACAAAGGGTAACCGAATCGGAACGAAGATGTCCGAACGGGAACAAAGGGTAGAAGAAGCGGAGCGGTACCGAAGGTCATAAGGCAGGACCTGTGATACGTCCGAAAGGAGGTAGGGAGGGTGAGGCCCAGAGGGGCAGGAGGATGAGGAGAAGTGGGGATGATGACTAACTGGCTAGAATGGGAAGAAGCAGTAGTCCAAATAGGGATGAGGGGTAAACACGAGAGATACATTACAAGCAGCAAAAGTGCCGAAGGCGATCCGCGAAGCTCGGGGGTTGTGGAGCTTACAGAGGTTATGGAGGCGGGGTTGAAAGTTCGAGGGATATTGGCAATGGTGTTTACGTAGTATGAGGTCACCAATGCAATGGACTAAGACCGAGGTGGAGTCAAAGTCCAAGGTAGGGACTATGATGGAGGCTCGGAGCAAAGGTACGAGCGGTGCCCGAGTACGAAGTACGGGACAGTGGTAGAAGGTCGTAACTTGGCAGGATGGTGGCGGAGGAGTACCAGAGGGAGGAGAGAGGAGAAAGGTAAGGGGGAAGGAGTGGCAGAAAGGAGAGTTGTCAGGTCCGAAGGTGAGTATTGGAGCGGATGGGGGAAGCATAGGAGGGTGACAGGAGGGTGGAGGTGTTGTGAAGGAGGAGCAGAGTAGGAGGGTGGAGAAGTAGTAGGAGGGTGGTGAGAGGGGCGGTGTTCGGTCCGAGGTGAGTATCGGAGTGGACAGAGATAGGGGAGGAGAGGGAAGGAGGAGCAGAGGTGGCGTGGGGGGTAGAAGGAGGTGTGTTGCCAGGACCGGAGGTGAGTATCGGAACGGCAGCGGTAGGGTATGACTCCGGAGGTGAAGGGGGTGGAGGTCCGGAAGTCGGGTCGGGGTCGGGTATGCACGGATATGACAGGAGGCAGGAGTGCGCTAGTGGACATCGGAGCTGTCTGGAAGCCTTCGGGGCTCCATACTTAGGGAGGCATAGGTAATATATTGAAAAGAGGGGGTGGTGACCATCAAGAGAAGCGGAGGTGATTGCGGAATCCAGGAGCTCTGAGGTTAGTGAAGAAGGAACGGAGGTAGTTGTCAGGGTACGGACGGTTATCCGGCCGGCCCGGACCCCTATCCAGATAGGTTGAGTACCCGTAAGTCGATATCTGCGTGCGATTTTCCGTAGTTAGAATGCAGGTTGTATTCAATGCGCTATTTCCGCTATCGCGTCATCCCTTACCTGTTATCGCCCCCTTATCTGCATGATCTATTTCCCTATCTCATGTCGCTTCTCTATCAGCTACCATGTATTCCCAATGTAGCCACGCTCTTATGAGTTGCGGGACTTATGTATATAAGGCCTTATCACCAGCTGGGTTGGCTCCCCAGCTTTTACAACGACTAGTTTCCTGGGGAGATCCTTACGTGCGAACTGACGTGCAGACTCTGACAGTAGTCCGGAGAGTTCGGAGGTAGTGGAAGTCGATGGCCGTGGATGGATATGACAGGTTCCAACATTCATTTGAGACAGTTTCGA